TCCCTGACCACGGGGGGAGCCAGGAACAGGTCTTCGCTGCCACCGGTGGCACGTCTCTTCTTCAGTTCCTCCGCATGGGTGAGTACGTCCTCCTCGTCGGTTTCCGCTGCTGCCTTTGCAGCCGCTCGCTTCAGTTCATCCCGGTCTAGGTATAGAGGAGTATGGTATTTGTGAGAACTGCCCACCTCCTTCACCAGATCGCTGTAGTGATCCACTGCAGCATGGGCCTCCTCTTGCATAAGACGCTCCTCCTCCTTGCGACGCAGTTCCTCCTCCTCCTTCGCTTTCCGCTTGGCCTCCAAGTCCGCTGCGATGGCAGCAGCATTGGTCTTTTCCAACGGATTGGATATCTCCTCGTTAGCCTCAGTGTTCTTCTCGGTGGCTGATCTCTTGTCGCGGCTGAAAAAGGACTTGATTCCCTTAGCCAGGTCCATTTTGAGGGTGCTGGGATTGCTAGTTGCTGCAGTTGAAACAGTTGAAGTTGGAGGCACCATGATAGCCGGTGCTTCGTTGCTAAAGGACAAAGGACTCGGCAAGGGACTAACAGCTTGCTCCACATGCTCATTGGAGGACCTCTTAAGGATCGGCTTGGGCACAAAATCCGGACTGGGCAGGGGCACTGGACGGTTGAGCACAACGGCAGCCTGCTCCGGAGTGGGGGCCCTGTATGGTGTAAAGGTTCCAGCACCCATGGTACGCGGATGATAGGTCTCCAGATCCCGAGGACTGGGTGATCGGGTGCGCGCCAGCAGTTCCATCTTGAACTTCTCGATGGAGTCCTGCTCCGAGGATGCAGTGCTCTCTGTGTAATCCGAGCCAAGATCGTTACTGGACTGCTGCTGCAGCTTCTTTTGCGGCGGATACTCTACGTCCACATCCTCATCGTAATCCAGATCCATATCTTCGCTATCATCAGCCGTACTCTCAGTTAAGTGTTCCTCCTCTACATCTTGGTCCTCTTCCGCTTCCGGCTCGCGAAGATCCTTTCGCGTCTCAAAGGGCAATTGTCCAGTGGTGTGAGTACGTGTCATGTTACCCATCTCATTAACATTTTCCCTGGAATCCCATTTTCGTGAAATGGACACCATATCCGCCGATTGACGTCGCATCTCACTCCTTCTTTCGAAAGACAAGCGTTCAGCCTCAGAAATGGAACCCAGACGCTTGCGGAGATTAGCAGGCGTTTGATGGGGAACCGGAGTGTCCAGTTTGTCCCGCGAAGCCTTGCGGGATTTGGAAGCCTGCTCGAGTTCCACTGCCTCGTAGAACCTGGCCATGGCCCTTTCATACAGGAGTTCCGTGGAGCTGACGGAGCGACGCAATGGGAAGGTGGTGTGCAAGTTTGTAAACTCTAGGAAGGCCAGATCCGGCGCAGAAATCGAAATGGGTGGCGGCTGGATGGCGTCCTCCAGGTCCAGCTCAAAGGAATCTTGTTCTGGGGAAGAGAATCATGGGGTGGGTTTAGTTAGCATAAGAAGTGATTTAGTGGGTAATCCTCAGTCCTGAAATGCTTATCATTGAAAACTTACTATCCTTATCCTTGAACCTGCTATTCTTGTCGAAGACGACCAGCATGAACTCATTGCTGGTGTGGACATCGTCGTGTTTGTCGGCTGACCTGGAGAATCGCCTTGCATTGGATTGGGACTTTGGAGCTGGTTCTGGAGATGGACTGGGCTCTGGTAGTGGAGGCTCCTCCTCCTGGGGCGTTGGTGGTGCACTGATTTCAATGGTGGGCAGCCTCTCACCAATTACAGCTGACACACCGGAAGCCACTGCCAACGCCAGAGTAGGCACATTTCTGGCCGGGCTTAGGGTCTGTCCAGAAAAGCGTCTTACATTCTGGTTGACTCCCAGTTGAACGGGCTCCGCACTCCTCAACAGAGCTGGGGTAATCTTTATTGGTTCCGGTGGCGTGGGACTCTTGCGAAGTGGAGCTGGTTGCCTCTTGTTGGGTGGACTTAAGCTCCGTTTCTGGTTAGGTGAGGTTTTATCCGGCTTTTCTTTGGGCGGAGTGGGCAGTGGCTGTGGTTTTGGCTGCGCTGGTGACCTATTATTAGGGGCTCCTGAGGGTTTAGGATTGAATAGTTTCAAGGGAGACGTAGCTGGTGTCCTAGGTGCCTTGGCGGATGGTACAGACTTATCTAGCGGTGCCAGTGTAGTGGTCACCAGTGTCACGTTGAGCTTTGGATTGGAACCATCTGTCGTCGGCTTATTAGCCAAATCAGCGCTACTCAGCGAGGGACTCTTGCGCACGTCCATCTTTAGAGCATGATCCGAAGTTCCGTAGGACATTTCGTGGGTCAGTTGCTCGTTGTCTATGAGCTGCGGTTTGGGTTTCCGCTTCACACTGGGCGACTGTTTGGGTGACATGCCCGTGGAGGCATCTGCCTGTGGCCGTGGAGGAGATAAAGTCTTTCTGCGTGGTGGCACCTGCACCCCTCCAGCTCCTGCCTTCGGTTTGTCCTTCTCATCTCCTGCTATCCTTGTAGCTGATTTCGGCTTGGTGATTCCCCGCTTGGGATCCGGGATGAAGAGCAGCTCCGATTCCCCCGACGGTTCGCTTAGGCCATATGGGTTCTCTGCCTTCACCCGAAATTTGTACTCGGATCCCTCTATCAGATCGTGAAGAGTGGTGGTCAGTGCCCGAGTGGTGGCCGCCTTGAGCCAAACGTTCCAGCCCACACGGAAATATTCAACAATGTAGTTGCCAATCTTACAGCCTCCGTCGTCAAGTGGAGCTGTCCAGGAGAGAGTGGCCGACTTGCCAAAGGACATATTCAACTTGGGAGTACCCGGCGGATTGGGTCTGGCGGTCACTGTAACCAAAAAGGAGGTACTGTCCTCACCCAATCGATTCCATGCCTTCACCATATACTCGCCGCGATCTTCTCGAAGCACATTATCGATCTTGAGCAGCGAGTTTTTCTCCGTGTTGGTGATCTGCAATAGGAAGTACGTTACCTATTTAGTGAGTACAAAAGGGGTAGAGCAGGGTAAGACTACCCACCTCAAAGCGTCCACCCGGAGCAATGACCTCGCCCTCATGGAGCCACGTAATAGCGGGCGGTGGCTGTCCAGCCACACCCACTTTTAAGCGCAGCACTTCGTCCGCCTCAACAATCAGTCCATCCTCGTAGGTGCGGGGTAATCGGATCTTGGGAGGAGCCTGCACCATCAATCTTGCCTTGGTAATCACATGTCCCGCTCGATTGGTGGCCGTGCATTTTATCTCGCCCTCGTCGGTCAGCGCCACTTGGTGGATCACCAGGACACTGGCCTCGTTGTCGTTGACGATCTTGGTGCGGCGACTGCTGAAGATCTCGTAGCCATCCTTGAACCAGTTGATCTCCGGCGGCGGTTCGCCAAGAATGCGCACTCGGAACTCGATTCGCTCGTCCTCCACGGCATTCGTGTCCACCAGTTCGTCGATGAACCGGGGCACGGTTATGGCATTTCGCTGCAGCGTCACCGTCAGTGGATCGGATAGCTCACTGGCATCGGATCGCCCCACAATGTTCTCGGCAAAGCATCGAAACTGGTAACGCCATCCTGGCTCCAGTCCACTGATGCACACATCGCACCGGTCTACGGGAGTGGGCGTGGCCCTCACCCAGTGGGGTGACCCCATGCGCCGGTGCTCCACAGTATAGCCAGTGATGGGTGAACCTCCATCGTGGAGTGGCCGATCCCAGCGAAGGTTCACCACGTCCGGTTGCTGCTCTGGCAGTGCCACTGGCGTCAGAATGGGTCGGCCAGGCGGTGAGGGTCGCTCTGCTTGGCGAGAAAATAATGGTATTTAAACAACGTATTTTTTCACTATTTCATGTTAGTTAAGGTTAAAGCTTAAAAAAAACGAAAAATATAATATAATGCGAAAAAAAAAAACGTTAATCTTTAAAGCAAATACCTCGATATTTGACTTTTAATTGAGAATATTGAATATCTAATACAAATAAAGGTCCTAAGCGGTTTGATATAAAAAACAATTTCAATTCAAAAAGATTGCATTGGTAAGATATTCAGGTTAAGTATATTTCCTGTCACTTCTCCATTTTGTAGCCGTTAAAGGGCCTTACAAACTATGCACCTACAAAAGTATTTATCTCAGCATAATGATTCTTCCGCTTTTGAAACGACAACATTACTTTGACGTTGCTAGATTTTGGGGCCAAACAGACGAACACGGCAACCACTGAGTGTGCGAGTGGCTATAAATAGACCCATTTCTAGCGCTCCCACCAGCCAGCCAGCTATGTGGGGCCTCCTCTAATATCTTGCAATTTGGGTAGGAATACGTACTGGGACTGGGCCACTGATGTGATCTGGAGTTTCTACTTGCCTGCGGACTTCCAGTGGACATTCTTCTTGGGACGACCGCCCTGCGGATGCGTGTGCAGCTTTCCCGGCTGATTTCCCATTTCGAGATATTTAGATATTTAACCTATTTGCAATATTGTGCTTGCCTATACAGAGAATCTATATATAGACAGTCGAAATTAACTTAACTTAACCCGTCGTTTTCGAATCGCCAATTACAGCACTTTCCACTTCAAATATTTTAACTTCAGGTGGGTTAGCTTCTAGTAATGTAACTTTCGTAGCGTTTGCAGGCTTTTGTTTGCAAGCGTTGCCATTTTTGCGGCGCGTTAAATAATCCGTTCCGTTCGGTTCGTTAGCCCAGCATCCTCCTCCTCCGCCGATCCACGAAAGCTTTCTGCTCTCTTTCAAATTTGATTTCTGTTGGGCTCGACATCAGTTATCGACATCGATAGGATCTGCAATCGTTAAGGAAGTGAATAAGCTTCTTTCTAGCTATTTTCCAGGGATAATTAATGTATTGTTGATATAATCAGATAATCACAATCATATGATAACATCAATTAATTTAAAGTTAAATCAATACAGAATTATTAAATATCAATTATCAATAAATTTCCACAGTGTATTACTGGGATTTGGCTAATTTCTAGCTAGTCACAAGCTAGCCACTTGTCGCCACAAAGTTCCATCACTAAGCCCCTCCACCGCATTCGATAGTTGGCAGCAGCAGTCGAGTGTCATCACCGGCACAAATTATGCTTTTTTCCAACAGTTCAGTCTTCCCAAAAAATATTTCACTATTTTTTTTATAGTGCTGCCTTGTAGGCTTTCTTGTTGTCTAGTTTATTAAAGCAAATTCAACCCGCAAAGTGCTCTCCAACGTATTTTAGTGTTGTTATAACTGTGATCTTGCGACTTGCCTGCATGTGCAATGTGAAAATGCCCCGTCCTTGGCATAAATTTCGGGAGGCTGTTATTGGACTCTACTTGTTGGGAAAATAAAAGCGATTTCCCATAGCATCGCATTTTGGAGAAGCCGCAGCTGTTCCATTGCGGCAGGTGCAGCGGCACGAACTCACACACGCATACATACATACCTGCATTTACCTATTCCACCCGTCCGTCCAATAACAATAACAACAACAATAATGGCTGGCACTGCGACCGCGACGCCAATGGAAATTGATGAATTTGTAAATTCGTCCATAATTTCTTGGGTGAGTACTGCGGCTGCTATGGATAAACATGCTCGATATTTGCATCGCCAGTGGGCCTATGTGCTTGGCATAAATAATTCAAGTGTTCGATTGCCAAGCGCTCACATTTGGAAACGGCGAAAACGACAACAATGTCGTGAGAACAACCTGCTTACACTCACACATATACACAGCTGGGGTCAACGAAATAGAATCGTTCGTTACAGGGAAACCTCCAAAAAGTGAATAATTATAATATCTAAAGAGTTAACTGCGTTTAATTACGACGAAAGCCAGTGTATATATGAAATCTCAGTACGTTTATAATTCTTTAATTTATAATCATAACAACAATCTGTTTCGTACTTCACTTCTGACTCTTATTTTTTTGACCAAAACTGTATATATGTATGTATTGATGTGCCTTTCCGCAAGCAAAAGAACCAAGGTCATTGTAACTTGCTCAAGACAGCTTACGGTACAATGAGAAGTCAAGCATAGTGAGCTCTTGTCCAGCTAATAAACATACATATTCACTCCCGCTTTGTTGAATTCCGTATCTAAAACTGGTATTTTCTTCCTTTACAGCTGGAATCATGTCTGCCACGTGCCGAGCTTCTCGCCGGATACACCTCCCTGCTGGATGGCCACATAATCCACAGCGTTTGGCTGCAGATCGACCCTGAGCCGCAGAATAATCCCAGCGAGCTGAACGATCTTAACGGAAAGTCTCTCAGCATCGCTAGGGCCAAGAACTTCGAGTGCGTTGTGAGGAATCTAAAGTGTTTCTTTGAGGAGGAGCTAGGTCAAACCATACTGGTCCTACCAGATGCCTTCACCCTGGGTCATCATCCGGAGAGTAAAAACGGACTCGAACAGATGAAGACCTTGCTGACCCTGCTCCTCGGTGCAGCTGTGCAATGTCCCAACAAGGAACTGTTTATTGCTCGCATCAAGGAACTGGACTTAGAAACCCAGCACGCTATTGTAGGACTCATCAAACAGGTGACCGACAGCCACAGTTTGGTGCTCACCGAGGACTCCTTGGAACGACTAACGCCACAGAGCATGTACACGCACATCCTGCGCTTGACAAAGGAGCGGGACGTCATGTATCTCAAGTGGATCGATTTGGCGTGCGTGGAGACCGAAATGGCAGCCAGCGACAATTTGGTGGAGTGTGGCCAAGGTGTCAGCGTCTCACGTTCTCCTTCAAACGGAACTGCCACCTCAACACCTTCATCCTCTTCCAATTCGGAAAGTAATCACCTTGCAGTAGAATGTGCCGATCTCCGTTCAAAGAACCGCAAGCTGCGTCAGGAACTGTAAGATAAACTACTATTTACTTAACCAACAGTTAGGTAACTCCTTAACTTTCTTTAAGCGAGGAAAAGTCCGAGAATCTATTGGAGCTACGTGAGGAGTTGGATGACAAGAAGGCGCGGTTTGACAAGCTGCGTCAGGAAAGTCAGGAATGGTTCACGGAGGCCAAGCGGGCATCTGCATATCGTGACGAGGTGGACATCCTCCGGGAAAGGGCTGAAAGAGCTGATCGCCTGGAGGTGGAAGTTCAGAAGTACCGCGAGAAACTCGGAGACTCTGACTTTTATAAATCGCGCGTTGAGGAACTGCGGGAGGATAACCGTGTGCTGCTTGAATCCAAGTATATTTGCCAATCAAAATACCATTAAATGTTTCCCAACTTATATCCCTTTCACCTTCTCAGGGAAATGCTGGAGGAGCAGCTGCAGCGCTACCGAAAGAGGTCTGAACATGCCATCTCCCTGGAATCCGAGATCATTAAATACAAGCAGAAACTCAACGACATGGCTCTCGAACGGGATGTAGATCGCTCCAAGCTAGAAGAGCTGCTGGAGGAGAACGCGCAACTGCAACTGGTAGCCAGGAATCTCAACTCAACGATGGATTTGGATAAATCCTTTTCCGAAAACGAAGACGATTGCAACTCAGGTGACAATAGCCTTTCGGAACAGCTAACAAACAATGCTCAAACCCGTGCACTGAAGCTCGAGCTGGAAAACCGTCGTTTGACTGCCGCCCTGGAACAGTTAAAAGAAAGTAGCTTCCACGAGTCCACCAGCAAGATGCTAGAACTGGAGAAGGAAAAGAAAAAGTTGTCTCTTAAAATTGAACAGATGCAAGAAAACATACAGCGTCTGACTCAGCAGAATGTGGAACTGGAAGGGGTATTTAAAAATGCCCTTGAGGAGAACAAAAAATTACAGGATGCCGTGGATAATCGCCAAAAGAGCTACGATCGACAGAGCCTGGAACGCGAGGCTGATCGTCAAAAGCTTTCGGATGCCGAGCAACATGTCGAAACCCTAAACAAGGAAAAGCAACGCATCCAAACCCTCAATGAAAGCATTCAGCGAAGAGCCGACGATCTTGAACGGTTGGCGGAGAGCAAGACAAAGGAACTAGAGCAATACTTGGAAAAATCAAAGCAATACGAGCTTACTAAACATAAGCTCTATGAAATCGAAGCCAAGGTCTCCACATACGAGCGCGAAAACGCCAGCCTGCTTAAGGAAGTGTCCAAACTGAAGGAGGGCAGCGAGCAAAAGTCTGTGCAGCTGGACGACAGTATTAATCGACTCGATGTACAGAGCAAGGAACTGCAAAAACTGGGTAAAGCACTCGAAGATTCGGAGCAAGTGCATCAGAAGCTTGTGGAACTGGAAAAGCAAAACCAAGAGCTAGCTTCGCAGCGCATCATTGATCAAGAGATGATCAGCACTCTTCGAAACGACTTGGTCACCGGTACTCTAGTAACGAAGAAAGTGCGCAACAACTTGGAAAAACTGGGACTGGCGGACGAAGAGCCCGGTGAGCTGAATGTGGAGCATGTGGTGGAAAAACTGGTGCGCAACCCAGAGACTTTTAAAACGGTTCGCGAGATAATGCTGAACGTGACCCGAGAGCAGCTGGATGAGGAGGAGCGAGAAGGTGGCGTTAAGTCCGACATGTGTGTGCTTTGTCACCGTCAGGAGATCTTTACTGTGGAAAAGAACATTGAACTCGCAGCTACTCCAGCTCCTGCACCAACGCAACCTTCTTCGCAGGAACTTCGCTTTGAGCACAAGCTACGTCTAAGTCCAGCACGAGAATCAGCAGAGCTGACCCGTATTAAGGATTCTAACACTCAGCTCCAGACGGAGAATGCTCGTCTCAGCGTGGACGTGGCTGCTCTGGGCTCGCAAATAACTTCGCTGAATACCCAGCATGTAGCCCTACAGCTGGCAAACTCCCAGTTGGCTGCCGAAAAGGACACGCTGCTCAAAGATATCGATTCACTGCAGCAGGAGCATAAACATGCTTTGCAGGATCAGGTTACGTTGCAATGCCTGCATGATCAACTCTCCGCGGAGTACGAGTCTCTGAACAAAGACAAGGAACAGCTGAAGGCTGCAGTGCGGGATTTGCGCCAGGAGCTGCGGGATACCCGTGAACAGCAGTCGGCATTGGAGCAACGCATTGAGGAGTTGACCACTCAAAACAACAACATGAAAACATGCAGCGAGGATCTGTCAATCCTGCGTACCGAGCACTCCAAGCTGACAGACGACTTTCGCAATCTTTTCGCCACCAGCGATCGCTTTAAGAACGAATATAAAAACATCCAGGAGCAGTATAAGATGGTACGCATGGAGCATTCCAGCCTGAAGCTACAAAACACTGAGCTCTCCGGCGAGCTAAATGCCAAGAGCGATCAAGTCCGTTGCCTGCAGATGGAATACAGCAAGGTTCAGCAGCGTTGTGAGGTGGGTTCAAAAGTTCCAAGCTATTAATCCACTCTATTAATATACTATTTGCATGCAGATGTTGATTCAAAACAATGCTGAACTGGACTCGGAGCGCAAGGCTCTGATGGACAATGTGTCACAATTGCTCTCCCAATATCAAGAACTTTTAGCCATATCCCTGGAGGACAAAAAGCACTTTCATGAGGAGGAGAAGAACTATACCGAACGGGTGCACAGCCTCAAGCGCCAGAAGGAAAAGCTGGAGGAGAAAATTATGGAGCATTACAAGAAGTCAGAGACCACAGTGCACAAGAAGTAAATAATAAAACCATTCAATTTACATCTGTTATTAACTATAAATTTCAGAAAACCGTTTGCCAGCATGCTAGTTAGAAGGGTAAAGAAGGCTAGCTCGGATCTGATGAACAAAGTGCCCAGTCGAGTAAGTTAACTGGATCAAACTAAAATCACAATTTCCAAATAGATTTGTTAAGGAAACTCACTAACAAAAACACATTTTATTTCAGAACCGTCGCTCTTGGGTAGATGACGCCCGTACCAATTCGCAGTTCGTGATCGGTTCCGAGTCAGGCGGCAATGAGTCGGATAATAGCAATGAGGAGCCACTGTCGATTGCCTCCGACACGCACCTGCTCCAGAGGAATGTTCCGCTCCGCCAAAGTTTGCAGCGGTAAGCCATTCAGTTGGAATGGAAAAGGATGGTTTTTTAGATTTTTGGGTTCACGGTATTTGTTCTTTTTACATGTATTATACACAACTCAACACTCGCACCAAACAAACACTGTACATTATGTCCGAGTAGGGATTTGCTGGATAACTCGATCCAACGCGGCGGCGCCGTGCGCAGTAGCCTGCAGGCTCAGAAACGTACGGATTTGAATAACTCACGTAGAAATAGCGTGCACGGGTATGCGCTTTTGATGTTTAACATTCATTCTACCCCATTAAAACATGCCATTTGAAACAGATTGGAGTCTGCTCCAAGGGTTCAAGTGGCTACTATCAATCCTTATTCCATAGCTCCCTCTGCAGAATGCGTATTTCCCTTCGTTGTTGCTCCCCACCTGTGTTTAAAAAATTTCGTTCATCTAGTTACTGATTAATCATTTGCTTCACAGCAGTCTTGAAGCGCCAGACGTGACAGGCAGCAGTCTGACCCTCGGAACGGCCGGCTCTCGACGCACTGTTTATCTTATCGATGAACATCAGAAGCTTCCCGATGGCTCCACTCCCGGCGCCGCACAGTCACAGTCTGGTGGCTGCAGTAGCTCCGGCAATGCCGCAACTCCTACGCCCGCAGAACCTCAGACGCCTCAGAAGAGTACCGAAAACAGTGCTCCGGTGGGTCCGGCCACTTTTCTGATGTACAACCGGATAAACACCACGATCGGAGGATCCCCGAGCAGCGGGGACCAGAGCCCTCTGCTGCAGGCCAGCGGCAGCGTTTCGGGAACGACCATGCAGGATGACAAGTCGGCAAGGAAGCGGACTGAAGACAAGAGCAATAGCATCTGGTATGAGTACGGCTGCGTCTAAAACATTCAAACAGTATACGTCCACAACATGAACTCGAATATAATGCATTTGCTGACGAAGTATTATTTCGTTTTAGAAATTAACGAATTTATTTTTAAACGCATTAGAACATCGATGTTGCCTTAAGCAAGTTACATATGTAAATGTAAAGTGCTGCTTAAACCGCTATGATTTGCCTTAAGAAATGTTTTACAATTAGATTATGTACTATACTATAGTTTGTACCTATTTATGCAATATAAAAACTCCACAAGACTACGCGACAACTATGCGAACATATAACTATCCAGTATACACCCCTATATACACAAAACTATAAAGAAATATGTTAAACATTAGCTGTACCGGCCTCAATGTACGTCCTAAGCAAAAGGCTTTCTTTTTCGCTGATAAGACAAGATAAATATTTATATCCGTTCATTTGGTGTTTTGTAAACTCGACTCGAATCTATGTATTCCTAGATATGTTGTAAAGCACACTCGTACTCTGCTCTCAGCTAACCAACGCGCCTTTAATTTGTGAATATATTTTTATAAATTACTTGTAGCCTAGTACTATTTATTGACGCAAAGCCTAACACCGCAATAAAACTAAGCAAACATACAGAAAATATCTCACTTTTTCGGCAAGTCTCTAAAGATAACCAAAGGTACATAAAAGGTGATTCGTTCGTCCCCAGTATTTTAGAATGAAAGGCGACTGGAGACAGAAAAGATGTGGCTAAAGGCGCTTATTCTACTGGTAACTACTACAAACTGTGCAAACTTCTGGCTAATAATCACTAATTAATAAACTCAAGCTTTTGATCCGATACTTGGCGGCCACATGCAATGTGTGTCAAAGTGCCAGCAATGTCGCTTGCCACAGTGAAACCACCTTTTCCATCTGCTATGACGGTGGGTAGATTATTAATAAAATATGTGGATTATGGCACGTTTTAATTTTCAGGAGAGCCATCATATGATCTCTTGCCATGTCCAAAGGGTTTTTATTGCACAGATGGCTTTTACACTTGCTATCAAAATGCTGATCCAGTTTGCAAATCAGAGGAGGACAGTACCACCACCGAGATCCAGACAACGACAACCACTGCCATCCCAACTACCACGACAACCACTGCTATTCCAACTACCACGGCATCCACTGCTATCCCAACTTCTTCGACTGAAGCTCCGTGGAATGCCGATGATATCTGCCAGCAATACACTAAACAGACCTTTTTCGAAAACGTAGATGATCCCACCTGCACCACGTGATTACCCTCAGATGAAAATTTTTTTCGATGTTAGACTAAAAAGTACATTTTTCAGTTTTATAACCTGTTCAGTTGATAGCGACAGCGGAACCCATTCCACAAAAGTCACGTCATGCAAGACTAATCAGTATTTCAGCACAAGCTTGAATGTTTGTACCGCCACCAAGCCGGATGGATGCGTGGAGGCGACAACCACTGTGGCCACAACTACCCCAACCGCCAGCACCGTGAGCACAACAACGGCTATTACCACCACAGCGGAACCCTGGAGTGCTGAGGCAACCTGCTCGACTGTCACTAAGAACACTTTGTTTCAAAACCAAGACGATCCGACCTGCACTACGTAAGTAAACCACGAATTTCCACGGACTAACTTACATAAACCACTCCCTCTAGGTATCTATATTGTTATGTTAACAATGGATCTGCAACAATAGCTTTGATAAAGAACTGTAAGGCCAACCAATACTATGATGTTACCTTGAAAACATGCACCGATACCAAGCCGGACTATTGCACTTAATTTTGGTGTTCCAACAAAAGTAATCGTTCCTTATCATATTTATTGATAGCAATAAAAGATAAGTTTTCTTGGAATAATAAAAAGATTTTATAGCATTGGATAAGATTGATGGGCAATACAAAAGCTACTTAAGAGCCAGGGGGGTCTGTAATGCTTTAGAAAGCAATAGGCAGTGCGGTCACCAAGCAACAGGCCTACCGAACCCACTACTAAGTCCAGTGACAAATGCGATGGCCTTACCAAGTCTAGCACATTGAAACCCGAAGATGATCCCACCTGCAATAGGTATGAATATTATTAGGATATATTGTTATGTTGGCAATGGATATGTCTTCTACATAATTAAGAATTGCAGGACGATCGAATACTTTGATGCCACTTTGAACTTCTGCAGCGCCTTCAAACCTGATTGATTATTGTATCTGATTTTCTTGGAACCCCATGGTTATACATAAACGTTACATTTCTTGATGGCAACAAAAACTAAAAATAAGCATATTTCAAGACAAGAACTTAATGCGGCAATAAATTCATTTCTGCATATTCAAAACACCCGGATGATTCTTCTTGATAACACCAAGAAATTACCCAGAAATTTACACATATCTGAGAAGTCCATAAACAAAGTACATACATGCGTATGAGTGAGGGTGACAAAACAAATTAATAAACGTAGGCAATAAACATTAAATACATTGCCAAAGCGTACCGAGATAAACGATACAACAGATTAAATCCTATCGGTATTTAAAGGCCACTTAGGTTCTTCAAGGTTTCAGTGTGCAAAGTGTAGCAAGGTTAAATCGACAATGTGGACGAGTGTAATTATATCCCTGGTAACTATGCAAGGACTGCCGGTGGCTCCATAACCTCAATCAAATGAATCCACCCAATAGCTCTTGGTTCACTGCCTGCTTGCTGGGCCAGCTCCTGCACTGAGGGATTCGGACGCGGGGTCCTGGAGTGCGGATGAGGCGTGTCAGGAAGCGGTTAAATCGGTCATGATTGCGAACCAGAATGACTCCACATGCGCCACGTAAGCAACTAGGCTGATTATGCAGATTACCACGTACTAAAATGTAAATTCACTTGCAGTTACGTCTATTGTTATGTCAATGATTCAACTTGGGCACTAATCAAAAGCTGCCACAGCGGCCTATTCTTTGATGCCGATCTCAAATTCTGCAGTATACGCAAACCAGCGGGATGTGTGTAAAATGGGAAAGCTTTAAAACACATTAGTTATGCTTAAATAGTAGTGCACTAGATGTTACATATGAATGATTTCCTAATTTATTGCATTAAAAATTAAAAACACTATTAAAGTGGAAGTACAAATTTTCTCAGTTACTTAAGCAACACGTAGCAAATACCAAATCAAAATATTTTTATTTTTTATGGATAATTCATAGAAATTTTCATGGAGTTTCCTTTAATCGTTGAAACCTAGCAGTTGCTCGGTCGTGTGGATTGGCAGGCCTCTGTATCTGAGTTGTAGTATTCATTGGTATTGCAATAATAAAGCCAACCCAGGTAATCCAGACTCAATTTATAGCAATAGACATACCTAGAAAATCCAACACTTAAGGCCAATGCATATTGAATTTGATAAATATACTTGCATTTGGCACGTTGCATCAGTCTCAACTCGAAAGTATCCTTTGGTCTTCAGCTTTGCACAATAGACGTTAGGATCTATTTCCGAAGGTACTGTAGTTGGAGTACTGGTAGATGGTTCAGTTGTTGTGGGCGGAATACTCGAATCCGTGCTGGTAGCAGTTGTTGTTGAATCGGTGCTCGAATCAGTAGTCATTTCAGAAGTGGTAGAATCTGTAGTGGATTCGGTACTAATTTCAGATGGAGTTGAATCTGTACTAGATTCGGTACTAATTTCTGAAGTAGTAGAATCTGTAGTGGATTCGGTACTAATTTCAGAAGTAGTAGAATCTGTACTAGATTCGGTACTAATTTCAGACGTAGTAGAATCAGTGCTCGATTCGGTAGTAAGCTCAGAAGTGGTAGAATCTGTACTGGATTCCGTACTAATTTCTGAAGTAGTAGAATCTGTAGTGGATTCGGTACTAATTTCTGAAGTAGTAGAATCTGTACTAGATTCGGTACTAATTTCAGAAGTAGTAGAATCAGTGCTCGATTCGGTAGTAAGCTCAGAAGTAGTAGAATCAGTAGTGGATTCCGTACTAATTTCAGAAGTAGTTGGAGTACTGGTAGATGGTTCAGTTGTAAAGGGCGGAATACTCGAATCCGTGCTAGTAGCAGTTGTTGTTGAATCGGTGCTCGAATCAGTAGTCATTTCAGAAGTGGTAGAATCAGTAGTGAATTCCGTACTAATTTCAGAAGTAGTAGAAACTGTACTGGATTCGGTAATAATTTCAGAAGTAGTAGAATCTGTACTAGATTCGGTACTAATTTCAGAAGTAGTAGAATCTGTAGTGGATTCGGTACTAATTTCAGAAGTAGTAGAATCTGTACTGGATTCGGTAATAATTTCTGAAGTAGTAGAATCTGTACTGGATTCGGTACTAATTTCAGAAGTAGTAGAATCTGTGCTCGATTCGGCGGTAGTAGGCTCAGAAGTAGTAGAATCTGTACTAGATTCGGTAATAATTTCAGAAGTAGTAGAATCTGTAAAATCGGTGTTTTCAGCTGCAGTGGTTACTGTTGACTCTGTAGTTTCTAAGGTTTCAAAGTACAAAATAATGGAAACCGCAGGCAATAAACTCATAAAAAAAAGAGATATGTGCTATATTTACCAACCTGTTACTATATCCGTTGTGGTCGTAGAAGTGACTGTGATACAAGCCGGCTGAGGGAAAAGAAGTATGAGAATTGGCAAGTGTCCACGGAGCTAACTAAATCTCACTTCTGCTGAGGCCATGGGTGCACAGAATCCCTCAAGAACGCAGTAGTACCCATCGCGGCAGTTGTGGACCGCATTTTCGTCCACGGTGCCTTGATCAAAGCAAAGCCCATAGGCAGTCTCACTGACACACGCATATTGTTCATTTGTCAAGGAGCAGTCGGAGCAATCGGACTGCCCAAGAGCCGCTTTCGAAATCGAAAGGAGCAGGAGAACCTGGAATATGCGAAATGGGTTACTTTCTTCTGGTTTACTGCACACTCACCTTTAGGGTAATTTTGGCTGGCATAGTTTGTCTATTTGCCGGGAAGAGCAACTTACTTGTGATGGCTGGTTAAAGTGTCAATTCTCTTTATAGAGCCTAAGCCGGACCACACCCTCAGTTAGCGTTTGCTTAGCGCCCATAAAAAGATAACCAGATATTTTTATCACCCAAGGCTCCTAAATTTTAGCGTGTCATAGAACAAAATTCGGCACGGCTGCCAAAATGTACAAATAAGACTGGCACTTAGGTGTATGATCATTCGCAGAATATCCACACACTTGTGAAGATGTACAAATTGCTTGGTTTGGTAAGTTTAAAAGAAAGTTGATCACTAAAGGTTTTGTACGACAATGTTCTGTCTGAACATTCCTTATATACTTTCAGATTGCTTTGGCAGCCTTGGGGGCCTTTCCAATCGCTTGGATCCAGGCAGACTGTAATGTGTGCCAATCAAATGGAGCCTCCTGCATCAACCAGACCGCATACAATTTGTGCTTCGGCGGCTCTCAGCCGAATACCAACCAGACCTTTGTCTGCACGGATGGCCTGGTGTGCACGGACGAGCCTGTGATCTGTTTCCAGAGGAGCGAGACTCCCGCCAGCTGTGGCGATACGGATAGCTGTGGCCAGTGTGCTCCCAATTACACATTCGCCTGCACCTCGCGCTCCACATTCGCCTTCTGCTTTGGCGCCATAACGCCCACAAATGTGACCGGAAGCTGCCCGGATGGTTACTTCTGCGACGCCTCAACTCAGGAGATCTGCGTCACTAAGGCCACTGATGACTCCATCATCTGCCACTTGAATTAACCTTGGTATTTACATGGAGTAAGAAGCATATACATACTTGCTTTTGCTTAATAATATTATTCTTTTGTAACGAATTTATAAATGTTATGTCAAATATAATCATTGCTTCAATTTGGTAATAAATATAAATTCTTTGTGCGTAAATGGATTTTTAACTTATTTTATTAAATTAATCGAAACTGATGTTATGCCTTAAACTAAAATATCAAATAATTTATGAATAAAATACCTTTTAAATTAGCCAATTATGGCAAATAGACTATAAGTCAAGAAACTCTTCCGAATCTTCCGTTTTCTTTTTCTCTAGCCAGGAGCGCGCAATCCGAATGGAGGGCAAGCGGAAGCGCCACTCGTCGCAACAGTACTTGTACACCTCATCGCCTAGTTGGAGTAGCTCTATTGCAAACTCCCGCTCGTCATCCTTCCAAGTGCGATCCTCAGAGCCGCCGAACATTTCCATGCGTAGCAAGGCGGCCATAGTGGGTCCCACGTATTTCTTTATAGCCATGTAAAGCTGAGCTTTGGTCAGGGAGCTGGCTGCCGGTTTGACGTGAGCTGAAGCCTTTGCGTATTCCGCTTGCAGTCGTTTCAGTTTAGCATTCTCCTCTGACAGCTTGGCAAACTCGGCCTGTAGGTTATCGTAGGATTGACGAAGCTTGTCGCGCAGGCCATCTTCAGAGGAAGATGGTTTCTCGTCTGGTGCAGACTCGTCCTCACTGTCACTACTAAGTGTATTCTCTTCAAGGCTTATACAGGATTCAGATAAGGTTTCGGAAATGGGATTACTTTGATTTTCTTGGATTGATTGAGTGGGTTTCTCAAATTTCGCAGTTTGCTTCTGCTCACCCCAGACTTTCTCTTGCAGTTGTCTATTTCGGTTCAATATAAGACCGTTTTCAGTTTGAGCGAAGGGGTCCGTATTTAGTGCTTCTTGGGGTGGCTTCCTTTTTTTAGACTGCTCCTCGGTTGGTTGCTCTTCATACAGTTTATCGGCCTCTCTTTCCTGCATCCCACGCTTTCTAATCACAGTCCTATTAATTTGCCGGTACTCTTGTTTGGTGGGGACTTGCTTTTCTTGACATTTATCGGCAAGTTTTGGCATTTCAATGACGTCAATAATACAACTTGTCGATTTAAGATGCTTTTCTGCTTCCTTAGTAACTGTTTTCATCATGCTTAGATCATCTGTCTTCTCTTTTAGGAGCTGCTCTTCAAGCAGCGGCAAGATATTCTCGCTTATTGGTTGACTTGTGACTGGCATTTTAATCAATTTGATGCCCAATGAAGGCTGCAGTTGACTTATTATATCTAGAATGTTTTGAGGCATCACCGAACCGCTGGTTGATGTTGTAGAAGTATTACCTGACACCGCTGCTTTCTCCTTGCTTACAACCGACTGCTTCTGCTCCTGCTCCGAATCAAAAAAATCTCCGGAAACTTCGTCGGCTACATCGTTTTCTTTTTGCTGTTCCTCCTCCTCACTGAAGTCAACTGTATTCAGTTTCTTAATAACCTCCACATTCTGTGTCTCATCATCCACGAATCCCAGAGGACACTCAAAATCCCTGGGAGGTATTAGATGGGGCTGCTTTGGAGGCATTAACTTCACGAGAAGGGCTTCCCCGTTCTGGTCGAGACTTTCAAAGTCGAGTGCCAGATCCCTGTTGATCCTGAACAAAGTGGGCGTCTGCATGGGAATGAGTCTGTCCATTTTGTAGTTCATGAAGCATTCAACACGAAAGTGCCGGGCACAAACTGTTTTAGCTGCCAGTTTGGCCGGTGGTGCATTTGAAACATCAGGGTTGGAACAATGCCTCACCCAGTCCTTTAACCTTTTCGGATCCTTAACGGGGAACTTGAAGAAGTGCATATTGGGGTTGCGGCTAGAACCCACCGGACAATCACGAAAACAACACTTAGTGCCGCCCATTTGTTCAAATATAAATAAACAACTTTTATGTTTCTTAGTGGTGGACAAGTTAAGGTCAGCTGAGGATATCGATAGGAGTTATCGATAGTATAAATACTATAACGAAATACTATGACTATAACGAAATGATCAGTAATTTGATACTTCCTAAATTAGTTAATAAAAAACATTTATTTATTTATTTATTTATTTCTTCATTAGTTAAATAATAAGGTTTTATACTTGGACCTAATAATGAATGTGTGCTTAACGGGTTTTTCAAATAAGCAATGATTTTCGGGAATATAACACGTCTGTTTTTAAACAACTTAACCAGGAAATCCTTCTAATATTTTTTCTTCCAAAAACCACTCAAGCCATTTCAAATTTTACTTTCAGCTTAAAATTGATCTAGTTTATTCCACAGGAACCAACTTGCTCCACCGAACTGCTCCACCGAAACTCTGGAAATATCGATAGTCTGGTGGGAAAAAGTAAACAAGCTTGAAACGAAGCAAACAAATTTCAAATCATATGCTGGGCATATTTACATTATTTTGTTTTCAGAACAAAACAAATAAATTAGGTTGGGTGAAAATAAAATTTTCTTTATTTAATCACAATGTAAACCTAGTGGGCCTTTTTATTACCAATGGGAGTATTTTAAGTAATCCCAGTGGGCTGTGCTCAATCGTTCAGACCATTTAGACGAATTTCCACCAAACATAGTTCAGTACAATTTTTGAATTCGCCCGCACAGGTTGCGCACTTTTCGACCGTATTACAACACTGATCTACGTTAATATTCACAGGAAATTGCATCCCTGGCATCTGGAAGACTCTAGAAGTTTCTGGACGCTTCGATTTCGGGTCGGATTTTTCTATAAAAGCAGACTCGCGGCGTTCGCCGGTTCGAGTCTTGAAAAAATTTCGTGCAGTGCGCGTCGTAGCAGCAAATAGCGTCTGAAGTTTTGTGAATTTCCAATTCTATACAAAGCAAAGTGAAAATATCTGTATTTTTACCTTTATTCTGTGAATAGAACGAAAAACATACATACAAGGTGAGTATGCAAATTGCAAAAAAAATAGTGAATCATTTATTTATCAGTGGCAATGGTTAAAATGTGCATTTTGCCTGGTCCTGGCATCTCGAATGTTCTTGACCCAAATGCAAGATATCGATTTGAAATTTCTAGAAGCCAAGTTTTATTTTTTATGTTAACGCAAGAGTCTTTTACTACTAAATGGACTTATGCCGCTCTTTTTAGGGGTGACAACGTGCCTAGTAACAAAATGCCGGTTTTTTTTTTTTTTTTCTGTCGCTCGAGAATGTTCTAAGAGTTTCTATGCATCAGCATGAATTAAACCTAATGCCAAATGGGCCTTTTAATTATAAATTACTTTCCTTCATGTACAATTACACGTGCTTTCTTTGCATTTCCATTTTAAATTGCACATGCACATGTGCGTGTGCACAAACACACACATGCAAGCCAATGACGAATACTACCAAATAAAAATGTGGCGTCAGTCGGCTAATCTTAATATTGCGGTTTTTAATTCTACTTGCTCCATTTTTATGTTGGTTGCCAGGCAGATAAGTTTTCCTTGGGCTTCTAGACGTTTCCACAAATTTCCTTGGTGATGTACGAATTTTCAATGCAATGCTTACTTACACACGAGTTGGCACAGCAGGGGTAGAAAAATTAGCAACCAACCAAGTTTGCATAATAATATTTAAATATTTTGACTTAACAATCTTTTGCGATGAAAGAGTTCGCGTAGCTTAATTATATGATAGATTTAACTTCTGAACTTGGCAAAGTAAATGCTATAATTTCGACCACCACTGTTTGTACATGCGCATGTTAAATGAGGCATGTGCTAAAGAGAAAGAGGGGGTAAAAAAAAAAATAAAACGGAGAGCAGCTGCTGAAAATGCAGCTGTTTATCCCTGATTTTTCACCCACAGACTAAAACTAATCCTAATCTCTCTGTAAATCCATTGCAGATGCCGGAAGAAGCAGAGACCTTCGCATTCCAGGCTGAGATTGCTCAGCTGATGTCCTTGATCATCAACACATTCTATTCGAACAAGGAAATCTTCTTGCGTGAGTTGATCTCGAACGCTTCCGATGCCCTGGACAAGATCCGCTATGAGTCCCTTACGGACCCCAGCAAGCTGGACTCCGGCAAGGAGCTGTACATCAAGCTGATCCCTAACAAGACGGCTGGTACCCTGACCATCATCGATACCGGTATCGGCATGACCAAGTCCGACCTGGTGAACAACTTGGGAACCATCGCCAAGTCCGGAACTAAGGCCTTCATGGAGGCTCTGCAGGCTGGCGCCGATATTTCCATGATTGGTCAGTTCGGTGTGGGTTTCTACTCCGCCTACCTGGTCGCCGACAAGGTGACTGTCACCTCCAAGAACAACGATGACGAGCAGTACGTGTGGGAGTCCTCTGCCGGAGGCTCCTTCACCGTCCGTGCCGACAACTCTGAGCCCCTGGGCCGCGGCACTAAGATCGTGCTGTACATCAAGGAGGACCAGACCGACTATCTGGAGGAGAGCAAGATCAAGGAGATTGTTAACAAGCACTCCCAGTTCATTGGCTACCCCATTAAGCTGCTCGTAGAGAAGGAGCGCGAGAAGGAGGTCAGCGACGATGAGGCTGATGATGAGAAGAAGGAAGGTGATGAGGAGAAGAAGGAGATGGAGACCGATGAGCCCAAGATCGAGGATGTTGGCGAGGATGAGGATGCCGACAAGAAAGACAAGGATGCCAAGAAGAAGAAGACCATCAAGGAGAAGTACACCGAGGATGAGGAGCTGAACAAGACCAAGCCCATCTGGACCCGCAATCCCGATGATATCTCCCAGGAGGAGTACGGCGAGTTCTACAAGTCCCTGACCAACGACTGGGAGGACCATCTGGCCGTCAAGCACTTCTCCGTGGAGGGTCAGCTGGAGTTCCGTGCTCTGCTCTTTATCCCCCGTCGCACGCCCTTCGATCTCTTTGAGAACCAGAAGAAGCGCAACAACATCAAGCTGTACGTGCGTCGTGTCTTCATCATGGACAACTGCGAGGACCTCATCCCAGAGTACTTGAACTTTATGAAGGGCGTGGTCGACTCCGAGGATCTGCCCCTCAACATCTCCCGTGAGATGCTGCAGCAGAACAAGGTTCTGAAGGTGATCCGCAAGAACCTGGTTAAGAAGACCATGGAGCTTATTGAGGAGCTCACCGAGGACAAGGAGAACTACAAGAAGTTCTATGACCAGTTCAGCAAGAACCTGAAGCTGGGCGTGCACGAGGACAGCAACAACCGTGCCAAATTGGCCGACTTCCTTCGTTTCCACACTTCGGCTTCCGGCGACGATTTCTGCTCCCTGTCCGACTACGTGTCGCGCATGAAGGAGAACCAGAAGCACGTCTACTTCATCACTGGCGAGTCCAAGGACCAGGTCAGCAACTCTGCCTTCGTGGAGCGCGTCAAGGCCCGTGGCTTCGAGGTGGTCTACATGACCGAGCCCATCGATGAGTACGTCATCCAGCACTTGAAGGAGTACAAGGGCAAGCAGCTGGTCTCTGTCACCAAGGAGGGTCTGGAGCTCCCTGAGGATGAAAGCGAGAAGAAGAAGCGCGAAGAGGACAAGGCCAAGTTCGAGAGCCTGTGCAAGCTGATGAAGTCCATCCTTGACAACAAGGTCGAGAAGGTGGTGGTGTCCAACCGCCTGGTGGATTCGCCCTGCTGCATTGTCACATCGCAGTTCGGCTGGTCCGCTAACATGGAGCGCATCATGAAGGCCCAGGCTCTGCGTGATACCGCCACCATGGGCTACATGGCCGGCAAGAAGCAGCTGGAGATCAACCCCGATCATCCAATTGTGGAGACTCTGCGCCAGAAGGCCGATGCCGACAAGAACGATAAGGCTGTCAAGGATCTGGTCATCCTGCTGTTCGAGACCTCTTTGCTGTCCTCCGGATTCTCGCTGGACAGTCCCCAGGTGCACGCTAGCCGTATCTACCGCATGATTAAGCTGGGCTTGGGAATCGACGAAGACGAGCCCATGACCACCGAAGATGCCCAGAGCGCCGGAGATGCCCCTCCGCTGGTTGAGGACACCGAGGACGCTTCCCACATGGAGGAGGTCGATTAAGCGACTAGCCGAAACAAACAACCAAAATTCATTCTATCACTCGCATTCACATACACAATTTACTTGCGTTTCGAACTTTTATACTGAGTTTACTACGGCCGAGTTAAATTTTGTATTCATTAACATTTTGCCGCGTTATAAGCGACAGACATACGCTTAAATCATAAACAACCAATAATAACTCGTTAAATGGTTAGGATCCCACAGAACATTCAAGAGCAGTTGTCGTTTTAAGAACTTATAATTTAGAATCCAAGTAATTTATGTATAATAACTAAAGACTACATACGCGCTACATAGTTGGTATAGCTATATAAAGAATCGAGTATATAAATAAGGTTTGATGACCCGATCGATGATAAACATAAAACCAAATAAACAAGTGTTTTAAAAATGGTAGTTCTGAATGAGTATTTATTGGAAAAGAGGCAAATCTATCAATCGGATTCTTTGCGCAGTAACTCCTCAATGGCCTCCACCGTGGACACTCCCTTGGTTATCATTATTATTTTGTTGCGTGAACGAGATCCCTTATCCAGAGAAACGTCGCTCTTTCGGAGACCCAGAACTTTCGAGAGAAACTTGACCAGTTCCGCGTTGGCTTCTCCCTCGCTGGGCGGAGCGGCGATTTGGACGCCTACTCCTTCAAGGCCAATTCCTGTGATTCCGTTCTGCTTAGCACCCGGCTTGGCCAGGATTTGTATGCATATATTGCCGCTCTTATCGACTGAAATCGGACTGGGTTCCTTAGCCGGCGTCGATTTAGCAACGTTTTTCGCACTTTCAACGGCGGCCTTTGATTTTCCCTTGTTCTTTGACATTATTTGGGCGTTGACCGATGTAAGCAAGCGTCGCATTAGCTTTTTGGCTATTTTTAAATAATTTAGAAGTTTGAATGCATTTTAATAGCAACTTGTGGCAAATTTTGTGAAGTCTGCTGGCGTCTATCAGCTGATTCTTGGGCAAAACCAGGGATGCCGCACAAATAGGGATGAGCATATCTCGTGAGTGAAAAAAAATTTTAATTTAAATTCTATGTATTTTAATTCGTTAATTATAACTTAGTGATTATCTAAACGGAATCAAAAGTTTCCTTACACCCAACATTAAAAGAAATCTCCTTGTATTAAAACAAAATATGATTAGGTAAAAAATTATCATATATTCATCATTGTATGTACTCATAGTTTCTTCTCTACTCGTCTTTGCATTAGAAAACAACGCTTTAACACTTTGCACTATTTAAAACTGCGCCGAGAAGCATCTTAAAAATGCATTTATCGCCTATAAATGATCAGGGATCATTATTCAGTTGATTTTGTTGTGTGAGTGCTTAGGAGAGAATTGCAGGAATGCACATTGCAGAGCTTACAGTTAAATTAATTAATGCAAAATGCTTTAAATGGACTTAAATTTTGTATGTGTTTTATGGGAGTAGATATTGCGGACACGAAAATAAAGCCAAGTTGTTTGGGGTCATCCTCTGGTTGCACATGTTGCCGGGAACTATTCAGCTAGGGAAGGTGTTAGTAGTAGCAAGTGGAGGTTCCGGAAAGTTCTATTATCTTCCTCCAGATGCGGCTGCTCTCTGTGTATCATATGGGAGCTGGAGCTTTTCCTTACGCGGCGCGTATCGACTGAATGATCTGGAAAATGGCAGAGCCGCAGACCACAAAGATGAACAGCGCCAGGAGCCAAGGTCCCACGGAATACTGGCCCTCTTTCGTTTTCTGCGAAGAAGAGTAGTTCAGATTAGCTTTGACTTGTCACTTCTTGTATAGGGAGTATATTGTATATTGCATTAAGAGATTAGTGGAAATCGTCGATGGGACGGCAACATCTAATCAGAATTTCCAGAAGTGCCGATAACAGTCTCATACACACGCCAGCCTCCGCACACATGTGTACAAACATGCATACATATGACCAATAATAAAATCAATGACGGCGTGGCACTTTTCGCCATTGATTATCAAGCAATTTTAATCAACCTTTTGCTGTTATCTCCACTTTCCCTTAATCAGAGTGGTTTCAACTATTAGTTTTAAGCGAAACTTACCGAAGATTTGGGTACATTGCCACGCATTGTCACATATTTGCTGGCCTTCTCGTTGGCGACGCGCATTCTCTGTGGTGGAGCCATTTTCTTGTGTTGTTGTTGTGAAGCACAATCGCACTGAAATTAGTAAATTAATTGATTGTCAATTGCCAATTGTTCGAGCTGCAGCTTGCGTGCAATTGATCACTTCAAAATGAAACGGAACAAGATGTCGCTTTGCAGTTGTCCGAGAAAACACCGTACCTTTCAGCTCAAAAATAACAAAACGAATGAGAAAGCGACGACACGACACGTATACTGCCAGGGCTGCATTGGCGAGGGCTGCAAACGATGGCTGTCAGGGATGCAGAGTACCATTCAACTTGCATTAACATTAATCGAGTTCATTAAACATTTTAAAAACATAGGCCTTATTAATGCGCATGTAATGTAATGTAAGGATTTATTTGATTTAAATTAATCATTGCACAAAGATATGATAGATTAAAACCTTCCAACATAATTATGTTATAACTTACATTTGTGTACCTTAACATTCAGCTAGTCATCTGGCTATTAGTAACCGTTATTGTAGGAGCATCGCACGGTCGCACTGAGTCGCATAGTCCTCAAGCGAACACGGTCACACCTAGACGACGTAGCTGGAGAAGATCATCAATTGCAGCGCAGGAGAGGAGTGGCAGTTGGTGACGAAGAGATCGATCTCATCCAATTCTGAGCAGGAGCGGCCGGAACCATGACGATGGACGCCACCGCCCTGCCGTCGGAGCTGCTCGTGACCCCGCAGCCGCTGGTTGGCTTCTGTGGGCTGGACACGGCCCGGGTGTCGGTGCACAAGGCCGTTTGGGAGGCGTTTAGCGGCAGTCTGCAACGCAAGGCCGCAGACCGGGCAGCCGTGCAGTACAAGCTGCTGCCCCCCAACTATGAGTTTCCGGTAGCCAAGCCCAAGCGGGCCAACTACGAGTGGTATCACCCGAAAGGCATACTCAAGCGGAACTGGATGCTAAAGCACCTGCACGTCCTGCCCTCGGTGGTGGTGCTGTTCCAAGATATGGAGTGGAATGATCTACAGTGGACGGAGAAGCAGGTGCAGTGTGCGGCAATTGTGCAGGCCCTAAAGAACGCCCTGCAAGAGAGAAATACCCGGCTGTGCCTGGTGCTGCTGCAAAAGGCAGCGCCGCTTCCACCTGGCGAAGATCTGCTGGCTGCAGAGCGAGCCGCCAGTCTGACAAACGCTTGTGCAATAACTAGCAAGATGCTGTTTATTCTCCCCCACACAGAGCATCTTACAGGCTACGCCCTGCGACTAGAGTCCGCCTTCTTGGATATGGCTCAGTCCTATTACACCCTCATGTCCAAACGGATACGCAACCATCGGGATCAGCTGACGGCGGCGCACACATCGTTGAAGATACGGCACCAGTTCAAATTGGGGTTCGTGGCGGAGATGCGGCAAGATTTCAGCACTGGCCAAAAGTATGTTTTCTTTAGCCTTTTCGTTATGCATTTAAGTATTATGTATTTCCTCGCAGGCACTATTTCCAAGCCTATGCCAATCTGGACGAGATTCGCATCAATGACGGCAATTGCCTGGAGATTAAGACTCTGGCAGGATTTTTGAACTATAAAATCTGTCGGCTTATGTTTAAGCTAAAGACTCCCAGGGATGCCATTAATCAGTTTATTATCCATGTGGAGAAATACAAGTCTAGAGTGGGTTTCAAGGATCTAGCCTTTGAGCATCACGCCTGGTTAAGCACTCAGTAATACCGAGCTGTAGCACTTCTTTAGATATCATAATTAATTACCATTTTATTATAGACATTCCGTATTCGCTGAGCTGTTTTGCGAGGCCATCAAGAACGGACTGCCCGCCCTACAGACGCAACACCCTGGAATCTATTACCACAAAGCAGCTGAATATGTGATGAAGCGACGTGATGCAGCTTTGGAGGCCTATGCTGCGATTCAATCCTCCTCAGAAGCTACATCCACAGCGGTTCAGAATCCTTTGTCCCTGTACACAGAGTTTTTCGGGATCCGAGCGGTTAAGACCGGCGATCTGGTGGCCGAGCAACAAGCCAATATGCAGATATGTGATCAGGAGCGCAGCTATAACCATTCAGCGGGAATCATAGCCCTGCTCAGCCAGGCCATGGCCCAGTTCAAAATTTACAAGTGCCTCAGGTTTCGAAAGAAACTAGCGATCGACATGGCCGAGGAGTACCTGAAGAGTGGGGATCATGCCAAGGCTTTGACGTAAGATTATGTTTTATTTGATCCGTTGCAAAAAAATTAACTTCAATTCTTTCCCAAGTTTGTATTCCTTAATGCTGCCCGATTATCGTCAAGAGAAATGGTCTACGATATTCACTGATGTTTTGCTTAAAACACTCCGTTGTGCGTTGCTCTCGGGATCTGTAGCTGACTACATTGCATGCAGCGTTGAAGCATTGTCTTTGCGCCATCAAGGCGAGCAGTCGGAGCGAATTCTGATACTGGAGAACCTTTGGCAGGTGTTTCAAGGCGTGCCACCCATACCGAAAACTCAGCTGATGCCCGAGGCGCAGGCGTTGTGGACTAGTGCGCTGGCCAGCGTGAAATCGCCCATTCAAATTGATTTAGATAAGGTCAACGATGTAGTGGAAATGTGTGCCACATTCGAGCGGGTTCAGTTGAACAACGACGACTTGCTCCAGTTGCAACTAATAGTGCGGTAAGTTTTCTTTTCTTTACAACTTATGTGCATCTACTTATTTTTCCTTCTGCTTAGTGTGCTCACGGATGTTCCTTTGAGAATACGCAGCTTCCATGTCATTTTAGCCGATGCGGGGAATCCCCAGAACAGCTACAAACTGGAGGCCCTCAAGTATTTCTGCTTTCCCAGCCTCACGCAGCTACGGGGCCAAAAGCAGCCGGATGAGGAGCAACTGGAAATTCAGCTAAAGGAGCCCAAAAACTTTGAAAAGAATATGAGATTGGAGCCCGGCTCCTACTACCAACTTTTCTGCAGCACTGAAGCACAGCAGTTTCACGAGAACACTCAACTGCGCATCGTCCGACTGGAGGCCCACATGGGCACTGACCAGGTAGCCGCCCTACTCACGTGCAGCTCCAACTACTCACGGCAGCTGTTCCGACATCACACGCGCAGTCGCGATCTCGATGATAACGTGACGATCAATCCCATTTGCTACATTGCGCCCACGTAGGTCAAAGCGATTGGTAACGGAAGCAGAGACTTATTTCCGGACAATTGCATGCAATCAGCGCATTTAATGCTCTACTAAACACGGTTTTCTATACCAGCTTTCATTTGGACACGCAAACCAACCTTGGCCATGGACATGATAGCGGCATAAGTGAGGAAAAGGAAGTGGTGGCTACAAAAATGCTGGTTAACGAGTACTATCCTGTTGTGACCACTGTCAGCAATCCATACAATGTATATCTGCAGAATGTGGGCGTGCACATTAGTATTCCCGTGGGTCTTCGAAATAGTGGTAAGTACGAGATAAAATGTAATGGAACTTATATTAGTGGAAAACTTTAAATTTTAATTTGATTATGAATTTTAGTCCTTATTCGACTTAAGCTAAGCATCTACAAACTGTACTAATTGGTTTCACATGCCCAAAGCCTTGTCGATAAAGCTCCTAACAGTCTTGACATTGGTATAGACTCCCGGTGAACTTTTTCGTGCACATCCAACGCCCCACGAAACAATTCCGCATAGTTGACCCTGATAGACGGCAGGTCCTCCGGAGTCCCCTTCGCAGGAATCCTTGACGCCCGGCACTGAGGCGCAAAACATGGTGTTCGTGATGGTTCCGCGCAGCTTATACTGACTCATGCAGGTCTTACGGGGAATGAGCGCCACATCCACGCTGCGCACCTGCATTGACACTGCCTTGGTCCGTTCCGTAATTTTTCCCCAGCCGGAGACCTTGATCAGATCACCAGCTTTAAAGCTAGCATTACACAGCTCGATTGTGGACACTTTGGGACCGCTGATGGGAGCTTTTAGTTTCAATACAGCCACGTCCATGGCAAGGGTGCGGGTGTTGTAAGCCTTTGGGGTATAAACCTTGTCCACACCACTTCTTACACCCGTCTCCGTAAGTCTCGTTGCCCCGGCGACGACTAGGATACGAGAGGCGCCGACTCCCTTGACGCAGTGGGCCGCGGTGACGACATGCTGTGGGGTAACCAATGAACCGCCGCATATAAAGTTCCCACTGATGCGCAGGTTCACTAAGTAGGGCACACTAGCAATGTCCACCGGTACACCGCCCACAATCCGACTGTTGGCCTCGTTGCTGGCCGCCCAGCAAAGTGGGATCAGGTGGAGCACGAGCCATAGCGTCGCCATCAGCTCACTCCATCCCTCGATATTTGCCGTATCCGGTAGATGTAACTACCAACCGAGTTTGCGAGTCGCTGGCCAGCTGCGATCGCTGTTCCGAGTCAATACGCGCGGCTCTGTGCTCCGATTTATATGCCTCTTAGCAAACAATCATTACACAGCACACATATTATTTTATGGCGCAATTACTAATTATTTTAATAAACCATTTTGTATGGCTTATCGCCGGGTTCCATCATCGTATTTACTTTAGAAACTGAAACCCAACAAAAAGTGCTGCGCAAGGGGGCTTTATGTGGGTATTCTAGGCGCTTTTACCGACCTTCTGCCGTTGGTTCAAATCCATAAATTAGTTCATTGAATAGTTGGCGATTAAACTGTATTTTTTTAAGATCATCGTGCCATTCTAATTTCGTTTAAATGTTGTTCCATTTAGCCCGTTTCCGATACAAAGGTATGGTGATCATGAAACCTCAATTAATAAGGAAACGATTTGTCGAGGTCTAATAGTTTTAAAAAATAACAAGATTCAATACTGTCTGATCAAAATGTAATGGCTATAATCATTAGATGATTAATACAAATTGCAAATCAACAAGCACATTCCATAACAATTTCAGTTTCCAATCCTGCGTAAAGTTTGTTCTATAAAGTCACGAACCCTTCCGCTAGCCACATTGGTGTAAACACCTGGAAAAGAAGGTCGTGCGCAGCCGAATCCCCAGGAGACAATGCCACAAACCTGACCGCGGTAGACCAAAGGACCTCCGGAATCTCCAGAGCAAGAATCGCGGAGACCGCGCACGGCGGCACATAGCATAGAATCGCTTAATTGGCCAACTCCGGCATATGAGAGCTTACATTCCGCTCCTGGAAGCACTCGCACAGTGGCAGTGCGGACCTGTTCGGCAGGATCACGGTCGTTTTCGCGGGTCACTCCCCAACCACTAATCCTGGCATACGCATTACCCTCCGGCGGATTGCGACAAGGACTAATTGTGGCGACTTTACCGTGGATTAGCAAAGCGGCCTCCTGCAGCTCCAGCAAAGCTACGTCCATGTCGAAGTTGGTGGAAGAGTAGCTGGGCGAAGTGTGAAACATAGCTACATTGCGAGCCACTGGAGCTTCTTGCTCCAAACGACTTGCGCCGGCATGAATCGTAAAGTCCACCGGCTGGGATCCATAAACACAATGCGCTGCACTTAGGACTACTGTGGTGGAGATTAGGGATCCTCCGCAGATAAAGTGACCATTTTGCCGCAGGTAAACCAGGTACGGAACCTCCGAAATAGTTGTCTCCTTGCCGCCCACTATGCGCGTTCTGCTGGAGGAGCTGGGAACGACGAATGCTAAATGGCAGAGCCACCAGAGCAACCACAAGCCAACCATGGCGTGTCCAGACTGACGGCTACTATGTATATTGCTCTCTAGTTTTCGAAGTGATTGGCTTGCATCTGTTCCGGAAATGCGACTAATGGGATTATTATTGCATATTCGGAAAAATATCTCAATTGCAATACCACTGCATGGGATAACTGCCTTATTAACAATTTATTGGGTTAAAGTTTAAACAAATGGATTGGTAGATCTTTAGCAATGTCGCTCTATAAAGCTCTTCACCCAGTACGTAATCGCTGGACTACTGAGGCGGGTGTAGACGCCTGGATAACCACTGCCACATCCGTAGCCCCACGATACTATGCCCACTGAGCGATCAGCGTGGATTATGGGCCCACCGGAGTCACCTTGGCAGGCATCCCTGGCGTTATCCCCCCGAGCACAAAACATGTTGTTTGTTACTTTTTGCTGTTCTGATCCCACTGATTGGATGCACTCGCTGTGCGAGATGAGCTTAACATTGGCCTCCTGCAAACACTGGTTCCAATTGTGACCCTCCTCGTTGATCGCTCCCCAACCCAAAACCGTGAGATTTGAATGCGGTGGCAGGTCATTGAAGTCTATCTTCACCATGCTCGCATTGCCGGCGATGTCAAAGGGACTACTCAATCGGATTACTGCCACATCGGAGTCCAGTCCACGTTGACGGCAATAGTTTGGTGATACGCCGACATACCAGGCCGAACGCACATGCTCCGGCGGTGACTTATCGCCAAGGCACTGTTGTTGGGCATGTAAAGTTAAATCCCGGACCTGGTGATGTCGTCCCTCCAGGCAATGAGCTGCTGTGAGAACACAGTTTGGCGAGATGATGGCGCCACCGCAACGGAACTTGCCACCGCGTCGAAGATTGACCAGGAAGGAATGATCTTTCACCAACGTTGTTTTTCCTCCAAAGATTTTACCCTGACGAGGAGTAAAGAGGGAGCTGCCCTCCAGTTGATGGAGCAGTGCTAGTCCAATAAGGAGTCTTAACATGGTCTACGGAAGTGTCAGCCTGGAAGCAAGTTTATATGTATCATTATATACTATCTCTTCCTGCATTCCCCAGTTAATTGCCTTCAGATAAACTTAAACTATTTATTAACCGTTAAAGCTAAGACTTAAGATTACGCTCAGGAATGCTCCTCCACGACGCGCAGAAACCATTTGCGGATCACAGGCACACTGGTGTATATGCCAGGCAAGGCGGAGGCACAACCATACCCAAAGGATACAATCCCCGCCAGCTGGCCGCGATACACCAAAGGTCCTCCCGAGTCGCCGTCACAGGAATCCCTTTTGTACAGCTTCGCGGCACACACCATGGAGCGAGTAATGCGATGTTTCCCTCTGAAAGCAGAGACGCAGGAAGCGCGTGACCACATGGGCACCAGGACACTGTGCACCCGCATGGCAGTTTCTGACGTATCGGCATTTAGGGCACCCCAACCCGAGACCTTGACCACAGCGCGAGCTGGAACGGATTGTGCTGCCAAAGCTATGGTCTCTATGTTAGCTCCGATCATATCAGAACTCAGGCGCAAGGCAGCCACATCCATATTGAGGGTTTTGTGATTGAAATCTGGACGAATCGCCATGAAATCCACAGTGCGAATGATGGCGTAGGGACCACCCTGATTGGAGGCACCACCATAGACCTTGAAGTCATCTTTGGTCTTGTTGTAAACGCAATGAGCCGCTGTGATAACCCATCGGGGCTTGATCAATGATCCGCCACATAGCTCCTCGGCTGTGGTAACCTGTACGAGATATTTCTCCTCCTTTATGCTGGACACATAACCACCAATGATGCGGGGCTGCATCTCCACGCTGTCGGGATGTGCGTCCGAAGCTGAAAGGAAAACCAAAATCAGAACAAGGAACAGCGTAGCCAGACACCGGTCAATCATTGCGGTTATCCAACTATACCGAATGAAGCTGAAACTTGATTATATATTATGTAAGTGCGGACGGAACAAGACTTCAACATTTGCACAATTGTTCAATCAAACATCTTTGCTGGGAAGTTTAATTAACTCGCAATCAATGATATTTAAACGGAAACGCTCACATTTTAGATTTGGATTTAATCCCGTACGTAACAAAAATAATCTGTTATGGACTTCATAGACAGCATATTCCCAATCATGTTTACCTCATATATGTACAAATATTTTAAAGATCTGTCTGAAGTGGTTATTCGTCATTAAGATCTGAGGAACAATAAGCTGTTATTAAGAACAATTTTTAGATTGAGAGTTCGTTAACTGTTTGCATTGCATTTACTTAAGGCAGTTGTTTATCTTCTCTGCCAAACCCACTTATGTTTCGTTTTCGTTTCGTGTTTACTTCCAATGTCTTCATATCTCTATTGTTCTAATATATTTATTTATATTGCCTATAGGCGAGGCTAACGTTTCCTGCGTCAAGATATATCTGTTGATCATGAGACCTCTCTTTAGTAATAGAATTTATTTTTAAGTACCATATTGCAAAATGTCATGAAAGATGGTGTTTAGTTAACAAACTTTTATTATGTCGCAAATAGCTTTCAACGACCTTACGATCTAGGGTAGTTCTAATTTTATATCGCTCAAACTTGCGATTCTCAATTGTTGGCCATGATATTGGTGGCCCACTGGCGGATCGAAGACACGGCTGTGTATACGCCTGGATAGCCGGCTCTGGCGCACCCATAACCAAAGGATACGATGCCCACGAGCGTGTTGTTCCTGGTCACTGGGCCACCGGAATCTCCGCTGCAGGAATCCTTGCCGGCAGCGCGTGCACAGAGCATGTACTTGGTGATGGTAGCCTGACCGCGGTACTCCTTCCGGCACTTTTGCTGCCTGACCACCCTTATCTGTACGGTCCGCAGCGTTTTGGATGCCGTTTTGCTACCTTCCTTGGTCAAACCCCATCCTGCAATGCGTACCCTTGAACCGCCCTTGGGTCGATAGTTGGCCATTGATATGGTTCCGATATTTGTGCCCGTCAGGGATTGGTTCAGCTTGAGCAAAGCGGCGTCCATGTTCATTTTCTTCGAGGTGAACTTGGGCGCCACGTGAATGGAACTGACGGAGCGAGTGACGCCATCACTGCCATCCAAAGTAGTGGTTCCACCGCGCACCGTGAAATCGGAGGCACGGTATCCCTTGACACAATGGGCGGCAGTTAGAACCCATTGTTGGGCGATGAGGGAACCACCACACAGACTCGAGCCTCGACGCAACTGGACAATGTAGGGTGTGGTGGAAATGGTGGTGCTTGTGCCACCCACAATCCTCGACTGAATCTTGCTCGATGTGGCGATCTTCTTGTTTTGGTTGACGCCCTTGGTGTTGAGTTTCCTCGCTGTAGTTTGGTTGCGCTTGCTTCTGTTTCCGGTTTGGTTTTTTCTGCCTGCCAACTGCTTGGTTCCGTTGACTCTTCTCAGTCTCCTGTTTCTCCTTTGCTGATTGCTTGCCACGGTTTCGCCCAACTGGATGAGCTCGGCCAAGAGCAGCATGCCCAAAATAAGACACTCCCAGCGCCAAAGCATCTCGATGTGAACTGTTGTGCTTATGACCTTGCCCCGGCTTTTATGGCCGGATATTTGGCAAAACATCGAGAAATCACCTGAGCAAACAGTACGGTACGGGTCACAATGGCAGGCATTGCCACTTCAATGGCATTCCAGCTCCAGGTGCCATCAACGATCAGGGTTAACTATCTAATACTGATTAATAAGTCGAAGAATCTAAGCGGAGCTAGCAGTACCTGTGAATATTATCCACTATCCAGTCGGACAGGTAGCTCACATCAGAGTATACTCCTGGACTATCCCTGGCGGCACACCGATGTGCCCTGCCCCACGACACGACGCCCACAAGGATGCCTTGGGAATTGACCACTGGCCCTCCGGAATCCGCGGCACATGCATCCTTTAAGCCCGGCACGGATGCACAGAACATGCTGGCCGTGATGTTCCGGTAGCCCCGATACAACTCCCGACACTCCCGTTGGGGCATCACTTGCACATGGACACTTTGCAGCTGATTGGGCAGCGACTTGGAGCTCGCTTTGGTTAATCCCCAGCCGGAAACCCGGACGAAAGATCCAGATGGCGGAGACCGCACGGCCAAGGAGATGGGTTTCGCAATGGAGGCTGAAAGCGGTTGCTGAAGCTGGAGGAGCGCCACGTCGTGGTCCAATGTGGCGCGGTTGTAGGCCGATGGCAGCAGTATTTTCCTCACATAGCGGGAGTTACGCATATCAGTTAGATAGGTCACCCCGCCACGAACCACAAAATCCGATGGTTTGCCATCTTTAAGGCAGTGGGCGGCGGTCAGGACGCAGTGTGGAGTGACCAGGGAACCGCCGCACTCGAAGTTCCCACGTCGCCGGATATTAACCACGTGCGGCTGGTTCCGCACACCGCTCGGGTGGCCACCCACAATACGTGGGCTTCGGCTTAGTTCCAGCTCCTTAGCCGCAGACTCCGGACTCCAAATCATCCACAACAACACTGGCAGCAGCATACCTTGCATCTCGATTTCGACTCGTCTGTAATGTGAACGTCGGACGACTAGAACGACGAGCTGCATAGCACAATCATTTATAGAGCGGGGCGATACTGACCTTTCTCAACGAAAACCACTTACAAAAACACCTGTTCTTCGGTGTTTACAGACGGCAATGAACTTGGTATGGTGGAGGCTACTACGAGGAAGCACGATGGTGTTTGTTTAGGGCTTGGAAAATAGATAACGAATAGTGGGAACACATTTACTCTTATTGATTTGTTAGCTCCGACCATTAGATGCTATTAAATTCCATCACAGTTCGCTTAAATTTGAATGCCAATTGAATTAAAAAATTTATGCAATAAAATAAAATGCACATAAAATATATGTATGTTATGCATCCATCAATTAACATATTAATATTGCAACTTCTAGTATTCCTCACCACGGATATCTCTCCGGGTCGCCAAAAGCTGCACTCTCAGATCCAAATAGACGTGGGCGAGCTGTCCGCCCACGGGAGCAACACGGCCACTTTCTATATCTTCAGCCTGACTGAGGCGGAAATCAAGCTGCAACAGAGACTAAGCTACACTTTGGATGTGGATCGCGGTCCAGGAGGAAGTGGCACCAATGCCCGGGTGAGCACAGCTCCGAACAGCTCGGAATCTACGCCCGATCACGAGGTGAAGAGTGTGACCCAGAGCCTGGCTGCCATTTCCCCGGTGCAGATCGAGTACCTGGACGAGACGCGCTTGAGAAAGTCACGAGAGGATACGCTCACTGTGCGATGCTACGGCGACTTTAAGTTCACCGCACGTTTCTACACGATGGATAGGAAGCCTTTGAACCAGGTGTATCGTGGCGAGAACTTTTTGCTCAGATCCAACACGGAAGTGGTGGCCGTGAACGATGTGGAGATACTAGACAGCTTCTTTATATGTGTAAGTGTAGTTTAGGACATTCAAAAAACCATAGGCTCATTGCCATATATCGTTTCCTTGTAGGATCACAACATAGTGCAATCAAACTACAGCTTTAAGCAAAAGAAATACACCAACAAGTACAGCGCCGGTGAGCAACTGGAAAGCGTGATAGTCCTCCGGACGAATGCCACTCTGCGGGACTGGACGACTGCCCGAGATCTGGATCACCGCGGCAAGTTGGAGGGCAAGGCGGTAGTTAGTAAGTTTATCAGGCCCGCACTTAAACCTGCCTCAGAGGAGCCTCTTGCTCCCACACCGCCAGCCGGAATGAGTGCCTACATGAGCAAGAGTCTGGTGACCAAGATACCCACTACCATGACCATCATAAACAGCAATTCGGCTGTGTCCAATGCACTGCAGGTCGCCAACGCTGGAGTGATGAGCAACTCAATGCACTCGGATGATGTCAATGTGGCTGAGGAAGCAATAAATACCCAAGAGGGAATCAAAACCACTCGGCTCATATACAACAAGGCTTTGGAAGCTGTGCAGGGCACGGGACACTGCCGCGGCTTTATCAAGGGTATCTACACGTTGGAGGGTTATCCTTCTACTGTGCCCGTTTTCGGGGTGTTCTGCATTCGCTGGCGACGGGCCAATGGCATGGAAGAGAACGAGTCCAAGTTCGTCATCCGGGGCTTAGACATTGCAGAGCCACCGCTGAATATCTACTGCACCATCGAGGAGAAGATGTTCGTGAAAATGCCCATGGCCTTTAAGGTGGTGCTGAAGAATCCCACGACGCATGTGCTTCACCTGATAGCCAACCTCAGCATCAGTAAGACGGATAACTTTATATGCTCGGGTCACAAGCAGGTTGGTCCTTTTTATGGAACTCCTTTGGTTTTTCCCAAATTAAACTGTTAATCGTTCCAGCTGGATATATCCATAATGGCCTACGAGGAAAAGGAACTGGTCTACAACCTGTATCCATTGCAAGTGGGCTGGCAAGAGTTACCAGTGCTGAGTCTGGAGTACAATACCAAGGCCGATCCACAGAAGAAAGACAGCCAGAATGCCTTGCTCGACGAATTGGTGCAGCGTGCACTGCCCAAACGAGTCTTTGTGCTGGTAAGTGGTCACTCATGTTTAGATTTCTTCCGATTCTAATTAATTTCAATCCCCCAGCCACCTCTGAAGCAACAGAACAAGTAGGGATGATACTGATATAATGCCGCTTTAGTTTAAGTGTTTTAAAGTTTACAAATATCACTGGTGTGTAAAAATTAACTACGCCTACTCCCTCTTTATTGCTAACAACAAAAATACATACATAAATAGCTATATTTAGAGAGTTGCATAGCGTAATACTTGAGAGTGTGTGTGATTGTATTGTATAATGTATTGTTAAACGGGCCAAGACGCACTCGACATTATTGTTAGTTGATTACAGCGTTTTAGATAAGCAGTACTAAGTCTTGGCCAGTACCGCAAACTGCACATATTTTCGTACATCCTTTGAACGTACAGTAATAAATCAATAAAGCATACAAATATCGTTGAGAGAGCACAAACATTTCAATCATTTCCGGATCTCTTTCCGCTCGAGGCAAACTTGAACACGCCTTTTTTCTGGTTACGATTTTCATTCTGCAAATACACAAAGCAGTGAGGACCACAACTTCCTTATCTTCCAGATGTAGTAAACTTACCAATAAGCGATTTCCGAACAACATCACAGCCTTATCCTCCGCTTCTTGCGGGGTTGCACGTTCCCCTGCGGACAGAATCGGCTGCCGCTGGTGGATATGTAGCTTCTGTTTGATGGCCTGCGAGAATATCACCCGCCGGCTCACCGACTTCATGGCCAGGAGCAGGTCCAGCCAGGTCCATGTCACATTGTGATACTCCAGCGTAGGTATGACTAGTGAGTAGTCTGTGATGTCTTCTAGATTCTTCTCCTTGTTACCCTTGTAGCTGACGCGCACAGGCACTTCGGGTATCTTGATGTAGATAAACAGCTTGTTTTTCTCGGCGCGCTCCTTCATCTTCTCCACGTCATCTTTTTCGATCTTTACATAGAACTCGGAGTCCTTGGCCCCTTTCTTTCCCTTGCCCGAACGTTTGGTCGACGAAGATGACGATGACTTGGCCTGTAAATTCGTTGTGGACGCCGAACTAGTCGAAGCGTTGTCATCCAGCTCGTCACTAACCTCCGTTTCGGAGGCATCGCGGTCCGGGAAACAGAACTTCAGCATGGTGCTGTAGAACTTTTTCGTAATGGCAATTGTAATAGGAGCCACATTAATCTCGAAATGCTCCTTCACGGATATGCCGCCCACTGGAGCTTTTTCACGGCAGAAAATACGCAGCACCCGCTTGTGGGTGTCAACGGGCATGTCCTTCTGGATTTCAGTGGCCAGCAAAACATCGCGATAAATTTCTCGTGGCAAAAGATTTTCCATGCGTATGTTGCCCAGCTCCAGCAGATGCTCCACCGAATCGTCACTCTTGGACTTCTTGGTGTATAAAAAAGCACTAAGGACAAGATCAGCTATGCCAATCTGTCCATCCGTTTCGGTAAGCCGCCACTGGGCACGCTTGAAACAGATCTCATTGGTACGCACCATCGTCACCGACTCGTCGGAGCGCACGTTCGATATCTTGCTAAGCTGTGACAACTGAGTTTCCTTGTAGCAGAGCAACATCATGTCCAGGTCCTCGCTAAACGTGTTCAGCTCCTCCTTGCTCTCCCGGATCATCTGCTGGACATGGTCGTACTCTTGACGCAGCTCCAGTGAGTCGCCATCTTCAATCCGCTCTTTGCTGATCATGTGTGTATCTTTTTCCAGCGAACGAATCTTCATCAGTAGACTACGGATTACCGTTTGCTTCTGCTGGATGGGTCGCTTTTGATCCTCCGTCGAGTGCAACTGAAGCTGAAAGCGCATCCTTGTCAGCTTTTCTGCCGCCTGCTTTCGCTGGGGTTCGACGTAAAGCAATAGATTGTTGACAATATCCAGGATCATGGCGTACTGCAGCGAGTTGGTGCATACATCCAGGTCGTGATGCATGAGTGTGAAAGCATCTACGGGATCGTCTTGTTTTTCCCATGGCGATTGCAATTCCTCTGAAGGAGGTGGCGGTACCTCCGTAATGCTATTTGGATCGATGGCATCGCCGTAGCTCACGTAGAAGAACTCGCACTTACACTTGGACACAATCCGCTGCAACTGGACGGGTTGTGCACCTCCTGAATTGTCGCTCAAAAAAGCTCCAACAGTCTCTGAAACTACGCCGCCCACACTGCGCCCACTGCCAACCAAATGTGATATGTCCGGCAAGTTGTTGATCACAGTCTCGTCCTTGTCCTGAATGTTGTCCACCGTCAGCCACATGATCTCCTTCTCCAACAGGGAATTATTATCACCCGCACTAACTGTTGCATAGTACTGCATGCACTCCAACAATCCCTTCCATGTGGTTTTTGAAATTAGCGAGCGCTCGCGCCAAACTGGACGATGTTCCCGCTGCAAAATTTCAGCTTTGGCAGCACTGATAATTACATAGCCAGACGTCTCACAGCCTTTTAGCAGTACTTGCGAGTTCACCAGACTGATGGACCAGTTCTCGTGGATTATATCCTGAGCGGAACATGCCTGCAAGCCCTGGAGCTGCAGTTCCCTAGATTGGGTGCTATGATCATCACTATACACATTGAATTTGTGGTCCGCCTCTGCGATGAGCTGCTGCAACATGGCTGTAGCATGAATCTGAGCGGGGGCCTTTTTCAGCGATGCATTTGGGTTGGAAACTAGAAGAAAGGTTTTTAGAAAAAAAAAACTAAAAAGTTATGAGTTAGCAGCTCACTTGGCAAAACCTCGCTGTTGGTGCTAGACAAGGTAATGGTGCTGTCACTTCGCTTATGTTTCAAAACAGCAGAGTTTGGGCCCTCCTTGCGATAGCTCTTTACCGCCTCCGTGGACAAATTGTTTTTTAGTTTCTGTGACTTCATGAAGGAATCAAAAAGAGCAAAAGCCACATCTCGATTGCTCTTTGTCCAGGCACCCTTTAGGTCATAGACTACCAATTTATGCGTGGGTGTTGTGGACTGCGCTTTAACATCCTCTTCCGTGCTTGTGGCCGTCGTGGGTATCAGTGCCTCGCGTCCATAGGAAACCTTGGCCACGCTGAGGAAGTAGAATCTCACGATTTTGAAGGCATCTGCTGCACTGGCCAAGTTCTCAGAGCTGCTGTCCATCTTTTCGGTGAGAATGCTCTTAAGCCAGATCTCTGCGTCGTTGAGCTCGCAGTTCATGTAGATCGTTGACCAATCCGCTCGTGGCCGATGGATGAGCCCATCGTCAATAGGATTCAGGGTTAGCGAGTGTTCAGAACTGAAAGACACTCGCCGGCCATTCAACTGGAAACCCTTTTGGAGGGCGTGGGACATCCAGTAAAGCACTTGAAACTTATGTAAGCACATCTGCAAGTTCGCTTTCTTGTAGTGTCGACTAAGGGGTTTCTTTCGCGGTCTGACATTGTTAAAGACCGGACCCCGTCGCGTGGGCCTTGTTACACCAGATAAAATGAGTTGCAGACTCTCAAACCATCGCAAAGTGCTGCCGTACAGCACCAGGCTGGGTATGTCGACTTCCAAATCTTCGCCCGCCTTTGGCTTAGTCTCGAACGATATCCAAATGTTGAGATTAAGTGAGCGGAAGGCGCGGAAGGAGTCGTGAACTTGATTACTGGAGTACTCTGGCAGTTTGTCTGGGGCACAGGGCATCACAGCATGGTGGTCGTTGGGATTAGCCAGGCATACCCATTTCAGCTTAATCGTCAACTTAAGATTGGGAAAATGAAGTAAACGACAATCGTCGTAGCGGGACGCGGTTCGTACAGTGACCTAAAAGAAGAGCATAATTTAATTTGTACAAACAACTATAAAATAATAAGCAATACGCTTACATTAAGTTCCCCTTTAAACATAATCTTGGCATTCGTCAGCACGATCCCGCAATTGTTCCAGGTCAACTCCATTTCCTCTGTCGTGTTATACGGATCGAGCGAGGCGTGGAGGAGTATTGTAAATTGCTTGGCTATCAGAGTCAACCGACCATGTAAAAGCAATCGCAGCTTATCCCAAAATGGCAAAGGGGGCGAGGGATCCTTAGAGGGAGCCGATATCTTCTCAAAACTTAGATTGCACTGGGCCATTACTGGTTCCCAGCACGCCCCAAAGGCGTAGCTACAGCTCTCCAGTTCGCAATCAAAGTCATGGTAGAATTTTAGGGAGGGCATGCTGCGCTGAATCACATCAGTGCCAAAAGGTTCGCCCACGTCAATGAACACATCGCGCTTGGCTCGCTTGGAGCCCATTTGCTCGGCTCCACAAAGGTTTCCATACAGTCGCATGCTTTTTACGCAGAACATTGGTTGTGGGAAATCCCTGAAAATATAATCAAATGAATGTTGAATTAACTTGTCCCACTATATTACCACCCACCTCAGCATAAACTTCCATTCAGTACAGCTGATGTTGACCCCGCGGCACCAAAGTGTAGAGAATTCCAAACCCTCTTCCGGCCAGGGACTCTCGTGATCGATCTCGCGCATAATACGCGTCACATTATCGTAGCCATGGATGGAGGTGTCCGCCATTGCCATTATATTCACGTCCGTCATGATCCAGGCCAGCAGTCGGGTACGAACTGGGCCACTTTCTCGTATCTTCTTTGATCGCTGAATGTAGATCTCTGAGTTCTTTTTCACCAGGTTCGCATAGAGGCCCTCGATCGTTCCAGATGGCAACAAAAGACGTTCTGAGCAGAGCTCGCCAATCTTTTTATCAAAAAGCGCTTTGCGCTTCAAGCTCTCCAAGTATTCATCCACTAGTAGAACATAGTTATCACGAAGTTTAACCTCAAAGGGATCGTCGCTAATTTCCAGCAAGAACTCCTTGATCTTAATAACCAAATCACAGGGTAGCGGTGAGTCCACTGTAAAAGGTTTCTTTTTGTAGTTGTGAACCATTTTTAGCCATTTAAAGTGGGATGTGCACTCTCCATTGACTGCGTTATAAAAGTCGTGGTCATACGGGAAAATGGCCTTAAAGGATCCAATTGTGGTGACCCACACCTTGTTGGAGGGCAGTTGAAAACCAGGAAAGTTTAGTCTTTCTTGGGTGAGTACCTCGAGACGTGGAACTGATTGTAGATCGAGCTCTTTCACAGTAAATATGTGCTGATCATCGATCTTGACAAACACATTCTCCGCATAAATGATGCATCGTTCCTTTTGGCTGAAGAAGAGGCTTTCCACAAAGATCTGAATTGAGTGACGATCAGAAAACTTTATTTCGAAGATGGTGCTACGTTCTGCAGACAACTCCACTACAAGTCCTCCCTTAGGAGTGGTTTTCTTAACAGACGACGCCGGAATAGCCAGCTCTGTCTTCAGGTCTTGCATATCCCGCACTAATGTCAACAGGTGCATATGCAAGTTAGCGTTCCACGTGGCCTCCATGTTGCCGGGTATGTAAATGGATAACTTTCCCAGTGTCCCCTCAACTTGTTCATGTTCCAGTCGTATCATTTTGCAAGTGGCAAAAACGTCCGAAAAGTCGGTGAGGCAAAGCGAGGAAGCCGTCATTGAGCGCATTATTGCCATCTGAAACTCTTCAAGCTTTAGGGTGGTTAGGCTTTGGGACCGTGATAAATTTAGCTCTGAGAAACTGAGCAGCGTATAAACATTATGATGATTGACAAAGTAGGCCGTAATATCCTTGACCTTAACAGACACCCGCAGTGAGGTAGATGATTGTGATGGCTGCACGGACAATGTAAGGCCTGCATTTGGTCTAGCCTGAGATTGTCCCGACATAGTCATTGGTTTTATTCCCCCGTACTGCCGAAGGCACTCCATTGACTTGACCACAAATTCCGCCAGCTGCATGCTGTATTCCGTGCGGAAAGTGTGCACTGATATGTCCAATTTAGTTGTGTTTGCATAGGAACAGAGCTTCACCAAGCTCACTCCGAGGAAAAACGGCGACCCAGGCGAATGAGTCTTTTTCAAGTTGTTGGTATCGTTGATGGAATTTCCTAGATTTGACCACAGAGTTTCCACCATGAGTTCCATACTCCATTGTCGCTGATTCAACAATAAATTCAGGAACTTGTTTTCATAGAGATTACTTCGTTTTTCCTCGATCTGCTCCAAGAGGAATCTCGTGTGACTCACACTCATAGCAATATGCTCATCTTCCAGTTTCATAAGAAGTGACACATTAAACAGTTCCGCGCAGCCTTTAACAACAATTCGCTGCATAATCCACTCGAGAACGCCTCCCTCGCGGCGCTGACTCGCCCGGAGATTACTCTGCACAGCCGTGTCCAGGTCCAAGTGATCCGGCAGTGATTTCTGCTTATGTATCAACTGCATGGGCTGCGCTCCCCTCGATCGCTGGCGGGCCAGGAAGTTGTTGTTGACAAAGTCATAAATCTCACTATGGTTATATATGATTTGGAATGTCTTAAGTTTTACATACAAGTTGAATATGTCTTTTTCCAACTGAAAGGTTAAGCATTAATTAGTATTTCATAAATTAAGTGGAACATAATGTCTTTACTTACCACAGAGTCTATGGTAAATTGTTCAACAAAGAGAAGCTTTTCATATTTGGTATCAATGTCTAAATGATGGAACCCCAATTTGGCCAGCATTGACGGTAACAACGTCTTTTCATCGGTTACTTTCGAGTTAAACTTTCCCGAGATCTGTGTAAAAACCATTAAGTATTATCGATGAACTCATAGGAGTGGTTTTAACATACTTGAAACGACTGCAGTTTGGCACTAAAATCGTTTTGTGAGTTTTCTTTGACGGCCGAAAATGTTGCCGCTCTAATGCTAAAGTTAAAGTTCTTTGGTATAATGGGCGCCAGTTTCTCGTAGTTGTCATTGTCGTAGGACCTCTTCGAGGGCGCTAGGGCTTGTGGGGAGCGTCGCGACTGCTGACCGGTCGATGTCCTTCGCTTGGCCTCACTAAGGAACTCGTACAGTCCGCCGTGGATGACGGATTTGGCATTGTTGATGACCAGGCTAAGGGTCTGCGAACGGAGATCAATGTAAGTTATGCACTGGAGACACAAGTATATCACTTACATCCATGGACAGAGGGCCTTGGGCAAAGAGCGATGCATCCAGAGTCATGTCGAAGCTGACCTCGCCCAAGCAAGGCCGAATCTTGTTCAGATTCTCCAGCGATTGACGGCGAGAGCTGCAGTGCCTCAACATCTTGGCTTGGGCTTCGCTTAGGGCTGCATTAACCAACAGCACACGAGCATTCTGCACTATACTCCCGTCTAAATGAAGCTCCTTCGCTGTGGCATGGATGAACCATCCCGGATCAAAGTCATTGTTCATCAAGACCACTGAAATGTTGTTCACGTGAACTGACATGAACTGGGCAAATGTGATAATGCTCGCCGGCACCTTCGTTTGCCGGAAATCTGGCACACCCTTCGCCTCCGAGGGTTTGCCCTCCGACGTCTGAGTCCGCCGAAGTTCGTAGGTGTCCTGGGAGTCATCCTGTCGACTGTGAATGTCTTTGTTGATGCGAATGTCGCGGATGTAAATGGAGAGCAGTTTGGTCACCTCGGTGGTGAAGAAACTGCTACGCAGGCACACCTCCTCGATTTGCTGTAAAAAATATAAGTGTTTATCGCTTGGAAACCAGAGTACGAATATTATCCATACCACCGAGAATCCACTCTTGCTGATGTGCACATTCTTCAGGGACAAATAGGGCAGCGAAATACGGCCAATCCGTACTTTGACCCGAAATCTCTTGACCAAATACCAACTAATGCCCGTGGGCAAGACCCTAAAATGGAAAGTGATAAATGTTGTATGTTTATAACGATGACGGATTATTTATGAGGCCCCAGACCAGTTAAAACTTACCAATAAACGAAGATGAAGAGCGCCAGGCAGAATAGGAGCAGCTGTAGCATCATGTTGGTGCCTAAATACCATAGTGTTCCAACATTTAGGTTGTGTTTTTAATGTTTTTAAATTTTTTGACTAAATACTGAACAATTTACTAGTTGCGGCAATAGAGTGACCAGTGCATAAAATTCAAAAATACCTCCATAAGCTATCAGTTTTTTAAATGTTTAACCCTTCGCGATATGCATAAAATAAGAAAAACTTTTTTTGGCTTTCCCCAGACGGTCACACTGTGACTTTATATCTTTTAAAAATAACAAAATCAAAAAGTTATCTTATCGCTGCTCCCGCGATATTCCATTGTAAGCATGCGAACGTGAAACCCAACCGAAGAAGTCGCTATGTTGCTGCTGGAGCTGAACATTCTGACCCTGAATATATGGTGAGAGCATGCATCTAAGGCATCTCCTTCTACGGCTGCTGGAGCACCACTTGCCTTGACACCGATCTCTGGAAGCTAATTATGTGCATTTTCAGGGGCATTCCGTATGTGTCGAGTGATCGCGGACCGCGCATCGATGCCATCTGCAAGGAGCTGAACAGCGGAAAATATGATATTGTGTCCTTGCAGGAGGTGTGGGCGCAACAGGACAGCGAGCTGTTGCAGAAGGGTACGGAGGCGGTCCTGCCCCACAGCCACTACTTTCATAGCGGCGTGATGGGCGCTGGTCTGCTGGTGCTCTCCAAGTACCCCATACTGGGCACTTTGTTCCACGCGTGGTCCGTGAATGGCTACTTCCACCGTATTCAGCATGCGGATTGGTTCGGCGGCAAGGGTGTGGGTCTGTGCCGCATACTCGTCGGCGGGCAGATGGTGCACCTATACAATGCCCATCTGCACGCGGAGTACGACAATGCCAACGACGAGTACAAGACGCATCGCGTCATCCAGGCCTTCGACACTGCTCAATTCATTGAGGCCACCAGGGGGAACTCTGCGCTGCAGATCCTGGCTGGCGACCTGAATGCCCAGCCACAGGACATCTCTTACAAGGTGCTGCTCTACACCTCCAAGATGCTCGACAGTTGCGCCTCGGACTCTTTTCGCACCAACGAATGTGAACACAACTCGTACACATCTAAGCAAGCACGGGAGAGAAATCCCCAGGGCATCCGCATCGATCACATCTTTGTGCGTGGTGGCGATCACGTGAATGCTGAAATAGCGGAGTACAATCTACCCTTTCCGGAGCGAGTGCCCGGCGAGAAATTTAGCTTCTCCGACCACGAGGCAGTGATGGCCAAGCTGAAGTTATTCAAGCTAGCACCGAGAAGTGAGGAGCCAGTGGCCACGATAGAGGTAAACTGCCTGGTAGAGGATGGTGAAAGCTGTGCGGTAAGGGAACTAGGAGCAGGCGATGCTCAGACAGGGGAGGACGATCAGTCACAGCAGCAGACGGAGATTCAATGCAATGGAAGCTCAACTTCCATCCAATCCATGCCCGCCGCCAGAACTGCTGCCCTTCACGAAGCTCTGGCTCTGTGCGATGCTTCCCTGCTTCAATTAAACACTGATCGAATACTGTACTACAGCGCCGCCACCTTTCTGTTCGTCCTCCTGGTCCTGCTGGTGGAATTCACCGCCCCTGTGGGCATGCGCACGATCTTTCTCCTGCTCAAGTTCATCGTGTTTGGCGTGATCCTGTTCTGCTTGTTCATGGCTTCCATCTGGAACTATATGGAACGAAATGGAGTCCTTCAGGGCAAGAAGTCAATGGAGGTGATGTTGCACCACGCCCAGAAGTACGAGTACTTCTACTGAAGCTGTGGGTAGTAACCAAGCTCAATGCGCATTTAAAATCACTGTGTAGCATAGTTTAAGCAGCGATGTATGTTTGACTAGAGTTTATATAACTCTTACTTGATCTTTTACGTCATGTAATCTTCAATGCAATTCCATGGTCTCTTTCTTTGTAACGTCATCCATAATCCATATCCCAGGAATTAAAGTTCAATAAAAGTGAAAATTATTTAGGAACACAAAAGTGTATTGATGCTTACATATTCTATGTATCAACAAATAATTACAGAATTTAGTAAATACAATCCTATAGTTTCGCATTTAGTTAACTTAATCAACAAGTTATCTTCCATATCCCAAAAAATGCTCAGAAAAAATAGAGGTTCAGTAACCTCATTCGAGGTTATAGAAGATCGATTTAAAACCTACATTAGGTGAACTAATTATCAATATACCGCCTCAAAGTATGCTGTACTTTCGTCGCGACCAATTACCGACAAGTGAACACAGAAATTTTCTTTAAGATTAGGGTGTTTTTAACATTTTTTCTTTATTCTCGAGTAGAAAACAGCTCCGCATAAACCCATCTGGTACAATTTATTCGGGCTTCTTTCCCTTAGCAAGCTCGGCCTTCTTTCCCTTCACGGGGGCGGGCTTCTGGGAGCGCAGGACAGCGGAAGCGCGGCGGAGGGCAGCCTATAAGCACAAGTAAATTCATTAGAATACGTCCAGCACAGAAGTACAATAATATATTTTTGTTGAGAGCCTCAGATAAGTTTATCAACACGGTCATTCTGCGATCTTGGTTAAGTAGCATATTAAAAAAATATCATCATAACAAGAACCAAAACAGTTTTAGCCAGGCATTGAGCCACATATTCACCTGTGTCAGGTCCTTGCGGTACTTGGAGCCGATGAGCAGGTTCTTCAGCTTCTTCAGGGAACGGCGGGGACCGGCCTTAAAGTCAACACGCACAGTGTTCTTGGCGGGACGCTGGGCATACTTGCCTTTCTTCAGCACGGCGGTGAAGCCCTTTTTGTCGGCGGCTGGCACGACTCCCAGGGTCTTCTTGTGCACGATGCCGCTGTAGCGGTACGAGCTCACGCTGGCCAAGTTGTTTGGCTCCTGAAAGGGTTCAACAGTCAGTGATGTGCTTGGACTATCAGAGTAGTGATGAAGCCAACTTTTGTCAGATTAAAGTTACTATCATGTTGTATTCAAATATCATTGTGAAAGTTATAAGTTGGAAACATCATTTTAACCTGGTGCACGTTATTTATTGTAACATTTATTACTTACTGTGCTGAAGGGCTTCTTAACATCGCGCTTCTTCAACAAGAAGGCGTTGTTGTTGCGAATGATCAACCAATTGAGGTGCGAAGAGGTTGCCATCTCACGTCTGTAATAAAAGGTTACAACATATTAGTAATTACTCTGGAAAAGGCCATATTCAATATTTTTGGTAAGGTATTTCAGTTTTGGGTGATGAATATAGTCTTCAAGAACTCTTCTGCTAAATCAATCCTCATTAAGACAATTTTGAATTTAAATACTTTTGGTATGCTTACCTTTAAAGAAAAATCAATGAATTAGCCATTCAAGAGGTGAACATGGAAGAAAAAGAAAGTCTGCAGTTAGATTATGTTGTTTCTGAATAAAAGATGAGATCTCTAGTTATATTCAGTCTTGGGTGATGAATATAGTCTTCAAGAACTCTTCTGCTCAATCATTCATCATAGAATATATCACGCATTTGTAGACCACACGTGTTCTTACCTTTATTAAACAAATCCATGTAAATGAACAGCAGGAAAAACAGCATGTAAAGAAAGAAAGAAAAAAGGATTAGCTGGGTAGTGATCAACGCCACGTTCGCTCAGTAATATATACAATTTGATTAAGTCTAAATTGAGTTCGCTACAAATTAATTCACATTTTTATTCACTATTTGCCCGCTGCGTTGCACGTGTGGGTAAAACTCAATTTACCTCCGGGGTTCAGCGGGCCGGCAGCCAAATTGACGGAAACACGTGGGGCAGGCATTGTACCTCAACACTTGCGGAGCGCTTGGGACGCTGAAGAAACGCTAGAACTTAACCAAATCGAGAACAAATGCAAAATGCCCACCTTTTCTCGTTGAAATACAAGAAGGAAAGAAATATGGCAGCCCGACATAGCGCGAAGTTGGCTGCGCTTGCCGAAAACACTGGGTTGCATTCTGGGTTGTGCGAGTTGGCAGGGCAACTATCGAATACAATTACATGCGCTACCACATTGAATATATTATTTAAAATTTGTCTGATTTGCCGTTTTAAAACCATTTTAAAAACACACGACATTAATTTAATTTTTGATTTTTTAATGCGCTAGTGTAATAATATAAATAATATAATATAATAAACATTTTTCTGATTTGCCATTTTAAAACCACCCGACATTAATTTTATTTATCAGATTTTAATTGTCTTCAAAGTCATATCTTCCTGTTATTTCATAACCTCCTTGTCAAATATTTTCAGGATATAAAACCAAACCAATACATTAGTCAAAAAAAGTGAAAAAAACAACGGTGCCAAAATTTGCAAGGACATTTCCAGTTAATAATTTTAAATCAGATTTGTAAAATACAATCGGTGCTGGAGGGCGTTGCCAATCTTCTGAACACTCGATACTATCGATTAGAAATCGATTTTTTTCCAGCTCTAGTCTACTTGTCAGACACATTTCCGAAAAAACTCACTCAGTAAAACGTTAAATTAAAGTTCAAATATCAACAAATCATTTCAAAAAGTTTTTGTTTTAGGCTGTGGTTTGTTTTTATTGTCGTATGTCCATCCAGAATTTAAACACTCGTGGTAAGTAAATGCCAAATGAGACACTCTTCCCCGACTCCTACACATGTACATAAAAATGGCCGCCCTGCTCGTCATCATCACACTACACACACACACATGCACATAAGCGCATTCTGGGGCAAAAGTAAAACACGCTGCTAGGGTGTGATTACATGCCTTACAACTAGCGTTTTACATCTTGCATGCATTGAATTTCCCGATAGTCGCAATAATCAAGCCATTTTCCGCCTTTGCAGACCCCTTTGCTGATGCAATCAAGGGCAATGATGATGATATTCAAGACGGGCTAGTGCACATAAGAATCCAGCAGAGGAACGGTCGCAAGACGCTAACCACTGTCCAGGGCCTGTCCGCGGAGTATGACTTGAAGAAGATAGTCCGCTCCTGCAAGAAGGTGGGTTTACCTAAGGGTCTCGTTATCTGGAATATCCCTCAACAGTCGAAGCAAGATATAATCACGCGTGCTACCTGCTAATCCAGTGAAGTACAGCACTTTAAAACCAGTGTTAAAATTTACCCTTAATCTATTGATTTCCATGAGGTCGGTATAGAAGTTTAAACATCCCTTACTAAGTGATACATAAGTATTTGTACATGTCCTTGATGATGTTTGAGAGATTGTAATTCGATTTCTTTTCACAAGAAATCACAGGTTTGTGCATTATTTGTTTTTGAAATTGTGGTAGGCTTCAGAAAAAAATAATGATTTCCAATTGCACAGATTACAGACACCGGGTTAGTTTTTAATATTGATTGCTTCTACAGTTGTGGATTTGGTTGAACAACACTAACATTCATTCAATCTATTCACAGGAATTCGCATGCAATGGCACTGTAATCGAGCACCCAGAGTATGGTGAGGTTCTGCAGCTCCAGGGCGATCAGCGTGAGAACATCTGCCAATGGTTGACGAAGGTGGGTCTAGCTAAGCCGGATCAACTGAAGGTGCACGGCTTCTAAGCGGACGAACGAACAAACCGTGTGAATCTTCATACTACTCTTTCATTCTTAAGCTCTACAACAACACCCAAAAACTTGAAAAAGTTCTTTGTTCCGATTTATTCAAACACTCTTGATAGAACATAAACATACAGAAGCAATAGACCATTTACTGAGAACAATGTTATAAATAAAATTAAATGTTCAATTTAAATAAACGAATGTGTGCGGGCGCTGTCATAGCATAATGGGACGAAAAATTTACCTTTTTAAGTTTCAAATTGGTTTGCTTGGCACTGGAATGCTTGCATTTCAGTTATCAATAAGTAGCGCAGAGTATCATGCAATAAATGCTATTTGGTTAAAAAGGTACTGAATCAACATGTAGTAAAATATGATTTATTTATTGTCTAAACAAATAGAATGTTTAAATTCAAAAAGTCAGCTTTGGTTGTTGTCCCAACTTCAACGTTTTACACATTAAGTGAAATACCTCCTAAGGCATACCTGGGTATATTTATGATATTGGTGTGCAGTAACACTAATTTAGGCACAAAAAATCGGAGCGCGAAGTTTTTGCGTGTGTTGCATTTTGCTGAAAAAAGAATTAGCTGAGTGTCCAACGTTGAAAAATTCGTCCCCCGAAATTGTTGTAGCTGACGAATTTCCCAACAATAATTCGTCAGTAAAACGTGCAGTAAAGAATACGTGGACGCGCGGAACGCTTGGTGTTTCATTTTGTTCGTTCGGCCAAATTTAACAAGTGGTTTTTCGCCCCAGCGTTGTTGCAGCTGCACGAAATCATCGTCTGCAGGCGGATGAGCCCGGGATTTCCATTATCCCCAGTGGTAAGTGAATATGGGCGCATAATTGTGCAGGTAACATTATGGGAGAGGGGGTGGAAGGGCTGGATTTCGCTTAGCAATATTATGTTCTTGCACGTTTCAGGGTTGTCACCTTGCAGGCGGTTGGTATTTTTTGTTCGATATTCTTGGGCAGCGTGCTGGTATTAATGCAGTATTTCAACATGCTATTCTCAACATTTTCATTAAACAACAATCACCATTTAAGCATTACTAGTCAACGAAAAATATAAAAACATGTCTTGACTTGCGCGTCGCTTGCTACGGACTTGTAAAAACCTGTCAGAAAAACTACTGACAAATCGAGTTACTTTTCAAACTTCTAGTATTTCCAATCGCTTGCAACCCTGAATTGCGATCTATCGAAACGGCGAAAGTTTTCTATGACGATGAGAAGTCGAATTTTTGGATTTTTCGCGTGACAAGTTGGTGGTGAAAAAACTAGGCACAACCTTAACAATTCATTTGGCAACTTGGCTAACGATTGGCTACTGAAAAGCGCAACGCTGGCTGGTGCGGGCGGTGCAAGTAGGGTGTGAAAAGTCGCCAAAAAAAAAAAATCAATTGCCTCTCGGTCGTCTTCAGTTTTCAATTCACATTCTCTGCGTGTGCAAAAACCGAAGGAAAGGCTAGAAAAAAAATTAGACTGAAAACGACAAGAAAAGAAGAAAAAATAGAAAAGAAACGGCGAGCGGAAAGAAGCAGAGCACACAAGAAGACCGAGGAAAAGGCAACGTAGAGTTGAAGAAAATGTTGTGGAAAAGGGGCGGAGGAGCAGGAGCCGTGTTTTCGAGTCGCAAGCAGCAGAAGCAGTATAAATAAATAACCATCGTCGCCCAAGAGAGTGCTCGATTTTTAGCTCGATTGGAATCGCGGAAAAGCAAGTTGGCGAAATACGAAACATCGCAGTGAAAATCAAATTTTCCAAATAGAAAGAAGAGCTTCTCCTCTCGCTCGTTCGCCTGCTCTCTCTCATCCTCTCCTTCGCTCTCTCTCGCTCCCACTCTCGCGACTGGGTGGCAACGTGTGTGTGTGTGTGTTGCTGTGTGTGCCTGCTGTGTGTGTGAGTGTGCCGCGTGCGTTAGTGTGTGTGTAGCTCGAAAGAGCGAAAAAATAGATTTAAAAAAAAAAAATAAGAGGAAAAGCAAATAGGGAGAAGCGAAATAACCGACAGTGTCTTTGTGTGGAATTTCTTGATAATTGCAACATACGTTACCATGGAATACTACCTAGGTTGGTAAAATGCGTTAACTAGCACCCGTACTAATGTGCGTGTGTGCCACCCCATATGCATCACCCACATGCTCAAAAATTTGCATGTGTGCGCTTATGCTGCCACTGCGTTTCGCTTGTTTGTTTTTTGTTGTTATTAGCTCGAAATCGGCAGAGTTTTCCCACCGTCTAGCTTCCTCCGATTACGAAAGTTTCCCGTTACATCTACAATAACAAAAAATTGACCTTGTTTACACACCACACACCCACCCACACACACATACCCAGCCATGCAACACCACCCATCCCCCCGACCAACCATAATGTGAAAACCGTCTTATGTGCAAACCATTGCAGGAGGATATGTGTACATGAACGGAGATGCACTCAAGATCCAGCCGCCCGTCTACACCAACGTTCCTGTCGAGACGGCGATGCTAGCCACTAATCTGTTTGGCGCCACCACCCAAATTGCAGCGTCACCAGCAGCAGCCGCCGCTGCCCACATACCGTTGATCACAGCCGCCGCTGCAGCCGCCGCCGCCGCAGGCGCTCCACCAGTAGCTCCTCCCGTTGCCGTTGCTCCAGTGGCCACGGCATCAGCAGCACAAGCAGCAGTTGTGCCCACACAGCAGCAGCAGCAGCAGGCGCATCCACACCAGGCCCAGATTCTGGCCCATACGCACGTAGCCCACCAACAGCAGCAGCAGCAACAGCAGCAACAGCAGCAGCAGCAGCAGCAGCAGACGCTCCAACAGCATCTTCACCATCAGCAGCAACAGCAGTCGCCGCATCCCGCCCAACATCTGACCTACGGCCATCAGCCGGCGCTTCCGCAGGCCACGGCTGGAGGATCAGGAACAGTAGCCGGAGGAGCAGCAGGAGCATCCGGAGGAGTCGGGGAGGCCCAGGACACCAACGAATACGCCATCATGAATGGCGCACTCGCCCAGACCCAGGATGGCACTGTGGTCTGCTACACCACAGACGCCCTGAACAACACGAATTTAGTTGCTCTCGATCCGCAACCCCATCAAATTGTAGTGCCGGTCCAGGTTCCTGTCCAAGTCCCAGTGCCCGTTCAGCTTCCAGCCAATGGGTCCGCTGATCAGCAGCAAGGCCACAATGCAGCCGGTGGAGAGGAGCCCAACATACCACTGGATAAGCTCAAGCAAATGCTGGCCACCCAACTTGAGTACTACTTCTCCAGGTGGGTTTCATCACCTAGCACTAATCAAACTACATATATCTGACTGTGATTCTTATTCCCCTCCAAACAGAGAGAACCTTGCCAACGACACTTACCTGCTCTCCCAGATGGACAGCGACCAGTATGTGCCCATCTACACTGTGGCCAGATTCAATTTGGTGCGAAAACTAACCAATGACATCAATCTCATCACCGAGGTGCTGCGTGAATCGCCCAATGTCCAGGTGGACGACAAAGGCCTGCGCGTGCGTCCCAATCGCAAGCGTTGCATCATCATTCTGCGCGAGATATCGAACAACACGCCTCTCGATGACGTCAAGGTGGGTAACTCTTCTCGCTCCCCCGAGCCAGCCCAAATACTAATTGGATTTTGCTAATGTTACAGGCTCTATTCAGCAATGAGAGCTGCCCCCGCCCGATATCCTGCGAATTTGCCGCCAATAACTCATGGTACATAACCTTCGAGTCGGACGAAGATGCGCAGAAGGCGTACAAGTACCTGCGCGAAGAGGTCAAGGAGTTCCAGGGCAAGCCGATCATGGCTCGCATCAAGCCCAAGTCGTTTATCAATCGCATCCAAGCTGTACCAAATATGAAGAACGGCTATCGCCTCACGTCGCCGCCGACTGCCAATGTCTTTGATCCATCCGGAGCCGGTGCCGCCACAGTTGGCTATGCGGCTGCCCAGCAGCCCCGCTATCTGTACACCAATGGAGCGGCCATCGCGGCTCCCGCCTCAGTTCAGTACAGCAATCCAGTACTGATTGTGAGTATCATGTATAATAATCAATAACAAGGCTTAAGGCTATTAGATTTATTTGAGTAAATTGTGTTTCCAATAACTTAAGTACTTTACCACTCGAATTGCGATCAAAAAGCCGAATTTTTGCATACTTTAAGAAAAAAGTGAATAATTATGCGAAAATTTGTTTGCTTACAGCCGATTCCGCAGAATCAATTTTACCCCGGCTTGGTGGCTGGACCCTGGCCGCCTGGCACTGTAGCAGCCACTGCCGCCCATGGGCAAAATTTCTACGACCTGGGAGGAAACATCTTTACCACCAATCCTTTAGCTCCGCAGCCTGTGACAGCCGGTTTCGCTCAAGCTCCGCCACCCACCGCACAAGCAATGGTCACGTCCAAACCGCAGGGCGGAGGGCGCTACAATAACAATCACCGCGCCAATCCAAACAACGTGGGCGGTGCAAATTCGGGACCACGCGGCGAGTCGAGAGGCAAACCACCGCGCAACACACAAACAGCCTCGCACATCCAGGGCGGTAATATTGTACCCATCCAGATAACTGGAGCTATTCCAGGAGGAATGGTCAGCGTGGTCCCGGCCAACATTGTGCAGGATCCACTACAGCCGGCCCCATTGCAACAGCAACCCCAGCAAGTGATCCAACAAATTCAGCAGCAGCCAACGAGCTCAGCTCAACAGCAACAGGCCACAGTGCAGGTGAACAACTCTACTCGTCACTACCCCATCAAGAGCAACTGGAAGGGTGCGTTTTCAAATGCCGTGTTGGTGCGAAACCATCTAATACAATTTTCATCCCCTACAGGTGGCATGCAGAAGAACCTTGACAAGAGCTATGGCGGTGGTGTGACCACCCACCATCACTACACCACCCAGGTGCAGGCTCTGCCCGCCCACAGCCACCATCTGCAGGCTCAGCAGCAACAGGGACAGACTCAGCAGCAGCACTATCAATTGGCTTCCTCCAGCGCTGCCAGCGCTCCGCAAGTTACCTATGTATCCACTGCACCGGCTCCACAGCAGCAGCCGGGGCAGCATCAGCACCACTTGGTGGTCCAACAGACGCAGCCACAGCAGCAGCAACAACAGCAACAGGTAGTCCTTCAGCAGCAGCAAGTGCAGGTCCAGGAGTTGCAGGAAGCGGGGGACGGTGTCGAGCATAGCTCTCACGCCATGCAGCAGGTTAACCGCAGCAGCAACATGTCTGCCAGCTCCTCCTCATCGCTGGCCACTTCGATCAGTAAGGAGCCACTGCAATGGCAGAATCGTCCGCGTCGTCGTCGTCGTGATGAGGAGGGCGGAATCAACTATTCCCCAGGCGGGCGAGTTGGGGTGAGTAATCTACCTTAAATGGCTTGCAGTTTTGAAACCTTTAAATGGAATTTAAATTTTATAAAGCAAGTCACTAAAAGTATATGTGGCTTCGACAAAAGTTGTATTATGATTTATTCATAACCGGCTATACTTTTCCATTGCAATACAGCTCTACGGCAGCTCACCCTCAAACCCGCACCCGCAGCAGCATCTTATGTCATCTTCCACCGGGAACAATGTACAATCAACTGGCGGAACTGATGGCGGCGGAGCCTCCCATCGCGGCGGAGAGCGCCAGAGCCATTACAACACTATCCACGACGTCCCACCACCCCAGCACCGTGGCAACTACAAGGGCAATAACTACAATCCGCATTACCACGCCCAGCATTCTTCGATGGCGAGTGGCTCGCACCATCACCATCAACACAACGCCCTGTCGTCGCAGCAGCAGCAACATCACATGACCACCGGCACTGGGCAGCAGAGCTCGGGTCATCACTATCACCACCATCATCACCACAATTCGATTGGTAGCAATGTGGGCAACAGCGGCGGCTTAGGCGTCAGCAGTGGTGGATCCGGGGGTGGAGGAACTGGCGGAGGATCGGGCAGCAACAGTCTGTCCGGCGGAAGCAACGAGCGCGGTATTCACCACAGCTCCTTGGGCTATCAGGGTCACCAGCATCAGCACCAACAGCAGCAACAACAGCAGCAGCAGCAGCAACAACAACAGCCAGCCGCACCAGTGCAACCGCCACAGTTCGATTTAGAGGATGCTGCCTTTCCACCACTGCCAGCCACGTCAGCCAACGCACCACATACACCTCAGGCCACTGGCGGAGCCTCCCTGCATAACTCAACGACCTCGTCATCCTCATCAACAGGTTTGGGCCAAAAGCAGGCCCTACACCAGCAGCAACAGCAGCCGCATCAGCACCAGGTGCTGAGCAGCAGCGTGGAAAGCGCCGGCGGTGAGGAACAACGCTCAAGCAATCAGCAGGGAATCGAGACCAGCAATATTCACTTGGCCAACAGTTCCTCCGCCAACAATTGGGCTGAGAACCGCCTGTCGGACGTGGTGCGCACTGGTGGTGGCGGCAGTGGAGGCAAGGGCAAGGCCCGTAAGGATAACAGGCACCCACAGGGCCAGAACCAGCCCCATTTGGCCCACAACTATCAGCAGCATCAGCAGCGCAATCCACCTGTTAGCCCCACGCCAGTCCTGGGCGCTGAGTATGGAATCCAGATTCAGGAGGGCAACAATACTAAGAACGTTACTAAGCAGAGCTCCAGTAACAACAATTCGATCCATGTGATAAAGTGTCAAACACCAAATATCAATGCCAGCAGCAAAGAGGAGGCAGCCGGAGCCCAGCAACAGCAGCAGCAGCAGCTGGACAAATCAAACAAGACTGAGGATGAAATGCATCCAAAGCAGCCATCGCAGCAGCGACTGGTCGAAGGCTATGTCCAGCAGCAGCAGTTGCCACTGCTGGCTGGCCATAACGAGTATTCCGCTGCCCTGGCCGCGGGCGCTGGCGCCTGTAGCGTGGTGGAGGGTGGTCTGACCACCAGTTTGGCCGAGTGCAGCCTGGGCCAGCACAAGAAGCCGCCCTCGGTGGCCGCCCTGCATGCCAAGAAAGACGCCAATCTGCTGGAGAAAGGAGCCAGCAAGCACAAGAGCGTGGCCACGTCCACGTCTACAGAAAACCTTTCGGCTGCCGCCACGGCCAGCAAACTCAGCTATGCCCAGGTGGCACAGCACCACAAGGCCGCTGCCTCCTCTGATGGCAAGGAGACTGGCTCCGGTGGATCCACCGGCACACTGTCGCCCACCGGCAGCCACAAGATGGACCTAGTCTTTGGTGATCCCGCCGTTGTGGTGGCAGCCGTGGAGAAAAGCGGCCTTGCCACAGTTTCTACCGAGAAACGCGCCGCAGGTGGAGCCTCGCCCGCCGCGCTGATCGGCAAACCAACTGGTGGTCTTCCGGTTACCAGCACTACCCAAGGCAGCAGTGCTGTCGTGGTCTCTGCCAAAGAGAAAGGTATGTTCAAAAGCCAGTAAAAGCGTTCTTTAGATAAGTAAAACCTTATTTTAATTGTGCTTTATCTAAACGTAGTTGAATTGATTGTGATCAGAACTTATATGGATAAAATCTTTGCACTCCACAGATAATCGTCCCAATGCCTCCGTTCGCCAACTGAGCAAGGAGAAACAGCAGCAACACCAGCAGCAACATTACGGCTCTGCTACAGAGCACAATACTAATGCCAATGTCGGCTTGGGGACTAGCGGAAACCGCAAGTCCAGGGCCAACAACTCTTAAAAGAAGGGGAGAGGATAACCGCGTTGCCAAAGCGAGGCAACTGTGAAATACCTTTGCAGGATGCCTCTAAAGCTGCATCCGACTGTAAATATATGAAATTCCATGTGTAAATATGAGCAAACCTTTTTGTTATACCTATAAGAGCTAGAGATATCTATGAGCTAACTAAGGAGGCATACGAAAGGTGAGTTGTGTTCCATACCTTGAAATCATACTCTATCCTTCCGTTTTGCAGTAGTTGCCGCTGCTCGAAAGGACGCGAAAACCAGAGCAGAGGACGGAGAGAGCAGCAGGCGATGCTTGGACCAGTTATCATATTAGTAGGCAACGACGAAGAATGAATGGTGCATACCCTTTCTCCAGCTATATTTAATCAGTTATCAGTTAATGTTAATCTACCTAAGCTAATGTTACCTAGACTCGGTGGGTACACACGCAGCTTAGCGCGGCGCGGAGGAACAGGAATGTGGCGACAGCAGAAAGAGGAGAAGAGAAGAGATGTATATGCCTAAGCTATTATTACGATTACCAATAACGATGCCGAGTGAATAAGTCTTAAGAAGTTTGAGCGTAGTTAGCTAACTATCATCGAACGACAAATCAAAACTAAAGCAAGTTAAGCCAAGCAAAGAAAGAGAGCAGAAGGAAATATTAGGTTTTATTGATAAATTACCGATGAACTCATGAATCACACGTCAATTTTACGTTATATTATTTGCGTTTAATATTTCATCATTCTCATTTTTGCTTACACATCAGAACGTAATGTTTATAGCCAAAACAGAAGTACACAGATACGAGTGCGTAGCCCACATAGCTATGTCTCTGCTAGTCTCACAGGTTAGGGTTACTTCTATTATTTAGATGTATTATATATAGTATATATATATAATATATATATATATATATTGTTTTGAATCATTGTAACATTTTAACGGATGATCTTGTTTGAGCAAGAGGTTTTTTTATATAACTTGATTATGGGGATTCTCGTACTTAGTTCACGACTTAAGGGATCCTTTACACAAACACACCTGAATACGCCTAGGCAATCTTATCTTCTCCCCAGACACCGACTCGTGTATACCCCCCTCATTTTATACTTATATCGTATATCGTGGGAAGGACTTACATTTTAAAATTGCATTTGTTTCCACATAAAAGCAATTTTCTCAGTTTGATGGTTTCACACGTCTATTTCAACAAGCAAAGAACGAAAATGAAATGAATTAAGAAGTTAGGTCATTGCTAAATACTATACTGTATCCTTACAACGCGTAGGTGGACCCAGCTCAGCTCATAAGACAAACACTATCTATTGTTATATTTACGACTTAGGACTCTACACAAAAGGTGCCATAACTAAAAACACACACAGACACACGAAATTTTATGAGGTTTAGGAAGACACAAAACGGGCATTTAAAACGAATTCTTTACCAATGTTTTACTGTCTCTCAATTTGAAAAAACCTGCTTCATCCTCGCCCCAAATTATTCATGCTCACCTTAGGTATACATTTGCGTAGAATTGCATACATTTTAATTATTGTTTTCCTTTTAATTGTTCACGATTTACGCACAAATTGATTTATGGAGTCTTAATTTATTCAAATTTAAGAAGCATGTAAATGAATTCCCGAAGCATTAAAACAATTGGCAAGGGAGTAAAGAAGAAATAATCAGTAGATTTAAGAGCGTACACACGATATCTACAAACTATTCTAGGCATAAGAATTAAGTTTAGATATGCATATATGGATATTCACACTAAACTTAACAACATTATTTCTTTTGTTAGTTAATTCCTTTTATTTGAGAACAAAACTGCTCCGCCCTTTCACTTCGACACCAAAACTAAACGCGAACCATTTTCATTTAAGCATTCACACCGCACTACCAAAACAAAGAAAACCCGCGTATTATGTTTTTTCTCTTTAATTACATGCTTATGAACCCACTGTGAACACACTGAACAATGTTTTCCCAAAAGAAAAAGTACTAAAACTTTCATCCAAAATCAAAAACGAATGAGAAATGAAAAATGAACTCTAAACGCAAGACTTCCAACCAAAATGAAATTGAAAATATAAGAAAAGGATAAGAAAACTGAAAAAAATCAATATATATATATACACATATACTTTGTTTCTATGAAAACAATCGAATATGCTAAGTGCCTATACTAACTAATATGTAACATACGAGCAGGGTACAGACCGACCACTGAGCCAAGAACCAATGTGGCCCCATCCGCCCATCAAATCCCATCACATCGCATCTGATCACAAACAACACACAACTGCCTCTAGGACATAAACAGCAATCAGTCTATCAATCAATGAATCATTTATATTCAAACCATCTACTCACTCATTAGTTTGCCCAGTCTGTGGGCATCCTGGGGAGGTCCAGCATACGTATAGTTCACTAGGGATGGTGGTCACCACACAGATAGTATACCTTGCTCAGTGTTTCGTCGCGTACCCGCCACACAAATGTATCTTTAAATAATTCATAGTTTATAGTTTGTATCTTCCCCTCCAGATTGAAGAAAGACCCAAACTGTAATCCAACTAACCCCCAACACTCACACACATACACACACACATTTCTTTGGAAAGTTCTCAAATGATTTTGTTGTGCTCATCACTCACTGTCGGCTGCCAACACAAAAGAATACAAAATCAGACAACATACCACAACACACCACACACTGTGAACACTTTACACACTGTACAGTTGAACCTCAATAGGGCGGACTGCGACTGGGACTGCGGACTGCGCTTAGGGTGAATCAATGGATGAGGGACAGCATGTGGCCAGAGTGAAGCCAGCAGCTCAATGGACGGCGGCTTCAAACTTCCGACAATGAGATGTGATATTATGCAATTGACAAATCATCAATTGTGTGCGACAAAAAACAAAAACAAATAAACGGAATGCGGGTTGGCCCAAGCCAATTGAGATTGCAACGCCCACTCGGCCACGAGACAGTCGACACTTGGACACTGACCATTTGGACACTGACCACTTGACCATGCTGGCCATCCAGAGATCGGCTCAGATCGAGAGACGAGAACCGTGGCGAGAGATAGAGAGTATAGGGAATAGGGAAAGTAAAGGAACATTGTTGATGTTGAATAATTTTAAGGAATACAATAAATTAAATTAAATTGTTAAATTGTAAACCTCAGTTCTTAAGTTATTTATTTTTGTATACTTAAGCAGCGCATATGACACCTTGTTATATTTACAAAATAATACTATTGCAAGTTCAGCAGACATGCCACGCCCATAGAGCTATGTATTTCCCACATTGCCACCACACCACACCAAACCACACCTATCATATCTCCTGCCCCCCAACCGAGTCACTCAAAGCAAAACACTGACGCCCAGCTTAGAATATCGATATTGTTTAGTTTTCGTTCTTACACCACCCAAACACTTTGTATTATTTAACCTTACGGAACGCCCCCAAACAGACCACTGTACATACCCTTAGCTATACATTTCCGGGGGCCAACTCCTCCTGATTTCATGCAATCACCTTCTTTGGCACTGCCATCTTCTTTATACTCTTGCGTTCGATGTAATTCCCAAACTTTCCTGGAAAGATCTTTTGAGATGTTTCTGTTGCTGTTTTTGTTGCTTTGCAATTGATTCACCCCCTGATTTTGTACTACCGTAACAACAACAAACAACGCTAAACTAATATGCTTACGCACATTGTTATCACTAGAAAAACAACAACAACAACAAAGATAAAACAACAACAACAACAAGAAGAAGAACATGAACATAAACACAACAACAAAAACCTGTCTGTTAAAAAACAAAAATGAGAATATGTAATATGAATAACGAGAAGTACATGCATACATATATAAATATATATATAATCAATTTGTAATTGTACCGAAATTGATAACTGTAAAGTAACAAGAAGTTTATAAAATTGCATATGATTTAAACTATAAACTAACTATAAAGAAATACAATATCCCTCTATGCAGCAAGCGAAACCAACAGCAGTTATACATAATTGAATGTGTAATATGATGGCAAACATATAAATAAAAATATTATAATAAAACAAAACGACAAAAAAAAAATACAAACACTGAGAAACAACCAAAAAAAAAAAAACAAAAAAAGCGTAATTCATTTCATCTCTATGCTAGTTGATAATTAAGCCTGAACAATTTGTACGTAAATCTACACGATGAATGACTATGACTAGGTGATGATGTTGATGAGCTGGCGGACTTAATAGCAAAAAGTTTAAATAAAATTTATACTTTCGAGTTTAAAACAAATATGCGGCCGGAACTTTTCATGATCAATGCTCCCACTGTGGCCAGTTTTAGTTTTGATTTTATTGTATGCCTCATATAATTTAAAACCCAGTAAATAACAAGCAGAAAACAACAGCGAGCGGCCGTTTTGTAGATAACCGAGTGAAATAATAAAGCGATAACCACCCACAGAGGTCATGTACTCCAGTCCATTCCAACTTAATGCCTAACCACCGGAGCTAAAGCTGCTCCTGATAGTCGGCTTGGATCCACCTAAAAGTATTTAACACGATTGCAGATTAGCTGGTGGACCCCGGAATGGCAGAACTAGTCTCAAAACGTACATCTTGCATTACATGCATGGTTAATACATTAAAGGAATGATTATTAGTATTTATCGCTTATACTTTAGATAACCATCATAAATGCAAACAAAATTTCAATTCTTGGGCACTACAAAACATTTTCTTCATTTTTAATTTTGAAACTTCGCACTCATTTCTTAAAGATCGGTCCCAAACAACTTTTACAAGTATATTTAGGTACATAAATACTAAACGAGTAATACAATTATTTTTATCCATTTTGCTCGGGCATCACAAAACATAGTAAATCATTCAATTATATAGTTAGACAAGGCATATGTTGTATATACACGCATCGTGGGGTTACAATTAAAACAATTATTAATAATCGGAGCAAACATTTTGGTAAGGACTGTGTGGCGTACGATAGTGTGTTGTGTCTATATAAAACTTAACCAAGAACACTTGCGTTGTTAAGTATAAAGAGTTGACCTAAGCGGTATTTGAGTAACCCTAATTAATCGTAGATATAGTGGCTTTCGATCGCTGCCATTTTGTTTAGATGCGTCGCCAGCTTCCCTTCTTCGTCCATGGGACCGGAATTGGATTGCTTCTGGCAGGGTTTGGTTTGCGTTTCCGTTTCGGTATCAGTTTCCGCCTCGGCTTCGTCCTTTGCGACATCATCCTTTGTCGCATCGCCGGCTACCTTTTGGTCATTTGTCGCCTGGCTGCTATTCCGGCAGCGGGCTATCAGATCGCTGTAGGGACGATCGTGGAGTAGGCACACCAGCACCACGGTCATATTGTCGCCGCCAAGGCCGCCCATTTGGCAGTCGGGTGCCAGGCAGTGATTCATCAGCTCCTCGCAGATCTCCTCCGGATACATGCCCATACCGATACGTGTGCGACAAAACTCAAGCACTTCCGCATTGCTCATAACATCCCAAATTCCATCGCATGCCAGCACGATGAATTCCCAATCTTCCATGATTTTGCGCGTCTCCACGTCCGGGTAGGCTATATAGGTGCACGGAGATCAAGAGACAAGGTGATAATGGTTAACAAGAACAATGGATGCGGTCACCCTCACCTGTGACGATTTGATCTTCCGGTCTTTTGTTCTCCTGCTTGAAGACATAGTCTCCGAGGGCCCGGGAAAGTGCCAGATTTCCGTTGACGCGATTGAACTCCACCCAGCCGCCGCCTTCGATGATCCGCTTGGACTCCGCCTCGTTGTTGGGCTTGTGGTCCTGCGACAGTACCTCCAGTTGTCCGTTTACGCAGGCAATGGCGCGCGAGTCTCCTGCGTTTGCGCAATACAGCTTGTTGTCTTTGACCAGAACCACAACGGCAGTCGAGCCAGCCATCTGGTCACCACAGGTCTTGTTGCGCAGCATCACGAGGTCTATGTCCAGAAAGCCCTGCAATTGCATCATGCGTATGAGTAAATGCATCGAATAAAATTGTTAAAGTATTCCCAATGTTCTCAAAACTTGTGACATTAAATGACACTACATTTCAGATGCCTTCTTAAGTTAATCTGTTCGTTATATATTCAGAAAGTATATGGCTTTAATGAACGTAAGCCCTATAAAGATAGTAAGTGTATAGAGGTTTTAACACGTTGTTTTTATCCCATCACTTATCATTAGTTCGTTTTCTATGATACTTAACACAACTTAGTAATGCAGATGAGTAACTTCTTGGTGAAATGAGTAACTTGATGTGCATTATATGTAAGTCTTTGTACTCCAAGCACCTTTAGCAATCTATAAATGTCGCGATTCCCGCCATCTAAAAGTGACTCTGCCGTGACTCACCTGCTGCAGCGCCTGTTCGATGTTGTCGTTGTACTCCGGCCGCTTGAGAACGAACTTGTGCAGGTGCTTGCCGGCGTACTGGGCCACCGTAGCGCCTCCGTGCCCATCGTAGACGGCAAAGAAGGCCGCTCCCGGATCGCCCGGCAGGGACAGGATGTGGGTGTGCGAGTCCTCCATGTTGATGCGCCACCCCTGCATGCAGGAGCTGCCCACGCGGTAGGCGGCGTTCTGGCAGTACGAGGACTCCTTGGCGGTCACCGGTTCCGATAGAGTCTGACCCATTGCGGCTTGTGTGGTGTGTGGAGTGTGTTGTGTGGACTGTGGGGGATGTGTTATCGATTTACGTCGCTTTTCTGCGGGAAAGAAGACGTACAAGCACACGGGTTAAGTTAATTACGAAACTGACTACTGCGAAGCGCGGAACAGCCGACGGCCTACTGTCAACTTCAGATACGCGTGGGCTCCGGAGATTAGTATATCAGGGGCATAAGCAAACAGACGTGGAGATTTCAGGGCCGGATCGCGATCCGGAATTGGATACCGTTCGGGTTCGCGTTGGCGTTCGCCACGGGTTCAAAGGGCAGGTGTTAAATGGGCTGTGTGATAAGCCAGATATTCCGCTTCGCGTTTATCGTAACTCCGTAATTAGTTCACAGTTCGCAGCATATCTAAACTTGCGCAAAACCAAAGAAATAAAAACAGAAAACCAGAAGAGCAGAACAGTAATGGAAAACAGGGCAAAAAACGGAGAGAAGTGGAGAGAAGATGGGCGAGGAGGAGCGGCGCCAAATGCAAGCTGCGCTGAGTACCCACCTGGCGTTCACCGTTATTGCTCGCCCCTGCAAGCCGTGTACGCATCAATGAAAAACTGTTCAGTAAAAAATTATTAAAAACTGCGCGTGTTTATTATTTTATTTGGTTTTGTGCTACGCAGTGTGAGCGTGTCTCGCATACGGCAAATAACCAGCTGCGTTCAAACACACTCATGGTAGCTGACCACACCAATGTCAGTTGTTTTGCAGCACTGGCCAAGCGACGCCCTGCTTGGGTGCGTGTCTCGACTAACGCCTGATCGCACTGCTTTAAAGCAGTTTGGTGTTTGGCGCCTTGTTTGAATTTAAAAAGTTGAAAATTCAAAAAATGTTAATTTCTCTTGCTTAGTTGTACAAATAATGAGTTATATTTTTTGGCTTTCCATTTGATTTGACATTTCGAATATATCGTGCAATTCCAATGCAAATATCACATTATGGGGCTACTCTTTTCCGCTTCTCATTTCGCGTTTTCGTCATCTTATCTGCTCTTTTTTTTTTTTTGTTTAGCTGGCGAGTGCATTGAATTTTGCGAATTTCGCTTTGGGCTTGCGGCAAATAAACGAATTCAAGGACAAATGACGTCAGCTAAGCACTTTTTGCGGTTGCTGCGGCTGCTGTTTTGTTGCTCCCATATTGTTGTTGCTTGGGGAATTAAAGCTTGACTGGCATTCGCTGCCAACGCCTCTGCTTTCTATTTATTGTCTTCATTTTCGTCTCTTTTTATATTTTTTTTGATTCTTTTGTTTCGCGTTTTTGGCGAGCGAAAAAAGTGTATTAAATATTTGCACAGCAGCGCAGCAAAAGCCTCAGAGCAATTTCTGATAAAGAACTTGTGGATGTATTTTTGGGTCCCTCTCCGCTTTCATTTTATTCGCATTATCTTTCGCGCTCTCAAATTGTTTTGGCAAACAAAGTCAATCACAACTTTGTTGTCGAACTAGCGCTGTCCAATACAATGTTGGTATCACTTGCCTTTCTGCACTTGAAAGTAGTTTATGTTTGGAACTCAAATGCAGCTTAGATAGGCATCTAGATGGCATGTATTCTACATTCCATTTAGGTTTGCTTGTAAGAAACCGTTGGAGAACACCGACGTTTATTTGGCTCAGTGTATTATATCTCTGCCTTCCTTATCGTTGTGTTTGGTCATTGAGAGTGCAAGGCGTCAACGTCGCTGCACGCATTTTATTTCCCAACCTCTAGAACGCACATTTATTATGCATTTAACGTTCCCCGCTGACGACTGCAACTGACGACCCCTCACCCTCACCCTCACCCCGCCAACCGTCCCCGCTTGCCATTTAAGATTCGCTTTCGCTTCCCCTTTTATTTCAGCGCACTCAGTTAAATTTCCATATTGTTTGTCAACCGAGGATTGCATCCAGGCTCGCTTTCGGTCCCTGAATCGCTCTCTAAATCGGAATCGGAGTTGGAGGCGATCAACAGCTCCGTATGCAGTCTGCATGCAAATGCTGCAGTTCGGTTCGCAGCCACACTGAGCGAAAAATGCTAAGCAGAGATATTTGAAATTAGTAACTTACTATTTAAAAAAGGAATTACAGAAAATATTACGCATACGCTTAGGTGGCAAGCAAACTAAATTTAGCTGAAATCTATAACTCCTTTCTATAAGCGATTTATTGCCTCGCAGTTTGGCCTTCACTGCAAGTGTTTTTCTGGTCGTATACTGTATGTGACACTATTTTTTCCAGTGCACGGAAAGGGACTGAGTCGGGGGCCGGACAGAGCAGGGCCCACAGATATCGTCAGGCAGTTCAATCACATTGCACAAAAGTTCGAGGTCAGTTATAAAAATAAAATTAAATGCCCTCGCTGGCCGCGCTCCCTCTCGCTCGGAATTGGAATTGGATTGGATTGGATTGGATTGGGTTTTGTTTTACATTAATTTCTGTTTGAATGCGACAAAATGGGTTTCTTTGTCTTTGGCTGGCTGGGCAGGATCGGGATAATGGGGTTGCTGCACGCAGCTCCTGCTCCTGCTCCTGTTTTCTGGACCGCCATGGGACTGGGCACAAAGGGTATTGTTCGGGGACATTGCGGGTCACTCGAGTGGAAGTAGGCCACTGGAGTTCTGTGTAACATGAGCACCGTCCGATCGGGATCGCCGATGCAATTGTGTAATGTGAGCCGCGGCAGGGCAATGACTCCTTTCCCAAGGATAATGGAGCAGCTTGGTCGCAGACCAGGAAACCAATCCTTTGACATCTGCGCGCAAATCGCGTTTTTATTCCAGTAGTAGAAGGAACTTGGATTCACATGAAAGTATAGTTATTATCAAGTTATTGAGAATTTCAAATGTAAAATAGTTTCTGTGTGCTGATTTTTTGCGAGAACTAACTATAAGATACGTTTCTGCATTTGTAGAATAATAAATAATGTAAGCAAGATATACGGCACCCGAAAAGGTAAGCTGTCCAAGGCATCGATGTCCATTGATGTGCAGGAGGACGTGCGCAACTCTCTTCTAAGCCCGTCTAACCAAGATATTGTTTTTGGCCAACAGTCGGGCCCAGACAGTCGCTGACCGGTGGAATGCTGTTGAACTTAATTTCGGCTGGCCGTACCGCAATGAAATGAAATTTCGTTCAGTTCCAGGGAATTCATGCCACAGATTTCGGTGCGGCGCGACGGTCGCGGCCATGGCCGATCCTCAAAACAGACCAAAGCCGAAAAACCAGGGCCAAACTAGTTGGACGGGCTGCCCTCCACTCCGCACTCGAGTGTCCCAAGGATCCCAGACGCAGGTTCATTAACTTGTTTGCCCCGCCGCGCGGAGGCTGCCTCACTTTTCTTTTTTTTGGGGCCGCCGACGTCTTGCTCTCCAGCATCCACCGTGCACATTCGAGATTCGAGCATCCAGCATCCAGCATCCGCGACGAGACAATAATGATCTTCGCTGGAAACGCGAGCCCCTCACCGCCACAGTCCCACAATCCCCTTTCCGCCTTGGAAAAGATCCTCCTCGCCGGTGGTGATGATGGTGACTTAATTGCCGCACCCAAATGGCTGGACTAGGGATTAGCACGAAAAGTATTCGATTCTCCAGAGCCGCTCTGCAGCTTCTCCAGGGTATAAAGTCAAGTGAAAATACTTGCATACGCGTAAGGTGCAGGAAGTAAAAGAATTCTGTGGAAAACATCAAAATTAAACTACATTTATTTTTATATATACTCGTATAATGTATTTTTGGTGGAAGGTGTAGATGTCTTTAAAAACTGAAAATAGTAATGGATAAGCCACATTCGAAGCACAATTATTTAGCTTTCTTTGGGCGAAACCAGTTTCAGTTTCAACTCAGATCGAAATGCAGATGGTAGAACGGGCCAAGCCCTATGATCCTTGTGACATTTGCTCATTTTTCACTGTCGCAACGCGTTGCCGATAAAGTGGAGCATATTGTACTAGCCACTGATTAATATGAGTTGTGCCCTGATATCGCTGCAGCCTTGGCCGAAGTCGTTTACTCAGTGAATCACTTGGCCTTCCACTTTTTCCAATGCTGGCACATGACTAAGCATGGGGCATGGGGCATGACTAAGTCGAAGACTGTGGGAGATGTAACTGCTCCTTTTGAATCACTCTTGGCTTGCCAAGTGCTGGAAATGGAAATCCACTCGAAGGATTCCGAGTACTGTTTTATAATTAAATCCCAAGAGCCATAAAAATATATACCTTAAAGATATCTAAATGCTATAATGACTTTTTCACTCGAAGGATTCCGAGCCATAGAAAATTCCGCCTTAAAGATATCCAAATGCTTGAATGACTTTCAAAAAGGAAGTTTCAAAAACCACGGGCACATATTGACCTTTGATCAGTGTGCACAATGATAAGCCAGTGATTCAGTGCCTTAAAATGTAACAAATAAATAGAATCTACACAAACAATAGCCCACATCTCACTGAGCAACACTTTCGAGGATTGTGCTGAAAAACTCGAAGCGTGTGCAGTGTTTGAGCACCGATCGCACATCCTTCATAAATCGCAGGGCGTCCAGAAAGGGCAGCAAATTGATGAGGGCCTCATCGCGACTGCCGATTTCATAGGACTTGATGAGAATGGCGTTTCCCGCATTGAAACTGCACTCCGTGCTGGAGTTGTCCAGCAGCAGGACGTTGCACAAATCCGGGGAAGCCAGCAATACGCACTTGGCCCGCGTTCCATACATTTCTATGCAATCCTGTCGGTAAAGGCGACTGTTCAGGATGCCACGTCCCCTGTCCAGGAAGTCCAGAATCGGAGAGGCGTATAGCTCGGCTCCGGCTGTGAAGACAGTCAGGTCGTACCACTTGGACACGCGATCGAGGAAGTGATCCAGGTAGGGGCGCTTGTAGACGTAGATTGTGGCTTCATAGGCCGGCAAGTAGAACTTAAAGTCATGCGCAACTCTCGGCTTGTTCCTTGGTTTTTTGCCACTCTTCTTCAGCCAGGACGTGATCATGGTCTCATCCATGTCCAGGACAAGTGTCTTCCTGCCCACCAGACTCAGTCGTCTTTTCGAAACGGGTGACAGGCGATCCTCACTTGGATAAATGATGGGAGTGTACTCCACGCAAATCCTGTACACACTCGCCAGGAGCAGCCACAATCTGGGAATCATCAGGCAGGCCACGCCTACCACCAGACCCATTGTGGCCAGTCCAAAGAAGCTACATGGATGCGGCAAGGTAATGAGCGTTCCAAGTGCTGCGTGGCTACTTACTAAACTATGAAGAAATCACTCTTGAGCGGCATCGTACTTCCTAAAATTGTGCATTCAATGAATTGGTATATAAAAGAGTAGGAAAAACACCGAGATTGACCGACAACAGCGACACTAACATTTCAAGAACTGGAAACAGCAATGGGAGAAACGAGTGACAGTGTTTGTAGAGGGTTTGATTGTTGAATGAGCCCCACCCGAGCTATTCCCGCCTTTCCTTGACAACAGAGTCGAAGTCGATTGCTACCTGATGATTAGGCACTGAAATTTTATTTTTCCACCACAATGGGTTATAAAAGATTTGAAACTCTGTAATATAAACCACACACTTAATATGACGGTGACAGAATTGCAGTCTACTCTTGCTCATATTTTGGGTAATTGAAAGTTATTATTAACCAACAATCTAGTTCGTTGCAACGATCTAATAGGCGCCGAAAATTGCGTATACGACATGGGGAGCGGTGCACACGCAGTGGGGTTGAGAATGCCATTAATCAACATAATTTTCTTGCTGTTGGGGTGTTATTAATCAAGTCATTGGCGAAAGCGTATAGTTTTCTGGCCGTGTGGATATCCGAAGAGCTGGTCTGGCCTGCAGTTCCACTTGCAGTGGGTGTTAAACGATATAAACAGCCATGAAATGCACTGCCAGCGCTGACGCACAAAGACGAGGATCGGATTGGGGATCGGGAGTGGGAGTGGGAATGGGAATGGGAATGGGAGGGGGGTGTATATGCTATATGTGTTTTATGGAGAGCAGCAGCGGCACTGGCGGAAGTTCGCCGGCGATGTCACTCGTGTAAAATATGGCACTGGCCTTGGGAGCAGCACGCACAATGTGACTGCGCCGTCAAGACGATTAACTGAAAGCAGAAAAAGCTGAAAAAGCAGCCAGATCAGCCGGAGCTGGTTGAAATAATAAAAAGTGCTGCAAACTGCAACTGCAACTGTGGCCATGAAGCCAGCGGCGTTATCCAGAAGGCGAAGGAGCAGCACCATATTGTGCCCATCTGGACCTTGCCTGCACGCGATTCGGGTGGAGTGCTCACGGAATGGATTTCAATTAAATACAGCGATGCGTTTCAAGTTGGAGCATATTAATTTGCTCTTATCATTATAATTCGTTAGCATTGTAGCTCGATGTAATTGAAGGGCTGTGTAGCTTAGCCCAATATCATTGCCTACTTTTAGAAACTTGCTACGTTTCAGAATTAAATGAACTGCAATTTAAAGCTCATATTTAATATGTCGCGGGACTACAAACCTTATTTCGCATTTTTTGACATCTCCCTTGACAAGGTCCACCCCAATGGATCATCCCACTCATTAGGTTTCTTGCTCGGCAGAGGACCAGAGAAGCAGAGAACCAGAGACCGGAGGTCCCGAGCCTTGCGTTTTGCGGTTGACTGTGGCGTCTGCTGGGTGTCAACATTTAGCCGCATGTTGTGCGGCTGCCACAACTGCAGTTCCCCAATTCCCGCTAAAAAGAGAAGCAGCCCCCGGCCAACAAAAGGGTGAAATTGACTTCTGAGTGGAGGACGAGGCGTGTTTAGCACCCGCATCCAGGCACATGTGCTGTTCTTCTGGACGTGCGACATTCGTACAGTCGCCGAGTCAATCAGACCGGAAAATATGCAGAAATTCCAATGGCCTTTGTCATGTTGCAAGGCGATTGTGCGCACATTTCTGCCACTTCTATTTCCGGAACAGCGGCTAAAACAGTTGGGGCCATTAATTTAATGTTCTGAGGGTGGTAGTACCCCTTCTTGGGAATGTCTCAATGTCCTGTTAAATTTAATTAGCTTAAATGCCCTGCAAATGAAGCCAAGTCATTGCCCTTTTTGATTTTGCAGCTTTTCGTTTTTTACTTTCCCAGAACTTTGTACCCCTGGTATATTTTTCACTTGCAAATTAGAGGTTGCAATTTTATGGGCGAAATTAGCGATAAGTGGTGCCAGTTTTTGCGCGGTGCATGGTTATCACAACGCTTATCTCACTCCGCGATTGTCGGAACCTGTAAACGCGACTTTGTTGGCCGGGTTTTTTGGCTGCCAACACTTGACGTGTGTTAAATTAGCATTAAACAATAATTTTGTGCGGCTAAGCGCTGTTGCTTGTTGTTGTTGCTGTTGCTGTTGTGGTGAATGCAAAATAAATTGCGCATAAAGTTTAATCACTTTGACTTTGCACAACACACTCACACACACACACTTGCAATGCCGAAAAAGAAAAACGCACAACAAAAGATTCTTCACACACACAGATACGCAGATACACAGATACACAGATACAAATACTGAATACAATATCGGCAGCAGCGGCGCAAACAAAAACAACAACAACGCGCCCAGTGGACAGTGCAAAATAAGTATAAAAATAAATAAAAAGAATTAAAAAAAGAAATAAATAAAAAATACACAAGGCGAAGGCGACGATGGCAGCAAGCAGAGCGAGCGGGATGCAAATAGAGTCAACAACCTCCAGTGCATTACTCACTTTTAAAGACCGTGTGTGTCCTTCAACAAAAACTTTATCTCTGTCCCTCACTCGCTCGCTCTGCATCTGCATCTCGGCGGCTCGCGCTCCCTCTCTCTCTCCCTCTCTTTCTCTCTCACTCGGGCAGCTCGTTTCGTATTTTACTTTTTATAATTAAACAATTTCGCAGTGGCACTCCCCCAGCGCCCCCATTTCGTACTCCCCCCACGTCGACTTTTTCCGGACAAACAGAACCCGAAAAAGCGAGCTCGCTGCACGGAAAGAAATCAGATCACAGTCCAAAGATGGCAGTACTGATTTTAAGGGAACCAATTGAAGTCTTTCGTTCCGCAGAACCTAAATAAATTAATAAGCTAGCTATACATGGTAGTTCATTGCAATACATAAATAATATCACGATTGTAGCAAGCTACTTTTAGATTCTTGATCAGAGGAATTGTTATTTATATGCTTTATTATACAAATTTGAGCCTGCTTATATTAATAAGTATAAGCATCATATATCGCAACGATTTTTCTCCAAGTGCCATTGTTTTTATCTCCATGGCCGTGTTCTTGTTCCCGGAGCTTTGCACAAGTGTGCAGAAGACAGTCTTCTATCTCCACTTTATCGATGGGGCTTCGGAAACTTTGTCGATTCCGCTGCTGCGCATTTCGGCGAGATGCGAGATGAATAAACTGTTGTGCGCTTGCGTGACCTGTTCGCCATCTCGGTTGCTCCTCCGGTGCCCTCCCTAACCCTCATCCCCACCCCTTCCCCCACGCAAGTGAAAGAGACGGCGCGATTGCCACATCCGCCCTGCATGTTTGTGCGCTCTTTTGTGCGGCTAATGTCATTGACTGCAATTTGTTAGCAAAGTATTTTGACTGATAAACAAAATATACACGATGCCAATGAACCCGGCTCTCTAAAATCGCCCGAAATTGCAACTTGCTCCCCCAATTGAAGAGCAACTAAGTGGGCGTGTGCAACAGAGATAGCAATCGGGCCTTGCACTCGCACTCTCTAAGTAGCAGGGGTGGATTCTAACGGGGTTTCGCGGAACGCGAATTCTTCAGCAACGCATGCGTGTCATTTTATGAGTGTTTCCACTGAGTTCTAAGCTTTGCTATCATTAGAGTATATAATTTAACTATGTATTTTTTATATTTTCTGCTGTAACTTCATAAACCCTTCCAGAAGTGCTTTTCCCCATCCGCCTCTGCATATGAGCACAGGTTGGCAGTGCCATAAACAAAGAATTCCTTTTGTTTGTTGATTCGATTTTTGTTCTGCGATCTTTTTATTTCTTTGCAAATTGTATTTTTATTTTTAAATAAACAAGTCGAGTTCATTGCATTCGCCGCAATAAGAATATAACAAATACGGCACGAAAAGCACTCGACAACAGACAAGAGGCGCAAAAAAACAGGAACGTCGACTGATATACATGGCGTATAATTAACGTCTGCGCGTGTATGGAGAGTTCAAGTTAATTTATCAATTCTTTCTTTTTCGGAACTTAACAATACTTGCATTTAAGTAGGCGGAGTGCCAATGGGTACATATAGAACCAATCAACTGATTAATTGCAGCTGTGCAATGCTGAAGTTTTTGCCCCAGCTTTGTGTTTGGTGACATAGTTACTCGTTTAATTATGTCAGTTAGTAGGGGCTATAAGTAATTGGAAACCCAGTACTGCATGTATTATATCACGATTATTTAGCAGCACCTCCATTATCCACAAAACCAATCCCTTCAAGTGCGAACAGCTATGTTTTCCGCTCATCTGGCGCATTCATCTGATGGTGCCATGTTTCCTCGGAGAAGAAGGCATTGAATGTCAGTGGTGCTCGGATTACACCAAAGTCGGTCAATAACTTCGGACCCCTGCACAAAGCGTTTAAGTGACCACAAGTGATCAAGATGTTCCTCTGGTTGCTGCCTTAGCCCCTTTCGAACTGATCTTAAGTTTGGGATGCCACGCTAGTTTAGTTGACCGGTTTAATGACTCGAACTTAATTTGCGCCCTCGGAGAGAGAGGAAAGTAGCCAGCAAAAAGTGCATGCCGAAAAATATGCGAAACAACCAGGCAGACAACACCCAACGGCAAAAACTCGGCCTGGAGAGAAAGAGGCAGCGGCAGCGACGCGTCTGGGGGCTTACAGTTGTGGTCACAAGACTAGTGGCGCTGCTAAACTGGAGGCAAAAACTAACTGCAATAGTGTTCATACAAATATTTCGATAAATATATTTCTGCATACTTGCACACGCCTTAATGTGGGTTCTTTTGATAACTAGTTAAAATTTGATAACTAGTTGATACGAACAGCGAGTATAACGGGTATACAATAAATATATTTCAGTTATCTCTGCTGAAATGCCCTTTTAAGTTCCTCGGAATATTTATGATGTTCAGAAACACCTATTTGAGATACATGACATAGTGTTTTATGCAGTTTTGAGTTGCGGTCCCACGATCTTGGCTGTCATTGTGGAGAGAAGAGATCTGCGTCAGTGTGCGCGCGTGTGTGTTGGCTGGAGGGGGGAGGGGGCGTGGAGTGGGCGGGGCAGGCTGCAGGAAGAGCCCCAGCGCGCGTGTGTGTGTGAGTGGGTCGCCGAAACAGGCAAAAAACGAGGAGTGCATACGAGCAGAAGTGCTGCCCCAAAAGAACGATGCTCGCACCGAAAGTAACTCATATTCGCGACTGTGAGAGTGTGTGCGTGTGCGGCGACGGATCAGGCAAATATATAAAGCGGCGATCGGGCGATGCAAACTGCTCATTCCGCCGCCGTTCGTTCCGTTCGCTTTACTTTTCGTACTTTTCTCGCATATTAAAAAGTCAAACAAAATAATAAAATGAAGCGATCGCACACACACTCACGCACATACGTGTACATATACATATATATGTATTTATATGTATATATACATATATATACATATGCACGCAATGGCCGCCATTGACGCCGACTGCGCTGCCGAGAGTATAAAAGCATAAAATCACTTCGTACTCGGGTTTATTAAAACCAAAACTGTGCAAGTGCCAAGATCGGTTGGCAGCAGCAAAGAAAATACAAGAAAAGAAAAGGAAGACCCATCAAAAATAATCGCAATACCAAAAAGTTCTAGTGAAATTCACGATTCTGACTTGCAAAGTGAAAGTTTGGCCACCAAACGCACGATTCAAATCCACCACAGCACAATCAAAAATAGTATCAAGCAATTAGAGCAGAAAAAGCTACAAAAATTAAAAAAAAAAGGAACGTGACGCGCCCGCAAAAAGCGAAAGAAAAGAAGGAAAATCGAAAGTGTTCTACTGACATGGATTACTTTGTGCCCCCCAAACTACAAACACAACAAAAAGAGCAGAGAAACTAGCACTAGTTTTGTCTATTCAGACTTTGGGAGAGTGAGAAGAATCGAAGAGAAGAAAAGAGAGCAGAAGGCCGGTCCGAAATAGAAAGCCCTACACTGGAAAATCTGTTCAACTAGGTTCATAAGAAAGCTAAGCAGCAATAATTACTATAAAATATCTAGATGGGGTGCAATAACATTTTTGGATAGCGTCAAGGTTAGGGAACAAATTCTGCGAGCCAAAAGCCGAAAATGTTTCGAGAAAAAGTATTTTAGAACTTCTGAAGGATTTTCTTTAGGTCTTAACTATTTTGCATTTGCAGCTATGCAAGGATAGAAGTGAAGCTTATAAATAAAGTTAAGTAGAAATGATCGATTAAACATCTAAATGTAGATTTGAATACACATTGTTTATTTAAAAAGTGCCTTACCAGTTAGATTATCGCCGTGTAGATAGCGATCTCTTCTATTTCGCGGTGTACGTGCACTTGGTCATTCTCCATGCCTCGCTCTTCGCTCTTCGCTCTCGATTCTCCGCGCACAAATCTACGCTCTTTTGCTTGAGAGCAATTCTAATTCGCATTCGCACTCTCGCCGCCTCGCTTTGAACTTGAACTTTAAATGCACAAACCATAATCAAGTATGTACGTATGTATGTTTGTTGTTGCTGGCCGAGGGCGTGCTCTCTGGCAAACATGAGCACTACGAATTTCTATGCACATATGTGTACACATATATAGGCAGCACAATCAGTTGCGAGGCGGCACTCGTTCCATTTGGGCGCTCGACAATCGCCGGCTGATCAGTTTTCGACTGGCTTGCAATTAATTCGGCTCTTGACGAGCCCCAAAAGTGAAAGTCGCGAGTGAAAGACGTGGCAGTTTTATATTAAAGAAAAATACGAAAACGGCCAGCAGATCTGGCCGTTCAAACATGAACAGTACGCAAAACACGAAAAGCGAAACGGCGGCAACAAGTTAATAAATTAAGACGGCAAACGAACAAAAAATCCAGATTCCGAGCAATGCAAAGAAAGTGGCACAAATGCTTGCTTTTATCGTACCAACAGATATCGCCGGAAAAAAATATACAAGTAAAATGAAAGCAAAGCTGCGTTACTCAAGTCCAATCGTTCTATCACCACAGTTTCCTTATAAATCTAGCCTCTACTAGGCTTTGTCTGTGCATTCAAAAGCCGATCAGACATAGCCTATAAGAGGTTAGGTGTACCAAGGCGAACAAGCAGCGAAAACGGAATCGATTACAGTTTTGGGGACGTGAGAAAGGTGGAGAAGGGGCGACAGCCTGATAAAGCACGATCCCCCGATCCCTTCAGCATTCCCCAATCAACACTAATACTGTCCACCTATCTGCCCCTTTCAGCTGGTTTCCTTTTGCATTCTGCCAGATGGCTTGTCTATTTTTGCTGGCCTGCGTTATTTATTAGTTAATAAACCATAAATGTATGATTGAATAAAAAGGCGTTTTCTCTGATTTTTTGATGAGTGTGCGTTTTCATGGGACTCATTGAGCGATTATTGCGAGTCGGTTTGGCGACTTGGACTTGTACAAAGTAATTGTTCTCGGGTTTTGCTGGCCACACAAATCGGATTGGATTTCAGTTTATTGTTGCACTCGAAGGCGCCAGTCGCCAAAACAGCTGGTAATTTTCCTGTATATGAAAAATCCAGAAAATCCATTTGCGTCGTCATGAAAATTCTGGTTATGGAGCAAAGAAATGCCGCAAAGAAATTTTTTAGATTTCGGGAAGAGTGTTTCAAATATGACTAGTTGCTCAATCTATAAATACAATTTTAATGAAGAAAAATAGGGTCATGAAATATTTTAGCAGATTTTGTCTGTGAATAATACATGGATGTTGTAGACAGGCGTCTTTACAATTTGAGCACTATCCTTGAAATTCGCATTATTCATAAATTTGGGATAAGAAATTGCTATGACATCAGTTCAAAGCAAATGTGAAAAATACTCAGTTATTCAATACGAGCTATCTTCTGCCAAAAAATCAAAAAGTATTTTGGTAAGGCAACCGAAACTAAATATATTTTTAAATTTAAAAAGGGAATTTAACGGCTGAACTGCTTTAAAAAGCAAGGAGAGCTTTTTTAAACTACATCACACGATCATTTATCGAACTGCTTTACGAACTTAAGTAAAGTCTATGTAAAATACAGACGTAGACTAACTCTACATTGGGAAACATACATTTATTTAAATAAATAAAAGCAATAGAACAGTTTTGCTTGAATTATTTGTAAAGTTTAATGCACTACCATTATATAAAGATTAAAATGAAAATTATTTTTGACCCTCTTTGTTGACTCAACTTTGTTGAATATAGAACTATTTTAGGGTTGGATGTGTATGGTCTGCATGAAACAATGAAAACTTTAAGTCGTGATTATTTTGTAGGTCCAAGAAAAAGCTTTAAAGCTTCTCAAGGCTTGCTGTGCCGCTAATAATTCTTCATGAAGTTTCTGCAGATGGCTCCGCGTTTGTGGAACTCCAATGGGTCGTTTGCGAACTGGAAGTTGAGCTAACTCCCACATTGGCAATTCATTGGCTTCTTTTGCCTTGGTTTATCTGCACAGGCTGCACATAAAACACGTTCGGAATGACCGAAAATGCGTATCAGACAGACAGTCTACCATTTCGGTGGATTTCTCACACATAAAATCCGAGCTGAAATCGAAGACATTAACCAAAGGAAAACGGATTGCAGCGCAGCATCGTTCATGTCTTCCCTAATGGCTTGTACATGGCACTTGAGCACTCTGCCGTGCCGTATTTATGGCCTGCACTCTACCATTTGCTTTTTGTCTGTGCACAGGAAATAAAAATGTAGAAAGGGTAATAAGGATATAAGTTAGTAGCCTTAAAATTAAATACGTTGGTGAATAAAATGTAGTAAGCGATAGATCCAAAGAACCCCAATGACAAACACAACTAAACTTTATCAGAAATTTTTAAGCCTTTCAAGCAATATGAGTGTTTATATCTTTACCATTCTAGAGACTTTTGTGAGTCTATGTTTTTCTTAATGGTCAAGCAATTTGATGTTGTGAAATTCTTCAATGAACAAGAAGAAATATTGTTGAGTGTGATTTTACTATTTTTCAGCTGCCGGCTGCGCACACGGCTTATGCAATGTGCAATGTGAGGCCCATCATCATGGGTCTAGCCCGAGTACACGGGCTAACATTTAACCCACATCCAGCTGATGGGTATTCCTGGTCCATTGGCCGCGGGGAATGACCTTCCCCCATCCGCCGAGCCAGCTTCTTCCGCGGAATGTGTTCGAATTTGTCGAAGTTAATTGAGTGACACGCCCACCGCGACCAGCGAACAGCCGCAACAAATGATTGCAGTTAATTAAATCTAAGCAAAAGCCCTGCAAGCAGCTACGAACAGCATCAACAGCATTACCAATTCATTGCAGTAATAAATTGACCCACTTTCGAATCTGCAACCTGACCCAACTACATGGCAAATGTAGTAGAAAAACAACAAGCTCAAAATGTATATATAAAAAAACATACACAAAGCCCAAAACAAACTTGGCTGTAAAATCGACAAGCGCCAAACAACAACAAACAAGCCAGAGCAGCCAGCAAACCAGCAAACCAGCAAACCAGCAAAACAAACTCAACACTTTAGTGCAACAGTTTAGTGTCAGGCAAAACGAATGACTTAAGAAACGAACGCGACCGCCCGACGACAGTCGCCCCACTCGCTCACCCTTCATCCAACCCCCTCTCCCTCGCCCTGCTAGTGGACCGCTGAGGCCGTCTGCACGTGATCCGGCGATCAGTGATGGCCACTATTGTTAACCGAAATGTGGTTGGTTAGATTTGCATATAAGTTACCGTAATTGAAGCGAAAATTAGCGGATTTATTGCATATAATGCGATATTATTTCTTTTCAGCTGTGATTTTACCCAAATGGTCATTTATTTCGTCTTCTTAAATACTGTATGTTTTACTTTTGTGTTGCCTTACTGTTTATAGCTATTGTGCATAAGGTTAATTTGTGTTCGGTGTGTTAATTGTGGTTAAAGAGCATAGTTAAATGTTATTAAATTTATTGATATTGTTAGTGTCCTAACTAAGTAGAATTTCGTAATCCAAATGCTAATGCTAAAAGCATTTTTTCGTAGACGTAAATTTCCTTGTAAATAGCTGGCACCTGCTGAAGTGGAACAATTACCACGATTTTCGCTTTAAAACGGCCAAATTCGCCACTCTGTTTGCCACATGTGAGTGTGTGTGCTCTTCTCGAAGCCAAGAAAATTAGTCTGAATCGGAATCCGAGTGGCGCGCAGTAGCCAAGAGGGCGGACTCGGTTGCAGTCAGCGCCAATTCAACTTCAACTTTGAGCGGCAATTGTTCGCCATCAGCCAAGGTACCCAAGAAAATGGGGGGAATTGAGTAATTGACTTCATTGGCTGCTGTACCGCTTTTTTTCCTGTGGCTTGGAGCTGCTTAGGTAAATTGCAATGCTCTGCAGACAGATTAGTTGCGGAAACGGCGATGATTGGGCAAGTGCAGACAGAATTATTTGGTCGGTTTTGGAGCTTGGGAGAAAGGGAAGGCGCCTGACGGATTGTGGGTGGAATGGTGGAGAATGGGTATGTAATTAAATTGGGCTTTTTTTGTCACTGCAAAAATCATGTCACGAATAAACTAGTTACTACTTAGTTTATACCCTAGTTGCTTACTCTTAACTCAAATACTTAATTGACTTAGAGACTTATGAAAGTAATCATATTTCAATACTATGTTACAAATACGACACCAGCAAATGACTAATACCAAAAGCTAAGTAGGTAATAAATACCCTATGCAAATAATCGCAGTGCACTGGATAACCGTCTTGAGGGGATTACTATGCGATAGATTCTGGGGTGCTGGCAATCTCTTGGCCACCAGCCACTTGTCCAGCTCAGTTCAGTCCAGTTGGTTTCCAGTGAGGCGGTCAGTTGGATTTCATGCTCTAGATAATAACATGCAGTTGGTGCGAGTGCTTTGAATGCAAACTTTTAGGCTGCTTGGCAGCGAAAAAGGCGAATAAAAACACACACACACACACACATATGCACACATATGCACAAAATATAAATTAAAACTTGATATTTTATTGACTTTCAGCATTGAACGGGTTATTACCCATCGAATGGAATCTACACGATTTAATTTACCGAGTGGATTTGAAAAGCAATTCAAATGCGAGTCAGCCAGTAGTCCAACGGCGATAAAAACCCAACTTCCATTGTCTGCAAGGTGTTAAATATTTGTTGTATAATCCGCTCCACAAAAAGGGGCAAAATGTGTTGGGGTATACAACTTAAAAATCGATTAACATCAGCGTAATTATGGACATAATTTTTGGTGATCAAGTGTGGCAACAACAAAATACCCCTGAATGAAAGCGTTAAATGTCAAGAAATTAGCGCAAATATATATGTATATAGGGGCCACAAAAATTATATATCTGTGGGCATATCAATTTTGAATGTGAAAATGCCTAAATACCAGTGACCAAGTGCAACCTTGAACTTGAAATGACTTAGGGACGACTTAAGCTTGGCTTAACTTTCACTTTTTCAGACCGCTAAGACCGGCTTCTGATCTTCTGAAGGGTTTTCAGACATATTTGCATTATCTTTTGTTTTCTTGGGGGGAAGGCAAACCGGGTAAGACCAGACATGTGTCTTTTGGCCCGATCGCGGTGCGTGTTGGCCACAGCTGACAAGGTCAACACCTTTCCTTTCCTTTTCGGGTTTCACTGGCGATCGCATATGGGAAAAGAGCCAACTTGTGGAGCACTCGACTTTAATTGACCAAGTGCAGTCGGTAAGAGATACGATATTGCGCATACGCCCTGCTCGTTGCCACTTGTTAATTAAAATATTTGAAATAATTACATAAGCAAGTCTGCTAATTACCAGACAAACGAGAAATCTACCTAGCCAACCGACGCCAATAGAATGACAAATGTCGACCAATAAGCGCCAATAAGATAATCAATCAACTAGTCTATAGTCTATTATTAGATCTCTAGGTATTTGGTCATTCAAATACACGCTCATAAAGATACCTTGTTCCCTCAGATAAAGTGTGTTATTAAGATACTATTTTCTGAGGCATATCTTTAAAACCCCATAAAGTGAGGCCATTTGAAAAGTTATTGAACACTAGTGGATATTTAAATTGCAATTTTACAAAATATATTTTAAAGCATTACTTACTAACATTAAACTTCTGCATTCAATTTAATTACCTGCTTTGCCCTTGAACAACAATAAAATCCCAGACCTGCCAATCCCGTCACATTCATCTCGCTCCATCAGTCAGGCTGTGCATCTGACTGATAGTCCATCAAGTGGGTGCTCAATAAGTCATTTAATTAGCTAATCAATCAGTCATCCAGCCAGTGACTTTAGCATTGTGTGGATCGGGAGAGATATGTTTGTATCTTTCGAGCTGATCGCAATCAATGGCTCCAATTTGACCGCGGCTGCCGTTGCGCCTTTAATTAATCCAGTTTTTGTGGAGCGTCTTGGCTAAATTAGTTTGACATTTAAGCCCAGGCTGTTTGGCATCAAATGGCCGGTGGGTAGGTGTCTGATTCCGTGTCGGCTGTGAATCCACCGCCGGTCATAAATTCGCTGTTCGCGCTCGTCATAAATTGCCTTTTAGAGCCGAAAGACCAACGGCAAATGTGAAAAGAGCAGTGGCGATGCCTTTGGCATTCAAATGACCAGACTCTCTCACTTGGCCAAAAACCCCAGATACTCGGGGACTGGGGGTTGGTAACTCAACCAGTTGCCACTTGAGGCGGGTGGGCTCCTAATCAGACGTGTTTGATGAACTTGACGCAAAGTTAGCGCTTGGCAGCATAGCCAAATAACAAAACCACAAATATTCCAAATTAAACAGAAACGCTCACACAGAAGATCCCCAAATGAAACCAAAAAACAAAAGAAAAAAAAAAAAATCACTCAAAACTACCTAAAAAGAGAAATGAATAAAACTAAAAGTTGTTCTCATGCTAATTTAATTTTATACACTGGTGTTGGCCATTGTGGTGTCGGCCATTGCTCGCCTTTATTTCATTTTAATTATGTTAATTAAAAACGTGAAAGGAAGGACAGCTGGGGCGAACAACTCAAGACCTAGAATACACTTAAGCTTATCACCTAAAAATCTGCAATAGCAATTAGATGACTTCTTGATATGTGATATCCACTAAAATCAAATCGATTCGAGAACAGGCTGATAACTTTTTTGATTGGGTATAGAAGAACTGTAATCATGTTGGTTTTTAGAAAAGCTCCTTTGTGAAATTATTACCACGTCTAATAATGTTAAACGAAATTGTAGCGTAGTAAAAGGGTTTTTTCTATTAAACAGAAATACCCATATAGGGTACCTGTGTATAAGGAGGAGATAAAAAGATAGCTCCATCCAGAACTGGTAGTTCAAAGCGATATATATTCAGCAGCTGGAACTGGCTAATCAGTATTCGTTCATTTGCCTAGCCATGAAATTGGAGATGAAGTGCCTGAATTTTGAATGGGCCATAATACTCTAATAATCAGCTCGCACCTGGAGCTTAATTCTCCAAAATGGAACCAGTTGGCCCCACCAAACTACCGAAACCACCGAGTCCACCACACTTGGCGGAGTCTGCAGCCAAGCAAACCTACCTCAATGGCCATCTCTTTTGGCCATTGCGAATGCAGCGGATGTATCTCTGAGATACAAGTGCGCTCCGCACGAGAGCGATTCATTCCATTCCGATGCGATGCGATCCGATCCGATCCGCGTATAAAACCAATTTGAGCGGCGGCCTGCGAACCAGTTGAGCGCCGACTTTGCAAACGTTTTCACGTCTCCAGGCCAAAAAACACACCGTAAGCTAACGAGGCCAACACAAATGCATTGGCCAAAAATCCACGGCAAACAAGTAAAGACAATTCCAAACGAAACACTTTTCATTTCGCGCCTGTCTTTGCACAGTTTCTTCTGACTTTGCTGGCTTTGTTTGGCTTTGTTTTGGTCTGCCTTTTTTGCCGACCAAGTCAAGTGTTTGGGCCCAAGTCTTTGGGCCGTTTTATTCGTTCAACGGGCGCTTGAGCGAACGGTTGTTGCTTTGTCTTTTAGCTTTGGCTTTGTATCTTTGCATCCGACGGATACGCGATTCGATTTGAGCTGTGCCGCGACTTTGAGTGTGTGTGCGTGTGAAGAAAGAGCTATATTTATATATATATATATATATTTATATATATAAAATATATTTTGTTGTCGTTTTCTGGCTGGTGAAATAGCCATAGCAATCCACCATCGTAATATCAATAGTTTTTCCAGTGTTCATTACATAAAGTATCAACGCAAAATTTAAATATCTCTGTATATACGCATGCCCAGCGTGAAAATCTTATGCAAATGCGTTTTTAAAAAATAATTAAGCACCAGCCTCGAGATTTGGCAAGAAAGTCGTTGGCAGCGCCTCAGTGACTTGGGATTTCTTGGATTTAATTCGGATTTCGGATACTTGGATACTCGGCCGCAGTGCAACCTCTAAATCAAGGTAGGCCCTCGGCAAAGTGCAGCCTGCAAAACCCTCTTATATAATGCGTGTGTGCTCCAAATTCGAACTTACACAACTTACATAACGATCTGCGGGCCACGCACATAATGATATATCGCTATCGGCGCCATTAGCATAATTCAATGCCTACCAAAACACCAAAATCTGTCACAAATCGGAGCACTTTGCGTAAGCGGCTATTATTACGATGTGTTTGAGTGGATTTTCTCAGTTCGGCTAATGATACCTTAAACTTTGCCATTCAAATAACAATGGTGCGGCGAATAGCCATCACATGTGCCACATGAATATGCAAAGAACAAGTAAACGAGTTGCTCAGCGGGAGAGCAGCTGTCGCATGATCTTTGTTTAATATATCTTTCTAATTTACAGATATTAAACACAAAAGTGCAAGATGCTAATAAGTTATCGCATTCATTTATTTTAATTTTTTGCTGGCACTTATGTTTGCATGTCAAAACAAACTTGGTTAATAAATAAAACAGTAAGGAGACTTAGCTGGATTTATCTTCTAACTTGATAGCAAAAGGGGGGCTATAAAAGTTCTAGGTTTATCCAAACTGGGTAACATACACTAATTGGCATGCTCATCCATAACTTTACTGCTCTTAGGCTAATTGGAACGCTAACCAATATTTTAGTTGATTTTATTAAAGCATTTTGGAAATTTTATAGTTTGGCCTTATAGCCGAAATAAACTTGTTGTTCGATAGCATTAATTAGTGTTTATTTTATGCAAATTTAAGCTTTTATAATTTCCTACCATTTTTTTCAATTAGCAACGTTCTGTTTTGTGTAGCTGGTTTCAGTTTGCATTTATTTTTTGCGTTTGCTGTAGGAATGTATACATTCTTCGGTAAATCGTATAAAAACAATCCGATGGAGTCACTTGCATTTTCCGTTCATAGCCAAGACGAAGCCAAAAGCTGCCATGCAATCGATGACTTGGACAAAAATAACTTGTTGCTGCGATTGTTGTTGGTGCTGCAGGTTAAATGCAACAGCCGCAGCAGCTGAGAGTGGATTGAGATTGGGATTGAGAGTCTCAGCAGCCACCCGCTTATTCTACACTCGGAAAAATGTGTATTTGGTATTTCAAGTAGTCGAAAGCATACCAAGCACATGAATTTTACATTTAAGCTTTGCATTTGCTTACTTTCAACTCTAAATTTTTAAAATAAAATGTGTAATAATATTTGGTAATAAGATGCCACAAGCATTTAGAATAGAAAGCCTCCTTTTTAATTTATGGACAAAATTCCAGAAGAACACGGAATAATGTTTTCAAGTGCAGCAATGAAACGAATTCTTGGAAAATCTCCGCGCTTTTTTTGCCGAGTATCTGTGTTTGCGATGGCGGGTGTTTTTATTTATTTAACTCCTTTTTTCGCAAACATATACATGTGTGTACATCTCTGCGTTCAATTGCACATCAGCTTACAAAGTATCCGTACCCGCGGCCGTAATTTATTTGCATTGTTTAGCTCCGTACCGTTTTCTTGTGTGGCTGCAATGCGACTTAAACTACACAAAAAAAGCGGCGATTTACATAAAATTTATTGCTGCCACATTACAAGTTAGTTAGTTAATGTTGCCCGCTGGCTGAATGGCTAAATGGCTAAATGGCTGAGTGCCGCTGCTGTTTAATTGTGTGAAAAGTGTTTAGTGCAACGTGTGGATTGGATTTGCCCAAGTGCCGGCACATCACGTATACGACACGTGGCGAGCCTTGAACTCGACCAAAAGGGTTTCGCCTCAACCGGTTCGTCTTACATTTGCAATTGAGAAATCAAACCAGAATCGACTAGCCGCCATCGACCAATCGCGACCAAATGCCAAGTGAAGTTGTTTCGAGAATGAATGTGTGTTTTTCGGCAGGCGACAGTGTTATATATAATCGCACAAATAAATTATTTAATTTATGTTAAATAATTCTTTTAAATTATGGCTTCGTTTGCGTCACAGTGCCTTTATGGTTGTCGCGGAAAGATTTTAAAGTGTGCGATCATAAATTTGGTGCTAAAATGTGCAGAGCAATGGAACTTGTTATACAAGAAAATGAAAATAAATTGGGGTATTTGAAAAAGATCAATCTTAAAAACTGGCACGCTCTTAAAGACTTGTATTTCCTAAATTGATGTGCTCCAACTGCAAATACTTCCGATATCATAAATCAAAACAAATTTCTAGACGTGGAGCTATTAAAAAGACTTTTGAGTCATTCGCAAAACAAAACAATTTAACGAATTAGTATACTTGGAAATAGACGGTAGCTAGGAGCAGATTAACTGAATTTTCATAAGTTTTTATGGCAGCAGCTAAGCCTCTTAGCCATTTATGTCCTTGCTTAGTTTTATAAATAATGTGTGACTAATATGAACAAGAATCAATGGCGGGCTTGAAAGTTCCCCGCGCTCACGAACATATTTTGATCTCGATATCTCACCATTTCTTGCAAAAGAGCTAACAAGTCCGACAAGTTTAAGGCTTAAGGTTTAATACAAGATTGCGAAATAACAAAAATGTATAAATAAAAATAAAAATAAAAATGCTGTAGCCTTTGCGAATAGTTGGTTTCCGCGGCAGCATCAATGTCTAATGATTTTGATGGCTTTCGTGGTCTTGTATCTTTGTATCTGTGGGATGCAGGCCTAATCCGCACTTTAAAGACAGCCACAGGGCGAGTTCGCACTACAAATTGGATGAGTTGCGATCTTTGGCTTGTCGAGGGCTGTCAGATCTATGAAGTGAGGAAGGGCACCTTCAATGAGATGTTACCGTGTCGAATCTAAAAATATCAGCTTAAAGTCAGCGCTGGGTGTCTGCTGAGTATCTGCCCAGATAACCGAAATATTTCATCGGCATCATCAGCCGGTGATGGCGGTTATGCCCTTGTAACGATTGTTATTTCTGGCGAAGCACAAAAGCTGATATGTTAATGACGGATGGACATCGTCTTGGGATCGAAAAACCTATCTTGCTGGTCAAGCGGAGGTACATCTGTATGTGCAATCGGTAGCCGATCGATCTTTTCTTCTCTGGCAGCTGCTGATGGCATTTAAATCACTGAATTGGCATTGTGTGATAGATCAAAACCCAGTTTAATGGAATTTTAATTAACTATTAGTTTTGTGCGACCTTTTAAGGCCGCTTTCCAGCCGCCCACCTCTACTTCCTGAACGCAAACTTCGTAGGCTAAACAATGGGATTAATTTAAAAAATTCACTCGTTGATCGCCGCGGCGGTGGAAGGTTTTTCAGCTAATACCATAACTCAATGTTCTTAGCCAGCTACTGTTTGTGAGATAAAAACCTGAACCATTCATTATGAATGTTTCCCATTTAATTGGTATTTTTTTACACGTATCCAATGTCGAATGAAATATGGTTGGTTACCTAAACAAGAAATTAAGATGCAGTTAATGCAATTAATTGGCTTATATTTTCCCACTGCCAAACGAGTTGTCACTTGACTTTCTTTAAACTTGAGCATTGAATTTAGTTTCCTCTCCAGGCCAAGCGGTATTTCCAATTTAATGGATCTATAAATTCATTATTTATCGTTTGCGTCGAACTGTTTCCTTAAACTAATAAAAATAAACCATCAAAATATGGCCATAAGCTGTCAGGCTTTTTATTGCCTAACTTAATTATTAGGTCGGACAGATATCAATGGGATTCAAATGTTATGTGTTTTCGTCAGGAAAATAATCCCTTCATGAATGGTGCCACTTGTTCAGCATTGAGATGTGTTTAAGTTCAATTTATACAATTATCCAAAATTATATTACCTTTGGTGATTGAAATGAGTTTATATTTATAAAAGTACATCACGTGATTTACTATAGCTGCTTTTATATAATTTTAAACATAAATGTCTTGGTGCTTACAAACTTTATCACTTTGATAATATCTATAATCTGACTCAATCGTATTTTAATTTTATATTTAAAGCCCCAAAGGCTTTCCTCAATTTTTTTAATTTTAAATGCTGTTTTCGTTTTGTGCAAATGTAAATATGCATTTGAATATATAATTATAGATTTCTGCTTTGATTTTCCTAGGTAATTTCCCTATCATCCTTTTCAAACACGTTAGGGAGACGTCTAAGTCTGTTTTTAGCAATTTATGTTAAATTTGTGAGCTTTGGTGTAGCTGTATAGTTTTAAGTTTGCTTTGATTGCTTCGTTTTAGTGCAAGTCCGCGTTTAAGCCGGTTTTACTGAGCCGAGCGATCAACTTGTCAGCTCTTTTTGGTTTTATTTTTTCTCGTTGACTTGCTGCTGGATGTGTGAGTATGTTTTGAGTTTTTAGCAATATTGATTTTTCGCATTAAGCGCATTTCTGCGTACCGAATTTTTCAAGGCCAATAATCGTCGTTGCCCGCACGGCGAGGGGGCGGAAGTGGGCGGGGATTCCAGGAGGGGTTTGCTGGTCAAGCGGGTTTTTCATTTGGACCGCGGCTCAATTAAACGGCATCCATTTATCGTTGTCATTTGTTCGCGGTGTTTCGCCGTGCTTTTCCGAATTCGAAATGTGTGCAAAAGCCCAAGTTTGAAGTGTCAACGCTGTCGGCCTAATCAATTTGGCTAACCGCTACTTGGGAGTCGGATGAGATGATTAGGCCATGTTTGCCGCCCGGTTATGCAAGTGCTGGCCATCTATCCGAGATCAGAGATCCGATCTCCGAGACTGGAAGATGCGAGATCCGATCCCAGCCGATCAGTTCCGGCGGGGCGTGGTGGTGGCAATAAGCCATCTCAGGTGTCGTCATCGCCGGGTTTCAACATATTTTTGCCGCTTTTTATTTTTCCAGCCATTGTTGCCGCTGCTGAGCGGCAGTTCCGCCAATTAGCGACGCTTCCGCTGCTGCACACACACACATACACACACACAGATGTGCACAAGTACGTGAAATAATTTCCCCGCTTTTCCATTTTACTTTTCTTGCCTATTCACCTCACATTGTTGCACATGCTGGAGCAGAAAAAATTGCCTCCTATCGGCCTTGTTAACTTTTTGTTTATTGTTTAATCATCGATAAATATATTTATCTTGCCAGTATGCAATGCCTCATTCAATATGATCCAAACAAATTAAAATGAAATGATATCTAACTTACTTTTTCGAATATCAAGTAGCAGGAGTAAAGTCTACATGAACATAAGTGAACTCAAGGGCACCACTTTCTTTGCCTTCACGCCGTTGCTTCATGAAGAAACAATTTAATTTGATAAATTTGCATAAATTTACAGAGCCAAAATGCCATAAAACATTGCGCCCTCGGTTACGCGTCAGAAATTAACAAATTAGTGCGATGTTTCGCAAGGCAACGCCAACAAACTTCCGAATTAGCCACAAACCCAATCAACGAGAGTCCACCGAAACCCAAAAACCAAAAAATAAAAAAAACGACCACAAAAGCCCGAGCACAAAATGTAAAATGGCACTTTCAAAATGTGTTTTCAAAATGAATGCCACACATGCTCGTGGCATGCAGATGGCCCCCAGTTTTGTACTTGCCAGTTGCATCCGAGGAATCCGCTGGCCAGCAGAATGCGGCCAATGCGGAGTCAACCAGCCACCGCCAATTGGTATTGATGGACCAGCCAGATGGGCTCTCTCGAGCTTAGACTCTAGCAACCATGGTCTATGGTCTATGGTTTATAGTATTGAGGCACCAAGGCAGCAGTCGCTTCTCACGCTCGTCAGAAAATGTCAAAAGTGAGGATGCCATGAATATGGGGGGAATACCCGAGTGAGGGATCTTCTTCTTTTGGGCCAGTCATCAACGAAGTCCAAATGCCCATGACAATGTTTCGAGTCACCGAGGCTTTCATCCTTTCAAAGCAGGCAATTGTGCTACTCTACCTTCTCTAAATGGGCAAGAGTCTGGATTTATATCTAAATAAACATCCTTAAAATTGGCCAGAGTCTGGTTTTATATCTAAATAAAAATACCTTAAATTGGCAAGAGTCTGGATTTATATCTAAATAAAAATCCTTTAAATTGGCAAGAGTCTGGTTTCATATCTAAATAAACATCCTTAAAATTGCCAAGAGTCTGGTTTTATATCTAAATAAATATCCTTTAAATTGACAAGAGTCTAGTTTTATATCTAAATAAACATCCTTAAAATTGGCAAGAGTCAATAGTAAAGAGTAAATAAATATTAAATAGTAATAGCAAAGAGTAAATAATCCTTAAAGTTGGTTGTTTTATATAGGTATATATTTATATAAGCATCCGTTTATTTATGCCGTATTCACTTTAAAAGTTTACGATAAACTTACCCTTTAAAACTAAACAATGAAACAAATGTAAGAGCGCTGGTATCCAACTATCAATTACCCCAAACTGCAAATATGCCTGAAATCCGTTAAAATTAATTACTTTGCGGCCCAAAGCCTCTTAAGGATTTGTAGGCGTCATATGGAGCTGCTTGAGTGTTTTCCCATTAGCCCAGAGCTTCGAAAACTCTCCAACCGTTTTACGTCAAGAGAGAGAGAGAGAGGAGGGTCAAGGGGATTTGGGGGGATTTTGACCAATTGTCACAGGCGCCAGCGCCAAGACGGCGAGAGACGGGCTGCCCAAATGGACAGCTGGATGACTGCTGTGTCATCTCGGAGGCGCCTCTTTGTTCAGAGACGCTCATCCAGGGCCGCCCGGGAGACCCCTTCTGGCCAACAGCCCAACCACGCGATCCATGAAATTTTTACCAGTTTTGCGTGAAGATGGTTTTTTGCCATCGCCTGGTGGCTGGCACTGATGACCTTTTACGTCGCCTTAAGACTGCCTTCACTTCGTCACGGAGCTGAGAGACTAGAGAGATGGCAAAAATGTTGCGAATCATTCATTTTTGATGCAGGCGTGATCCCAACTCCTGGCGCTGAAAATTAGTTGCGCGGGAGGTTGAGATAAAGACGATTTACGATTATTTCGTCTGGCTGGGATCTTTCGTGGCCTTTTTAGCCATCGACAGCGACTACGCATCCGGCGGCCATAAATTGCGATAAAATGTCAAGGATTTCCGCGGGGTCCAAGTGAAAGAGTTGGCTTAACCAAGGGAATCGCCAATCCGAAAGGGTTGACAATTTAATTGAGCCCACAAGGTCGAACATGGCCTTTTTTCACTCGCAGCTGAAAAGTACAATCAGCCATACAAATTTCAAGATAAATCACTCACTTCGCTGGAAAAAGCAGTAAACAAGTTTTTGCATAAGTAGATTCTTTTTGTCGATTGAAACTGCCATTGGCTGATTGCCTTTTAATGGCGATTTAAATCGTTTCTACTCATTTGATGTTAATTTGGCAACGTTCGAGTATGATTGATGTGGAATTTGTCCATTATGAGAAGAATTTGCTTTCAGTTTCGTTGAAGGCATAGAAAAGAATTTTGAATGGCAGCGAAGTGGGTCAGCGATTGTCGATACATATATCCTGTTGGCCCAAACAAGGTGCGGATTACTCATTTTTTGAGATTTCGAGTGGTTTCCACTGGTGTCAGCTGCATTTTGAAGAAAATCCATTAGCAGAGATGATTGCTGGGGAACATCCGGCTGACGATGATGATGAGTCAGGCCAAAGTCTTGGCCGCGTGGGTTTGGCATGTAAATTGCGTCTAAGCCCCGTCTGGTTGGTTTGGTAATACTAATAGGCCGACAGCCCACTTCAACCTGCGGATGAAGGAAGCAAAAGATGTGGCCAAGTTTGGCATTTGCTTACAGAATTTCATAACTAGCGCGTGACTCGAAACTACTTTATATTCTTCTTTAAGAGATACAGAAAACAAGTTATTCATTTAAGGCATTAACAAAGTAGCAATGTTGCGATGCTTGCAGTAGTCACAAAATTGCTATAATTATTCAAATGGATAATTGCTATTGCTATCTGAAAATTGCTACCTTCCAAGAATATATTGGTTGATTATTAACCCCCTATTAATACCCTAATTCAACACATTGTAGCGCACTTCCATTCCGACTGATTTTGTTTTCTTTTCAAGCCAGCTCACCGTTTTAGCCATGTGCCGGCCATAAACCGAAGACACGCTTCCTAATTGAAAACAGAGCCAGCTAAATGGACGCGTAGCAAGAGGCCAGAAGAGCGAGCGAGAGGGCGAGTGAGTGCGACAGAGAGAGAGAGAGAGAGAGAGACGATCGTGATTTGGATTTTCAGCGTGATATCAAAACGGAGCGGTCAGGAAAAAAAGCAAAATTCACGCCAAAATGTCCAACGCCACAAAAATGGTTTACAGTTATAGAATTTTATGGCTTTCCGGCGTTTTACTAGGTGAGTAGTGGCCTCAATAAAGACTTCAATTTCCAGTCAAGTGGAGACGGAGACACAAATTAAATGCTAAGTGCGTCGATTAAGCCACTCGCTTAACGCTAACCGTCTGTCATCGGTCAGTGTGCTGTGTGTTTGGGCCATGCGTGAGCCAAATAACTTAAGAAATTGGCCATGGTCACTGTGGGCGAAGCAGCAGGAAGACCGGCGAAAGAGGCAACACACCTGGCTACCAGGCTGGCCAAATTAGTGGAATTGAATTTACTTTTTGGCCAATAAAGGAGCTTCCTTTGCAGCAAACGTTTCCTATGTTAACTAAAATCGATGCACTTTCCCACTTGCAGGTCCCATCCTGCTGGCCGCCATTGCTGTCGAGGGCCAAGAGCCTGCCAGTCCAGTATTTCAAAATCACAAGACGAAGGAATGGACGAATTTAGATAACATAACGTTCTCGTTCGATTGCAAGAGGCGTTCGGTGGGCTTCTATGCCGACATGGAGTACAATTGCCAGGTGAGAAAATGGGGGCATTCCCGCCCTCTCGAGAAGAAAGAAGCAATGGAGCTTAATCCGAGCTTTGAACGAGTTTTCCTACAGCCCGAAAGTATACTATATATAATATATATGCTCCATTCAACAGATCTTTCACATGTGCGACGAGGAGGGCAATCGAATTCCCCATCTGTGCGCCAATGAGACGAGCTTTAACCAGGAGTACAGAATCTGTGACTGGGACTACAACTTTAACTGCACAGAGTCGCCCGTGAGTTCTATGATACCCCCTACTTGTGATAACACGTACTTATGAGCTATACCATACCCTAGAAATGGTTCTACCTGAACGAACTGACCTACGCCACAGATCCGCCAGATGAAGACGACGAGGATTACTGAACGATTGCACTTAATTAAATATTTATTGTGTCTCCAAAAGCAAACAAACTAATTAAATTAAACGCCGTATGCAAAACGCTGAGTAATTGTAACTGAAAAGAAGAAAAAAGTGTGAGAATCAGTAAAATTCCATCCAAATGAGATGATATAATTTAAGCGCCTGTTGACGATTTTGTTGAGTTTCGTTTTGTACTTTTGTATTGTAGTCTAATTAATTGAGTCGTGCGAGAGGAGTCGTGTTGTGTATATAATGTATATAGAGATGGTCCCCACTTCCATTTCCATTTCCATTGAAATTTCCAATCCATTCTATAAGTATAACTTTCCATTCGTTACACCCGGAACAACCTCGGATGGGTCCGCCACATTATTATATAATTTACAAATAATCTTCGTATTTGTAAGCAATCTTAAACCGAAATAATAAAAACAAATCAAATTGCTACGCTAATGCTTGCCCAATTAATTGACTTAACAAAATGTTTGCACCATTTTCGCTAATTTCATAACGTTTAACGTTGTTGTTGCACACGTCACGGGAATCCACAGCTACATAATCTATCTCCATGTCTATGGGTAAACAACCCCCCAGAATATTCGTTGCTGGTACCGAACGTAACCCGGATGAGTCAAGTTCAATGACGAAGGTGCCGGCCAGAAAAAAGAATAATTTAATTGCGAAAATTGGCATCTGTCAGCGGGGCGTGAAATTGTCGGCTCTCCCATAAAATTTTTATAAATTGAACTGGTCCGATTTCAGAATAGTCAGTTTGGAAACGATTCTCTATCAAAATGTCACACTACACGAGCTATTTTTCTCTGCTGCTCATCGCAGTCCTGCTGGCAGTAAGTCCTACACCGAGTGATTTATAATTCTATGTTATTTAATTCATTTAAATTGTAGCTTGGATCTGCCCAATACTACACACAATATAACCCCTACTACACGCCGAGTCCCACGTTCTCCAGCCTGAACAACTATTACTATCAGACGACGCCGTATCCTTACTACTACAGCACGTATACGACACCGAGTTCCTATACCAGTACGCAGATTAGGATCTGGCCCTATGTCATCGGCCAATATCTGTTTCCCACGTACTACAACACCAACTACTATAATCCATATGCCACGTTGAGCAATTCCAATTGGCTAAGTTACTATGCGAATGTTTATGGAACGAGTGTGGGCAAGAAGTAGTCCTTAACTATGGCTAAGTGTTTTTCGTTTGTTAGATGTTCAGACAATGCAAATAAAATATTTATTTTGTTTTAAAGTAGGCGCTTTCAAAAAAACGTACGCTCATGGGCAAAACAAACCATTAGTTAGTTGTAATTATTGCATTAAAAACAAAATGGTCTGGTTCTAAATTACATTCATTAGCACTAGTTGTGGAAAAATTTAACTATACTCTACAAACAATTGCAAGGCTATGTAGAAAACAGCTTGAAAATTTTCCGATCTTAGTCAGATGTTATTATATTTTTCGATCCATAAAAATGTCTCGTAACTTACAAGGCAATTGGTCTATTAAGATGGCCCAATGGTGAGAAGTCTCTCTCTCAGAATGGAAAATCAAAGATAAGCCCTATAAAAGGGAAATCTGAAACGTAATTGGGCCGCTTAAGATAGCTAATTGCTTTGGGAGAATGAAAGGCCTGAATGTCTGGGAAATATGAGTCCCTTGTTAAAATGCAAACCAGAAAAATATTGATAAGCCAGAATGTGGAGCGGTCCAAAACGCGAAAGGTGTGACAACCGTTAGGATCACCATGCTGAATGGAACTTTTTGGTATAGTATTTCGGGGAGGTCTTTATATGAAGGGGGTCTCGTTGCCACTGTCATAGAGCAACCCGACGAGCCGGTAAACCCGAACCCGGAGCTCAACCTCCGACTGAACCTGAACCTGAACTCATGTACCTAACGGTTTTCGCAGACAATCGCTAGTTCCAGTTGCCTACCATTATGTAATGATTTGGACAAACCCCTGGTTTATACTGCACCACCACCCAGAGCAATGAACCTGCATTGTTTATGTAAGCGATATGTGGCAACTTCACTTGATGTAATGCTAATAAAGGGTAAGATCGTTAAATGACAGCCTGTTTATAAGATCTGGACTTTATGCATTTCTGGAGAATGTTCTGGTTAACTGTAACTTCCTCACAGAACTGTGACACTTATGGGCCACAAATCAAAACATTTCGATGCGGTTTGAAAGGGTTCTTCAAATAGAACTTAAGCCCAAAGTATCCGCATTATCATGCAAATCGCTTGAGACAGATGATCTTCAGAGAATGTGAATGGGTTAGGTGCGTAAAAGAAAGAGAGCCACCGGGTCGAACAGAAAGAGAGGGAGAAACTGCGTAGTGGGGAAATGGGTCAATACAATCGAAACACGAAACGCGGCCCAAAGCGGCGGATGGCTTGTAAAAGGTAGCCGGCAAAAATGTTTGGCATCAGCTTACCACCATGCAGACGAAACACGAAACGAGAAAGCCGCAAAACCCATTAATCTCCCAAAGCCTCGAAGTGCTCTTTTGTGGAAATTGTGGAATTATATTGTATTCCCAATTAGTTAATTTGAAGTAATGCAATTCACTTTTTGATGGGTTAAATGCAGCAGAACGCCATTGGTGTTGATGAACGCATTTTCCCTCATTAGCTGAATGGCTTTTTGGCCAACATTGCACTCCGAAATCGTCTGACATGTTAGTTGTTCGCTGAATTGTAAGGAAAAACAGACTATTAAATAAAGTGGAATGCTTCTTAAAATTCCTTTCCAACATTCCTATAAATTCCTATACCAATAAAAACAAGTACCATATGTAAGAGGGCACTGGGTGCAAGTACTACCAATTCAGTGACGTCAGTTGTGCGTAGTGTCACGTTCACAAACCGTTTTCATGCTCTGAGCCATTGCACGACAATTCGTAATAGAGGCAGTTTATGCAGGAAGAAAAGAGATGAGATACATGCAGATAGAGCCAAGATGGAGACATTGACTTTGCAGTTTTTGGTGGCTGCTGCCGCCGTTTAGGGGAAATTGTGAAGAAAGTGTTGAAAACGAAATTGTAACTGGGAGAGCGTGTGTCTCTGGCTTTGCGAGAGTGCCAACAAGTTGTCGGTAGCCAAGCAGACAGCGCGAAGAAGCGCCGACTTGGCCAAGACTGGTCCGCATCCACCAAAAGTCCGAGCAGCGGCGTTGGCCGCGGCAGAGACGGTGGATCTTACCTGGTGGCCGAGGCCAACTCAGATTGCCAGTCAACGGGCACATCTCAAGCGTTGCAGTCGCTTTCCATGCGAACTCGATTCCAAGCTATCTCCACTCCTTGGCCAATTCAGCTGAAGTATCGTGTATATTTATTTTTCGGCCAACATCTGCGTGTCTGCCATAGATTCGCGTGAAAGTGGTCCAAATCAATCACCTAAAACTCAGGATACAGCTGCAGCTGGTGCCGCAATTATCGTACACTAATCAAATAGTCACAGCCTTCATTATGGTAAGTACAAAATTAAGACCAGCGGTCAAGTTCAATTAGCACACCGGAAAAATCTAACATATACACAGAATGGATAAGGCCTCACTTTGGGCGCCAACTTCATTGTATTTAGTCAAAATATCGTAATTGTATATTTAATGTATGTTTTCTAAATAATGTTTATACCATAGGCGCCACGATTTTTGGCGTTGAACTCAAGGTTCATATAATACATCTGTTTTTGCGGTGCATTGTTCATTGGAATTCTGAGCATACATCAACTGTCCCAAATCGCTTTTCCACAACCTCTGTGAAAAGAAAAGCAACCATAGCACACAAATCACAAAAGTTTTAAGATGTTGGCCAAAAAGCCAGTGTGACAAATGCTAACAATTCTTGGCACAAAAATCAGTTGTTTGTTTGGCTAGTTTCAGGCCAAGACTTTCTTTTGAGGCGTGTTTTCATTGAGGCCAGTTTTCAATTGTTGGTAAAACCCCCGAGCTGTTATTAACTTGGCTGCTAAACTTAATGCCACACATTCACATTTCCGCCACATGGTCGTGTCGCGAACTCCGACATTATATTGACATTAGATAATGGTCGAATGCTTAAATTGGCTGCCCCAACCACGTGCCATTTAATTGCATCATGGGTTGTTTTACAAACAACTTTACTAGCTCATAGTTTTTATTATGACAAGCCCAGCAACAAACAAAGAAAGCCTTACCTCAAATGCGTAATTAGCCAAGAGATAAGTTTAGGATTTTATGGTTTTATGTTTACGATATGTAATAAAATCATAAAATGCGTGCTACACCCACGTGAAACGAAAGTTCCGGGAATTTATTGCTGCTCTAATTACAATTATAATCAATAAATGTTTAGTTAGGAAGCCTGGCTGTATTAACAAAATGCCTGTGTATAATAAGGTTTATAACATTTAGATATAATTCCCTTAATTTCGCTGTTTTCATTACCAATGTTAAATAGGCCGTGCGCCAGACAGAAACGATTTCAAAATGTTGACTACTTATTCGACTAATGTGATAAATGCATAATTAGGGGAAATTTCACGGGATTAGTGTGTGAAAACATTTCCTTAGGTCTGTCCGAACATTTATGCCAATTCCCATCAACCGGATTAAGTCTACCGAATCATAAGTTGGTAACAATTTTGTGGTTGCTCGCATCAATTCCTCGAAATTCCAGGCGAAATCTTGCTCGTCAGCAAGTGCAAATATTTTCGGTTTAAATTTACATATAAGCCCGATGAAGTCGATGAGATTTCACCCATAATGTACGAGAAGGTGGCCTGAAAGTGAGTGTGTCAGATGTGATAACGCTTAGGTCTGATGATGAAACAACTCAGAAGATGTTAATTAACAGGTTGGGATCGTGTTTAAAACAAATACGCAGTGAAACTAAGCCGACAAACCGAGCTCAGTCTGTCAATCCGAACTGGAAAATTATGTAAATCAATGTACACAGATAAATTGATAGTTAACAATGCATTTTCTCGGCTGTTGCATCACCGGAGAAAGACTTTCTTCTTTGTTTTCCCGCATCTTTAGACCTACACGATATTCAAATCAATTTTCTCGCTCAGTTATATTTAAATCAAGGCCATGCCAAAATAGATTTCCTTTTACATTTGGAGTCAAATCCAATTGGGCACACAGGCATTTGGCCTACTAATAAAAAAGCGAATCATTCAAAACAATAAGGCCTCACAAAAGGCCACCAATCACATTTTATCACAAAAATCCAAGGGAATGCAAAACGTGTCGCAAATTCTTGGCATCTGTATTTTGCCACGCAAATTCTTTTGGGCCAGTTAATTAAAACATCGCCAACGTTTTGAGAAATATTCTTTTGGGAAATGAAGCCGACCGTTAGCTCCACATAATTTGTTTACCTTTTGTTGGGGTTATTGTTTTGGAAATAACATAGTTCCATTCCCGTGGGCTCTTAGTGATTAGGTATAACAATTATATTTCTCTTTTCTAAGAGTTCTGCTGGTGAATTGAAAATGGAAAGCTTGTGAGCAATGACTTTCCGTTTTTTGGTGTTCGTAGATTAAATATTATTAAGTAGAAGTGAAGGTTGCGTACCTTGTTTTTTAAGAGATTCGGTGGGAATATTAAATACTCAATGAGTCATAGCTTTTGTGTGTTGCTTTAAAGTTATAAAAGATGAATTGTGAACAACTTTTAAACAATTGAATAAATCGCATTAAACTCTCATAAAGAATTATACAAAAAGATTATTCGTTAAACGTATAACAAAATAACCAGCTTAAATTTCACTGTGTCCGGCTGCCTTGTTGGTAAATAAATCACTACTTTATACAACGTGACATATTTTTTGCAACCTTTTAAATTTACATATAAATTGCTATCGGCGGCAGTCTTCAAAATATGTTTAGCGCTAAAAAATGTTGGATTACACAATAGTCGTCTGGTTGAGCTTTAAATGGGAAATGCTTTCGCACGAAGGTGAGGCCATAAAACATTTTATAACCTAAGGCGTTGAAATGGTTCAAAGTGGATTCTAAAGTGCGTTTCACGACACGGCAAGGTGCCAACAGGTTCGTTTCCTAAGTCTTTTGTTTACGCAACATCCGCACCTTGCAATGATGAAATGCCCTTTTTACTCGGACAATGAGAGACAAACACTGGCACACACTGATATAATTTCTCTGCTGCTTCCACTTTCAGTTTCTCACAAAGAGTTCAAGTGCGCGGCACTCGTTGCTGCTGCTTCTGTTGGCCTTTTGCTGCCTGAGCAGTGCCTTTGCTGCCAAGATAACGAAGAAGGTCGAAAAAACATCGGAAAAGCCCGAGCTGGAGCCAGCAGCATCTCCAATCGAGCAGGAAAACGATGAAGATGCTGGTGAGGATGACGACGACGACGACGACGATGACGACGAGGAGGACGCGGAGGAACCTGCGGTGAATGCGGCTGACAAAGAAGCTGCAGCAGCGGCATCGAGTAACAAGAACCCCAATGCAGTGCAGGCAGCCACGGATCCCACAGATCTCAGTGTCTGGGGCATGGTTCGCACTCTGTGGGGCTGGCTGCGCAGCGATCTGGGTGAAAGCCTATTCGGCGATGACGATACCGACGACGGGAAGCCCTCGTCCGGCAGCTCAGCAGTGGGTGAGTCCCCTCAAAGAAAGAAAAACAAAAGATTAAAAAGGCAAATACCAGACAAAACGCAGTTTAAACGGCGTACACCGAAAGAAAGAGACCAAGCTTATACCACTTACTTTTAAAGTCAATTCAGTAATTCAGAGACAAAGTCTCAGATATTTTCTAAAAGAGGTCATACAATCGTATTAAACACTAACTAGGAAAGTGCTTGTGTTTAATGACACATATTACATAATTTTTGGGGTTGCTTCATACATCTATCAGTTAGATATGTGTATAATTACAAAGCGGTCATACAATTTAACGATTGGTATGATATAATTGAAATTTCAATTTCACATGTTACTTTATTCGATGTGAGCCAGACTAAGACCGTTTTTCTCTTTGTGGACACAGCAATTAGAGCGCTCATTTAATATCAGCTCAGTGCGTGTCTCATTTAGGCTGATTGCATCTGCCCCCCAGATGATTAGCGGCTTTTCAAATCAAAGCCGATTTCCCAGAGCCCTGCCTCTTGACACTTTCGTTTTCAATGAAACCTGTAGCCGCTAAGCAAACAGCAAAAGCCGCTAAAAGGTGTTAGCACCAAAGAGTTGAGAAAAAATCATCACGGACTTCGAGTTGTGATATACGTCTATATATGTATATGTAATTTCGCTTTCCGCATCTTTTCTAGAGCCGCTCAAATTATTTATTAAATAAGACGGCTCATCTTTAAGCGGTGAGAAAATATTTTTGCTGGCCTTTTTTTCGTTGTTTGCGAATTGCTTTTTATTGGACTTTCGCATGGCGTTCAGCTCTGTTTATTGATGAAATTATAGCAGTTGAGGTAGATAAACTCAGCGGAATTTCTTTTGGGCAGCGGCGCCACAGCCACTTTAGGAATTAATGGATATTTTTATGAACTTCACCTGTATGCTTTCTCAGCCTTTGGGATTAATTAAGCTATACTTTTAATATTACGTAAAGATAAACTTTCAGAAATAACATTTTCTTAAAAGTATTAGACTTATTTTTTAAACAATTTATTTATTTTGCAATTCATTTTGTATGTTTCAGAGGGGCGTACCTTCGGCAAGATCCGTCGACTTCAAATGGCCTTGATACCCATTATCTTCAAGTTTGGAGTTCTTTCGGCGATGGTTGCCTTTCTGGTCGCCATTGGCATGAAATCGCTGTTCCTGCTCAAGGTTCTAGTGGCGATGAATGCCATTGCCATTCTGGGAAAGTTCCTTACCCTGAAGTCCAGTCTCTTTGGACAGTATGAGAACACGGCGCCGTCCTTCAACTACCCGGGCTGGAATCCCCATGCCAAGGAGTCGTGGGGCTCCACTGGATTGAGTGGCCATGGCGTTGGCCAGCCCCCCAGCAAGGAGATTCACCTGCACATCCATGGAAATGCCCAGACTCAGGCTCAACTCGCTGGCCAGGGCTACCAGTATGAGTCGCAGTCGGGTGGATGGGCCAGTCGATCGGATCCCTATGGAGCCTATGCACCCACGGGTCAGTTCACGGATAGCCAGCCCGTGGGAGCAGTGGCCGGAGAGGTGCCCAACAATACGGATCCCATGTCGCTGCTGCCCACGAAGTACCGGGCGAGACACCTCATCCGCTGAGCAAGAGCTCTTCCACTTGATGGGAGTTCCACATGGAAGTCAACGACCACCGCGTTTAATTAGCTAGCACACATTTAGTCAGCGACTTTACGAGGACGCAGCTTTACGTACACCTAAAACTATAGTTACGAGCCTAGTGTTTAATTAAATTATTTGCCCTAAACCCTAACTAGCCCTAAAGCCCCAAAATCAATGATAATTTGTAATAAATAGTCGTAATGAAAGAGATGTATGCCACCGTTTGTTTGAGCTGGCCGAAACTATTACCACTAAAAACCCAGTAGATCGTGATTGATGGGTCTGCGAAGAAAGTCGATTGGTTCGGTTTCAGTAGTTTCTGGCTGAGCTTTCGGGGGTCTGTGATTAATTGGCCTTTTGACGGGTACGTCTGCCACCGCCGAGATTTCTTTGGCCACATTTTGGGGCGTGTGCCGCGTCTAATCATCGGCTTTATCGCGAACATTGAAATGGAAGTCCAAGTCATGTCTTGACATTGCGGATTTCGTCGACGGTGTTTTGTTGATTTATTTCTCGGTAGCCTGAAGGCTGGAAAACGATTACCAAAGCTGAAGCCAGACATATCAAATTATGCTCAATTATTATAGAGCGGATAAGCCGATTTGCCTATTAGTAACTAAACATTTTTGAGCATTCATTTCATTTTCTACAAATATATGAACAAAGTGAAAGATTGACTGACTTAATTTCAGGCTGTGTAACGCTATTTAGTTGATTGAGATATTATATCGGTTAACATGAGTGATGTTTGATGGATTACAGTTTGAAGTGTGAAGAGTGTTTATAGAAACACGTGTTCAGATACTATCATGATACAAGTTGAAATACCGTTGATATATGTATGTAATTTAGCTATAAACAAGATAGAACGCTATAGTCGAGTTTTTGTAGTTCCTCAGATCGAGGCATTTATATTGATCCCGATCAAGAATATGTATACTTTACATGGTCGGAAACGTTTTCTTCTGCCTGTTACATACCTTTCAACGAATCTAGTATACGCTTTTACTCTACGAGTAACGGGTATAATTACAAAAAATGAAAGTAAACAAATTTTCTAAATTTGAATGCAGATTCTTAGAGAATTACGCCAGAATTATTTAGAGGTATGCCACATCAAAATCCGATTAAGATAAGTTGAGTTATGGCGTTTAGAACTTCAGCCTTAGGACATTTCTTAATTTTGTTGAATTTCTACAACATCATCCATCAAAAAAATTACAAAAAAATTGAAAAAAAATAAATTTCTAAATTTGAATGCAGATTTTTAGAGAATTGCGCCAGAAACATTTAGAGGTATGCCACATCAAAATCCGATTAAGATAAGTTGAGTTATGGAGTTTAGAACTTCAGCCTTAGGACATTTCTTAATTTTGTTGAATTCTACATCACATCAAAAAAATTACAAAAAAATTGAAAAAAAATAAATTTCTAAATTTGAATGCAGATTTTTAGAGAATTGCGCCAGAATTATTTAGAGGTATGCCACATCAAAATCCGATTAAGATAAGTTGAGTTATGGCGTTTAGAACTTCAGCCTTAGGACATTTCTTAATTTTTTTGAATTTCTACATCATACATAAAAAAAATTACAAAAAAATTGAAAAAAAATAAATTTCTAAATTTGAATGCAGATTTTTAGAGAATTGCGCCAGAATTATTTAGAGGTATGCCACATCAAAATCCGATTAAGATAAGTTGAGTTATGGCGTTTAGAACTTCAGCCATAGGGCATTTTTTAATTTTGTTGAATTCTACATCACATTGAAAAAATTACAAAAAAATTGAAAAAAAATAAATTTCTAAATTTGAATGCAGATTTTTAGAGAATTGCGCCAGAAACATTTAGAGGTATGCCACATCAAAATCCGATTAAGATAAGTTGAGTTATGGAGTTTAGAAGTTCAGCCTTAGGACATTTCTTAATTTTGTTGAATTCTACATTACATTGAAAAAATTACAAAAAAATTGAAAAAAAATAAATTTCTAAATTTGAATGCAGATTTTTAGAGAATTGCGCCAGAAACATTTAGAGGTATGCCACATCAAAATCCGATTAAGATAAGTTGAGTTATGGCGTTTAGAAGTTCAGCCTTAGGACATTTCTTAATTTTGTTGAATTTCTACAACATCATACATCAAAAAAATTACAAAAAAATTGAAAAAAAATAAATTTCTAAATTTGAATGCAGATTTTTAGAGAATTGCGCCAGAAACATTTAGAGGTATGCCACATCAAAATCCGATTAAGATAAGTTGAGTTATGGAGTTTAGAAGTTCAGCCTTAGGACATTTCTTAATTTTGTTGAATTCTACATTACATTGAAAAAATTACAAAAAAATTGAAAAAAAATAAATTTCTAAATTTGAATGCAGATTTTTAGAGAATTGCGCCAGAAACATTTAGAGGTATGCCACATCAAAATCCGATTAAGATAAGTTGAGTTATGGCGTTTAGAAGTTCAGCCTTAGGACATTTCTTAATTTTGTTGAATTTCTACAACATCATACATCAAAAAAATTACAAAAAAATTGAAAAAAAATAAATTTCTAAATTTGAATGCAGATTTTTAGAGAATTGCGCCAGAATTATTTAGAGGTATGCCACATCAAAATCCGATTAAGATAAGTTGAGTTATGGCGTTTAGAACTTCAGCCTTAGGACATTTCTTAATTTTGTTGAATTTCTACAACATCATACATCAAAAAAATTACAAAAAAATTGAAAAAAAATAAATTTCTAAATTTGAATGCAGATTTTTAGAGAATTGCGCCAGAATTATTTAGAGGTATGCCACATCAAAATCCGATTAAGATAAGTTGAGTTATGGCGTTTAGAACTTCAGCCTTAGGACATTTCTTAATTTTGTTGAATTTCTACAACATCATACATAAAAAAAATTACAAAAAAATTGAAAAAAAATAAATTTCTAAATTTGAATGCAGATTTTTAGAGAATTACGCCAGAAACATTTAGAGGTATGCCACATCAAAATCCGATTAAGATAAGTTGAGTTATGGCGTTTAGAAGTTCAGCCTTAGGACATTTCTTAATTTTGTTGAATTCTACATTACATTGAAAAAATTACAAAAAAATTGAAAAAAAATAAATTTCTAAATTTGAATGCAGATTTTTAGAGAATTACGCCAGAAACATTTAGAGGTATGCCACATCAAAATCCGATTAAGATAAGTTGAGTTATGGCGTTTAGAAGTTCAGCCTTAGGACATTTCTTAATTTTGTTGAATTTCTACAACATCATACATCGAAAAAATTACAAAAAAATTGAAAAAAATTAATTTCTAAATTTGAATGCAGATTTTTAGATAATTTGGCCAGAAACATTTACACAAATCTACACGTAATTACGCTAAAGACTTATATTCAAATTTATAATTTAAATGGGGAAGTAAAAATATAAACCGTTGCCAGATGACCGGAAAATATAATATTTTTAAAGCTTAGCCTGCAAGATGGTTGGTTTGTGTCCATGCTACAGCTGCAGCCCCATAAAAATGCCACATAATAAGTAAAAGCCACCCGTAAAGTAGGCACCACAGTTTTCCACCTCACTGTACGAAGTTCGTGCCCTAAGTCTTTCTATTTGGCGACATGAAAAAGCACTCAAAAGCACAACACGCTCTACAGGTGGCATAATGAATATTTATATTAGCAAGGACCTGTTAATTAGCTGCATAGAAAGTGAAGACAGAAGTAATTGACGGGCAATTAAGCAGTTTTAAGCGACAAGTGATGCATATTAAAGCCGAACAAGATTGGGCCAACGGCGAGGTGCTTGATAAATATTTATCTGAGGCAATTAGATCCGCTCAGACTGGCGGGCGAGCATGTAATGGCCATATCTCCGCAGTCCGATCCTCCTGCTTCATGGATCCCCAAGGCCGGTCGTCTGGCGTTATGGAATCTTGCTCGATGACTGATTTATAGGAGGACATAGCGGAGTGGTGCCAGCCATTAGCCAGCCGTCATAAGTGTGGGCCGATGACGTTCGACTTGAGTAACGAGACAAGTCGAGTTGGGTCCAGTCGAGCTGAGCTGAGCTGAGCTGAGTACGTGGTGATGTCTTCTTTGTCGGCAGACGGTGGCCTTAGTCGAGCGTTTCAATTAATTAGCTAGCCGTGCCAAAAACAAAATGGCGCTACTTAAACCAACAGTTGATAAGGCTAAACCAGCAGCAGAGCAAAATATAATAGGTAGACGACAACAAACTAGAAACAAATGAAAGTGCACATTGAATTTCTCTGATCGCCGGCTTTCTAACGCACAGCAGCAGGCCAGTGGCTAAGCATTTCAGCGGCAAACTACGATTATTGAAATACTCCAAAGGTTTTTTCTGTCCATTGCATTTGGTGGCCAGCTTGGATGCGACAAATCATGAGCATCGACAGATGCATCAGAGCCAGCATCTTTGCCTCTACTATATATAAAATGTGGATAATTGCGTCGAACTGACAGCCAAGACATTGGGCATCTGAAGGTGCACAAAAAGAAAATCGCATTAATTTGCCGGAAATACCTTAAAAATTTGTCAGTGCAAAATAAAAAAAGGCTTATATTGTATTGTTTTAATTTTTGTTTATTTGGTGTGCATTGACAGGGGAAATAAATACTTGATTTCATATCTGATCTGATGAACGATAGGAATTTTTGTTTAGTTATTTATAAAGACAAGTTTTAAAAGCTGTTTCTCCCTGACTTAAGAACTCTATTAAAAATTTAATATATCAGTATTTGGATTTCCTTTGCTTACCAATCAATCAATTTGTTAAATGCCATATTATTTGTCCTGCATGTGAAGCTTTGTAAGAACATGAAATTGAAGTTTTCGAAGATATTAATTAAAGTGATTTCTTTCCATGTATGAGCACGAATCAGGAGTTGGGGGCTGGGGACGTGCTGTCAGCGGATCTGGCTGCTCTCACTCTCTTTCTAACATGATAATTGGACATGGCCTGGGAACGGGTATCTGCGCTACCTTATGGCTACTAACTACCTTGGCGACATCTTTGGCAGCCCTATGTCTCCTTAATTGCCTGTCGCCTGTCCGCTGAAAGTGAAATTGATATATGATATGGGGGAGATATGCCAGCTTACCTATATACATTCGTATAAGCGAGCGTTCATCACGAATTCTTCGCTAATTCGCTGCACACAATGGATAATTTCGTAATTCGGGGGCTAATCAAAA